TTTGTTAAACCTTTTCTGTAAAAAGTAAGTAAATTAAGTTTATTTAATAATTTAAAATTATAATTCTAAAGCCAATTAACTAGATTTTCAGTCTTAATTTAATTATTAATATTTTTATTCTATTAGAAATAATAAGTATTAAAGTCCCCTATAATAATATACTTTTTTCTAGGTTTTATATTTAATAATTCTCTTTTAACTATATATTGTGAATTTATAGAATCTAATTCTTTTTTATCATAAATATTAATTAATTAGATTTTATTATTATTTCCAATTATAATATTTATGATTAATAAATCATTAGATATGTATATAAGTTCAATATTAAATTTTAATTTTTTTATTTAAAAAATAGCTACTTTAGGCCTAGGGCAATATTCTAGTAAAATAGTATTAAATGCTGAATAGAAAATAATATTTAAATTAAAAATAAATAGTTTTTGAAATAGAATAAAATTAATATTTTGTTCTAATCCAATTTCTAAGTGTATAATTATATAATCTGCCTTTCTAGCTATATTATTTTATAAGAAATTTAAATTTATTATTCTTTTATTTTTATATAATTTATTTTTGTGGATTTACTATGATTTTTAAGATTAACTTTTTCTTATTTAATACATTTTTTATTATTTGTTTTATATGATAATCCATAATTTATATATAATATTAATAAATAAATATATTATTCTTTAGTATAACAAATAATATAAAAATAACCTTTAGTATTATATTTTTAGGCATAAATTATATATTTTTAATTATTTTTATATCTGAATTTAGAATGGCTAAAGCCTTAGCATTTTTTACATTAAATAAATCTAGGAATATATTTTTTAACCTTATATAATTTACTAGCAATAAATATTTTTTTATTTTATTATTAATTCTATAATTTCTTAATTTAATAAATGGATAATAATAGAAGAATGATTTTTTTATAATCTAGTTTCTTTCTGAGAAAGCCAGTTTAGATTTCTAGCTAGCTTTATATTAAGATTAAAATCTTTTATTTCTTTTTTTAAAGATTTAGATTTTTTTTATATTTAAATAATTTGGTTAGAGCTTTATAGATTATTAATTTAATCTATTCTTGGTCAAATTGGTAATTAATAAATAGAATTAGTAATTTTTAAATATTTATATATTTAATTAGAAATTTAGCTGAGAAATTTTTTATAATAGTAAGAATAATTAATTAATTTAACTAGGATTTTATTATAAAAGCAATAACTGGTTTTTTTAGATTATTATTTATAAATAACTTATTTATTTTATTTCTTAAAGAAAATGGGGATAGATTATTTATAAAGTCTTTAGAGACTTATAAGATTAATCTTTTTTTTTTATATTTTTTTTTAATAATATTTTTCTTTTTTATTACTTCTTTTTTTCCTATAGAATTATTTTGTTGTTTTTTAATAATAATATTATTATTATTCTTATTAATAATACTATTATTATTTTAGTTTGTATAAATAGATTCTTTTAATATTTTTATTTCTAATTTAAAAATAGTTACTTTAAGGCTAGGTAGAATAATTTAAATCTTTTTAGAGACTACTTTTATATATATAGATTTTTCTTCTAAATTTATTAAGGCATTTAATTTATTTTTAGATAATTCAAGAATTTTTATTTTAATTTTTTAAATAACTACTTAATTAGGGCTTAAAATAGTTAGATTTTTTATTTTTTAAATTAAAAAATCTAAATAATTTATTCCCTCTAGTAAATCAGCTTGAATAGAATTATTATTTTTTATTTCTAGTATTTTAGAAATAAGATTTTTTATTTGATTAATTTTTTAAATTTTTTCTTGTTTTTTACTTTTTTGAATAGCTTTTAATTAGAGAAAATTCTCTATTTTTGAATATAGATTGAGATTTGAATCTATAGAATCTATAGGGGAAGTGATTTCTTGATTCTAGGGCTCACTATTTATTTTTATTAATTTATATATATATATAATAATATATATAAAATAATAATATTTAATAATTTAAAAGCCTCCTCTTTCTAATATAAGATGGGAATCGTGGGCTAAAAGAAGAAATGAGAGGGGAAAGAAATAAATAAGATATTTATTCTTTTTATAAGAAATAAATAAATAGTAATTTTTAAAGAGAATTATTAAACTACTAAGTAATTTTTATATAGAGTTCTTAAAACCTCTCTTTTATATAAATAAATAAATATATATATATATATATTTATATTTATATAAAAGGATAAAATGAAAATAAAGAAATAAGAAAACTTGCAGATAGTCTAGATTCTTATTTTATATATTATTAAAAATAAGGAAAAATTTTGCTCTTTTAATTATTTATAAAGTCTTATAAATAATTCTATTAGAAATAGGCCCCATTTAAATCTAGATTATAATTCTAGAATATTTAGACTCTCTATTATTATATTACTTTCTAATAATATAATAATAGGCCAGAATATCTGCTAGTAGGACCTTTTTTTATTAGAAAAAAAAGTTATAAAGTAAATAGTATATAGAAATTTCTATTTATTACCTACTAGGTAATAAATAAACCCTAATAAGTTAATTGCTTAAAATATTAGTCTATAAGAACTTTTCTAGCAGCTAAGATATAGAATGTTCCTCCAAAAAATCAATATAAATAATATAGGATTAAATATGGTTTCAAATAGTTCAATTTTATTAGAAATTAGTAGAGAATTAGCTAAGAAATAGATGTTTTTATTATATAGATCTATATCAACATAAGGCACAGAAGGGTCACATAATTCAGATTACATATACAATATATGGCTATAATTTGTGGCTAAGCCCTATAGCTAGCCAGAGATACAAGGCTTAAGTGCCCGCAGAAGTGAGAGAACACAAGAAAATTTTTTAATAATAGAGGGGTGTTTTCCAATAGAAATTACGGCACGATTTTAAGGAGAAATAGGTTGCGCAACGAAAATTGTATTAAGCTCAATAAGAGCTTTAAACTGATGCGGAATTTAGGATGGGTCACCACCCTCGCGGGTGGAATAGTTCGAGACAGAGGTTGATAAAAAATAAAACAGTAGAATATAAAATTAAAAGAATACTATAATATAAATTAAAAAAAAATATATATCTACTATCTTATAAGATAGAAAGGATATAGATCTAAAAAAATATATAAAAATTTATTAAGCACTTAAATTACCTTAAGAAGATTTAGGAATAAAGATAGAAATATAATTAAGAAAAACAGAAAGATTAAATTTAGTATTAAGAATAAGATTATTATTTTATAAAATAAATATAATAGTAAAAAGCTTTTCAGTCTCTTATTATTCTTTTACTTATTTTATTTTTATCTCTTCTTCTATCTTTTTTAATCTCTCTAACTCTTTAATATTCTTAATATTTATTTAGATAAACTAACCAGTATAGTTTTATAATAATTTTTTTTATTTTTATAAATAGCTAAGTTTAATTATAAAATCTATAACTTTTTTATAAGCTTTTTCTTTATTAGTCTTAATTTTATTCTAAGCTTTAGCAAGCTACTTTTAGACTAGATTAGAAACAAATATTTTAATATAGTAATAATTATTTACTTAAATACACTTATTATAATATTTTAAAAATTTTATTTTAATATAAGTCTTTCCTAAATTACTATATTAATTATATAGAAAGTAGCAAATAATCCTAAATTACTTAACATATAAAAGAAAAGAGTTTTTTAAAATATATTTCTTTAAAGATATAATTAGTATAAAATTATAAAATTATATATTATAGAAAATTAGAAGTTAGAATTAGTTTCCTACACATTTAGAGAATATAAGCTATTTATTAAGCTATTAAGATGCTAGTCTTTAAAGAAAAAGATTATTAGAAAATTAGAATATTATAGCCAATAAATAAGAAAAACTAATATATAATAGAATAAAGAATTATTTATAACTATTAGAATTAAGATATTATAGAAATTAGAGCAAAGGCTATAATAGCTATAATAATTATTATATAGAAATTATAGGATTCTCTATAATAGTTATAATAGAAGAAAGTTATATAAGAATACTTATTTACTTTATATTTAGTTTTCTTCTATTATCTTAAATTAATTAAGATAACTTAAGTATATAATCTTCTATTAATTAGAATATTCTATCTTTCTTTAAGACTTTATTTGTCTCTACAACTTTTGTATACCAGAAACCTATTAACTTCGCCCGTTAATAGCTATCCTAGCTATACTCGACGGTAATCAAACCGAAGTTTCCGACATTATAATCTTAAATATTACAATAGATATAATATATAATTAAATATTTAACAAATTCATACTAAACTATCTAATTATAATAAAGATTTAAACATATATCTTATATATTGTGACGGGGGTTGCAAGAACGTAGCTAGGATTCGGCTTCGGCCTAGGGATAGATTCGAATATAGAATGTATATATATACACGTATGCTCAGTAGCTAATCGCTGCTTCACGAAGGCCTGAGGCCGCCCGCGGTTATAAGGCGGTGCGTGCCAAGCCGCTAGTCCAATTAGCGGCGGGAAGCCGTGCAAGGTCACGTGCTCGCCGTACTTCGAAGCTATTCCCAACTCCGAGTGAACGTGATAACGATTGACGATATTGTTGACGTTGACAAGAGTCTCTGGGGTGATTCTGCAGGGCGAAGGCTACGCGACGCATAAAAGGCCCGCTTCGACTACTCAAGGCTACTCTGCAAGCATATATGTGGCCGTTTGTTACTGCGATTGCACCCCGTCTGTGCCTTTCTGTCTTTACATTCTGCCAACCATTTCTGATCAACTCAACTGAGACTTACATGTCAAATACAGCTACAAGTCCGGAGCCGAAAATATATGGACAAGTACTGGTGGGGGCTTACGCGCTCGTCTATATGGGCCGAACCGCACGTCTGTTGATTTTGAATTCCAATTGTTTCCAGTTCTGACATTTTAGAACAGATTTCCACCGCTGTATACTGGCGCCAAATATATAGTCTTGCTAGTATGACTCGAGCCGGTTTAGTTTCGATGATTTATCACCAAACCAGTATCCTGAAGTCCGGTAGCATAAAAGACCAAGAGGCCATTACACTCCAGGGAACTGATGTTGAGGTAATTGTAGAGAGCATTAAGTCTCTTCATGAGGCATGGGCTTCTCTCCTAGAGGTGGGAATTGCTCTTTGGCTGTTGGAGCGTCAGCTCTTCGCAGCCTGTGTCGTTCCTGCCCTTATTTGCATAGGTGAGACGTCCTACAAATTATTTCTGGTGATGCCAATCTTTAATTATCTTATGTCGTCAAATCCATTAACTGATCAAATCTGCCTAGTGTGCTTCATAGCAACCATTCCAGTTTCGACCCGGTCGGCAAATGCTTTCTGAAGCATGGGTGGAACGGGTTGAGAAGCGTATTTCAATCACCTCTACCATCCTTGGCGATCTGAAAGCAATAAAGATGCTAGGTCTGGAGCAAGTTCTCACTTCACTTATAACCGGGCTTCGACAGATAGAATTGAACACCTCTGCTCGCTTTCAAAAGTTGATCTTTGCACAGGTCGTCATCTGTAAGGGTAGATATATTCTAATATTACGAGCTGAGTAACTAATATTCTTTTATATTCAGCCAATGTTCCTCTCAACTTCGCGCCATTCGCAACCTTCGTTGTTTATGCAATCATAGCAGTTGTCAGAAAGGATGAAACACTTCTGGCTTCAAGAGCTTTCACCGCTCTATCATTAATGTCTATTTTTACAGGCCCCCTACTCGTGTTTCTTCAGTCTGGTCCCACCTTAATGCAATCACTGGGTTGCTTTACAAGAATTGAGGTGTATTGTTCGAAATCACCCGCGACATCCAGTGGTTCTTTGAGCACAGTTACCTTGCCCCTTCCTCAACCGGGAGATATGGAGTTGGACCCTTTCTCTGCACCTAAAAAGTCCAATGCTGCCCTTGTGTCATTCAAGAATGCAGATATTGCATGGTCTTCTGATACAGACATTGTATTGCACAGACTCAATCTTGATATATTCGAGTCTATCACCATGATCACCGGACCTGTTGGCTCCGGAAAGTCAACCCTTCTTGAGAGCGTTCTTGGGGAAGCCAACTTGCGCAATGGTAAAGTTACCACAGGGCCTTTCTTGAGATGCGTGGCATATTGCTCTCAGAAGCCATGGATTATCAACAATACAATTCGGTCTAATATTATTGGTGGTTCGGAGTTCAATCCGGAATGGTACAAGTACACAATATGGGCCTGTGCTCTTGAAGAGGATTTGAAAACCATACCTTTAGGGGATATGTGTAAATCTGAAAGTAATGGTGTATCTTTGAGTGGCGGACAGAAACAAAGAGTTGTAGGTTTCCACAGGAGATCAAAAATTCGCAACGTTATTGCGTAACCTTGCTAATGATTGACTGTCTAGGCTCTTGCGCGCGCTATATATTCGAAACTACCAGTACTGATTCTCGATGACGCATTCAGTGGACTGGACCTGAACACAGTTGCACTCCTATCCGATCGTCTCTTCGCCAAAGACGGCTTTCTTCGCAGAAATGGGATATCAGTAATTCTGGTCACACATACTCGTAAGCAGTCCTGTAGATTGTGATGTGTACTAGGTTCTAATGATGTCTACTATAATTCGCAGAACAGCTCCTTCCACTGGCCGACAGAGTCATTGCTCTAAATGAGGGCGTTGTTATCAGTGACGGTCCCTTCAACGAAGCCCTTGCTAAATCCACCGGAACAAGCATAAAACATAGCATAAAACATAGCATAGAAATCGATACGCACTCTACATCATCAAGCACGGACGATATGAAAAGCGAAGCAAATAGTACCGAACAACTGTCGACAGTCGTGTACAGAAAGAGTAAAAGCGAGGAAATAGGCGAACAAGACGTATCACGACGTGACGGAACTTGGAGGGTCTATGAGTATTATATCAAAACCCCGGGATATAAAACTGCAGCGTTTTTTGTTTTCGCAGTTCTGATAGCCGGTTTCTTCAGCAACTTTGCAAGTGAGTCATCTCTATACACCATATGAAACTAATCAATCCAGCATACGGTTATAGCTCATTTTTACGTCTAGTTTTATGGCTTGAATGGTGGTCCAATGCAAATGCAAAGCAGCCGAATGGAAGGCTAGGCTTTTATCTCGGAGTATATGCAGTCATATTTGCCCTCAACCTTACAGGCCTCGCAGTCGCATGTTGGTGAGTAGTACTTGATGCCCACTATCCAATTCATATATGCTTACGAATTGATACAAATTAGGTTATTCTTCATCAATATAATCAACAAAACCGCGCTCGGAATGCATTCTGATCTTCTAAAGGCAACTCTCAGGTGGGTAAAAGTCCAACATATAAAGTGTTTAACACAGACTCGCAGACTAAATTATATTCTTCGTTCCAAGTGCACCTTTTACACATCTTTATAAAACAGACACAGGAAGTCTTACGAATCGGTATTCTATCTAAACCTTTCTGATGCAGAACTGCTACTGAATTGTTTCGTTAGGTTCAGCCAGGATATGAACTTAATTAGATGAATGGCTAAAATTTAATCTACAAAAGGGTTCTCACTATCTCTGTTTAACTTGATCATCTTATGTATCGTGGGGTCCCTTTTGTCACCTCATTGAGAAGTGTATTCCTCAGAAAATTGACTGCCTTAGCATCCGCTCTCCGGCTGATAGGATGAGAAGCCGATTCGAGTTGGTCCAGTATATACGAGTTCAAGAAAAGCCTGATAGGTGGTTTAAAATGCTATACCGTGCACTCTTTGAGTGCAATCCTTGTTTCTGTATTTGCCACTTGAATAAAGAGAAGAGCACCACTGAGTAGACTGTGGATGTTAAGTCTATTGAAATCAGGTCTTGGTCTTACAACTATAAGGCCTTCTCCCTGCTTGAGCAGTTGTGAGTTGGTTGGTTAGATAGGGGTTAGTTAACTAGCGGATCGCCGGATATATGCTTACGTGTTCACCTAAAGCGGCTACATACACTACAGTTTCCCTAACTTACGCTGCGGTCTCAGAGACACCGGATTAATACACGTCAGTAACCCAATATCAGCAGCTAAAAAGTATCCTCAAATGTTGCTGTTACCGCAGTCCAGGGAATCTCGTCACTTGCCCGCCCTCCCGGTTTTCTTTCTATGTCCCCTTGACGATAGCAAAATAAGCGAGATCTGCAAGCGAATATGCTCGGAGGACGAAACATGGACAGATCGACCGGACGGCGAAGTAAAGCCTGTAGTACCAGTGCCCTGGATACACAACCAGATCCCGCCGTTGTCCGCCATTTTCGACATTGGGGGGACGATTTTTATTGACGAGCAATCAGCGAATGAAGGCACCGCGATTGTGGCAAAGAGCCCTTCGAAAGTAGCTCGTGTACCGCTAAATCGTGTAAACTTGGTGACGCAAGCCCTGCAGGGGCGATCGAGGCCCTTTGACAAGCTAGTGACAGAGATCATCAGCGTCGAAGAGCAACAGGGCGACATCACCGAAGCAAAGAAATTAGAAAGCACTGAGCAATCATACACGTTGCCCGATCATCTGCCAAAGGATATAAAGTTGGATCAGTCGACTCTGACATTGATCTCTCTTGTTCATCTGTCCGAGGATGACATAACCGGCATCAAAACTAGCATTGGAACATCGACGGGTCTGTCTGGTATCGTCATTTATAATTGGCCGGAAAGTGAGAGTCCATGTTCACGAGCAGACATGTATCGCTTATTCTCCCAGCTCAAGCCGAACATACACCCAGACTGTGACGAGACGTTTGTGCTTTTTATTGACCAAAACCCGGCTGAACTAGAATGCTATCACATTCTCCGCGCCCACAAGTGGACTCGCGAAAGAAACCAGAGCGGTGAATATGAGGACTTTGACACCAATGTTATCAACATCCGCGCGTTGAAGGATGTCCAGCATGCCGTCAATTTCTGGCACATGATGTGGAATCCCTTTGAAAATGGTGGGAAGGGCATACGTCAGAGCGATTCAAGAGTTAACAGTGCATTATTTAACATTGGCTCGAATAGCTTGTATGGGGGTTACTCGGAAATGGTAGCAAACCCTGACAAGCTTGTCATTACTGCAGATATCGCCATATTTGTTTTAGCACCCATGACGGAAACCGACCTCCGGATAATTCGCTCGTATATTATGAAAGACGTTGAGGATGAGTTCTGTATATATGATGTCTCGAAGAAACTCAAGTCCCCAAATATGGAAGGGCTTATTGGACTCTTCAGCACAGAAGAATTTGTGACCAACGACCAACACCTACCTAGCTTCTTTATTGCAGTCGACACACAAACTCTAGACATTGCTCGATCGGTAATGAGCCAGGCGCATTCAACCAAAGTGAGAAGAGTCGACGACTCAGAGGCTTTGGTGGTAGCATCTAACCGAGAAATATCTCTTGGCTTCATGGACGATATGGACAATGTCTATGCAGAAGTCAACCTCGGCTATGCTTATGCTAGGCAGTCTCCTGAGGATGCCTTCTCGACATGTGTCAATTTATCAGTGGCGAATATGGACTTCTTCGAATGCGCAAATATAGAGCACTGGGTGACCTGGAGTTGCTGTGATAAATGGCTGGAGAACAATCCAGTCATTGATGAAATAGAAGAATTCGGGCCTTATATTCCATGGTCCTTGGTATATTACCCTGGTGAAGATGATGCGAGGAGATTACAATTGTGAAGCCACACGTATCACCCAGCATAGTATTGTCCAAGCGTACTTACCTACTAGGCCAAATCTAATCTTAAAATGAAGCGTTCCATGGCATGCTAAGTGCATATGGTTTTTCACGCGATTGTTTAAAGGACCAGCAAGGTATTCCTCTTCGCAGCAGCGCAGACATCAATTAAGTGAGCATTAGATTCAGCAGAGGCAAAGCTGCAAGTCGAAGAAAGTTGGCTTCCGTCTAATATCGAACCTGTGGACGATGCCCAGTATATTCGCCTAGGTATCGTATTCATTCTCCTCAGCTATGGCTCTCTCATGTTTGCCTAACTGTTCGCAGCGAAAATCGCGTTCTGATGAAGGAGGTCATCAACTATGTGTTATGCAAGCCCTGAATATCACAATCGGCAACTTTGATCGGAATTAGTATTATGACAACTGATGGCCTAATAGAGGTCCGAAGTAGGGCTATGCAAAGGTCAAATGGTCCAAGAAGCTCCAGACATTCGGATCATACATTGACCTTACGTTTGCTAGGCGAGATTGAAGACCAATGACTATATGATGCTGGACGGATATCCCATCAGCAGACTATTACCGTTTTTGGACAGAGCTGTTACTATACTCCAACATCGTCACCATAGTTCTTCTTAAACTCACAAAGGAAGACAAGAATGCGTCCAGCAACTCATCGCCCCAAGACCTTTCTCAGGCGGAAATTGCCCTCCTCCGCAGAATATTTGCTATCATTTTTGTTCTCGGTCGTTCTTGTTACCTGCACCCATATCGGATCCTCGGACTGTACGGGTTCGCCCAGGGTTCTAGCTCCATTGAAGTTCTTCTTCGCCTGCTCGGTCTGTGGCCAAACATCCCAGCCCCCTGCTCCTGCATCACTCTTCCACTTCTCCGGGTTCAGTCCATAGGTGACCGTGACGGATTCTGTAAGAGACAATGATGCGATGTCGCAGTCTAGCTGTTTCAGCCAGATATGCTTTACATACTCGAACAATCGATGGAGGTACTTCTTCGCATAGCCTATGTCCGCCTCGGTGTTCAGCTCCTGCGATGGATAGCCCGTGATCATCAGGAGTTGCGCTGGGTCGTTGACATCCTGGTACATGATATGCATCTGCGGGGAGCTCGGGTCTGGGTTTGTATAGGAAGAGCAGTGCTCTAGAATCTCGGAAAGAAGTTGGATGAAGGATGGAGACTCGGCAGACTGGCCCTCCTTTAGACGGCAGTGCCAGATCTTCGTGATGGGAGGCATACTGGCTTGGATGGCCGTCAAAGCCCTAGATTATACTCGCAACAGAAACTTCCTTAGGATAAAAACGGAGGTTAGTATTTAGTATTTACACTTCGGCTGTCAGCACTAAATGTGTAAAGACACGCCATTCAGCCCTGACATCACTGCTGTCAGCCTGAAGGATAGCTAAGCCAAGCATTCCTCGGCTCTTCCTGGACCCGTTAGCCCTAATGGTAGACACAGTGTACACGTATGCCTTTGACCGACTAAAGTGTGTGAAACAGAGCAAGAAATGAAGAAAAGAACTTCTTTCATAGGGCATTAATTCTCAGACTACCATACAGCACTTTTGAAACCCACGGCCAGGGCTATAATAAACCATAGAATACCTAGCAACTAGTGACATCACACTGGAAAATTCGTTATGTGCTCTTCTTCTTTTTTGTTGGGATTAATCAATCCATATCAAAAACTACCAGGTATTTCATTGATGCAGAAAAGAAAATCGGACCGTCGTGACAATTGATCCTTTATAAGAGAAAGGTCTCAACAACAGACTTTTCTATTGTGGGCAATCGATTGCTAAATAAGAGAGAAGTCGCTATTTAGACACTCTCCAGAACCTGCTCCTTGAATTCCCGCTCCACCTTGTGTCCCTGGTCATCTGTTGTCGATTCACCGTGCAAGTTCAACAAAGCACCGAGGTCGAACTTGGGAGACTTGAGCAGCTTAACCTTGCGGATGTGGACCTAGGACCAATTATTAGTTACACCGCCTATAGATCCAAAGTTTTGTAACTCACGTTCTGAAGGGGGTAGATTCCCTGGGTAGACTTCTCGATTTCTCGGCCAATGACTTCGGGAATGAGCTTGGTGGTGAGCTGCGACAGAGTGCAGCTGGCGGCTTCGCGCTGGATGATCTCGGTCATCTTCTTGCGAATAGCGCGGATCTGGGAAGATCCAGCGTATGTGGTCTTCTTGATCTGGTTGGGGCGTCTCTTGGTGAAAGCGATGGCGAACAGGCGGATGAGGTAGTCATCAGTAGTCTTGACGGTCACGTTCGCCTCGATCAAAGACTGCCACTTGCGCACGAGAGAGCGAAGCTTGTCCGATGTGAAGTCCAAACCGTGGAAGTTGGTGAGACAGTTCTTGCCCTGAACCTCGTCAACACGGAGCTTGACCTTGCGGAAAGCGTGGTCTTCGTCGTTCTGGAGGTCGGCAAGAGAAACTTCGAAGATACGGCCCTTCAAGGAGTCGTTGGCGTTCTTGAGACCGGTGGTTCGGTTGACGAGAGTCTTTCCAACACTTTAGACGGGTTAGTATTTTTTTTTTTTGCTTCTTATGTTCGGTAATTTCATGTCATTCATAATGGGAGCAGCGTACTCTCTGATCTGGAAGGTGGAAGGAGCCTGGTTCAACGAGTAAGCATATTATTCGCCATCATCACCGGAGTCGTTGACTCGTTACCTTCACGGAGTATTCATCCTTGCGAGAGAAGGGATCCACGGTCCTCTTCTTCAAGCCCTTCTTACCCTTCGACAACCGCTTGTTCCTGGACAAAGGAGAATATGTTAGGGACGATGCTTTGCATGAGAATTGATGGATGTGTTCGCTTCTTACTTTCCAACAGCCATGATTGCGATGAGACAGACTTGGGTGATCGCTCGCTATCACGGATGGGTGTCGGTCTTGTCGTGGTTCGAGGATAAATCAGACTCTCACTGAAAAACATCCCACAATCTGCGCTAAGCGAGGTTTGCACCGACGGGGCTCCGCCCTAAGCCTAACGCCATCACGTGACCCAGCCCTGGGCCCACAAGCACCGACCGCTGATTGGCTGCCCCACGCGCACCGGCAGCCAATCACCGCGGCCCGTCCGCCTGCCCTTTGAATACAGGCGGCAACTCCATCGATCTTGCTGTTGGAACTTCAGCTCAAACCACATCGATCGTTTGCAGTCATGGTACGCTCCCCAACTCGTGCGCTTGGCAATGGGATCTAACAGCAAGACAGGGAAAGCGCAAGAAGTCAAGCCGTGGCCCCCAAGGCCCCAAGAAGGTGAGACAGCGCCCGCTGGAAGTGTTGGCTTGAGCTAACTCGCATCCGTTCCGCAGAGAGAGCCTCTTGCGACGACCTTCGCCTGTCTTTTCTGCAACCACGAGAATTCGATCACGGTCAAGCTTGACAAGAAACTAGGTCTCGGGAATCTGTCGTGCAAAGTCTGTGGGCAGAGATTCCAGACCGGTATAAATTGTGAGGAGCCTTTTCAAGAACGCAAACAATGCCGGAGGCCGTTTGTCCTCTGACTGGTGATAATTTGCACAGACCTCTCTGCCGCCGTCGACGTGTATTCGGACTGGGTGGACGCTTGCGACGCCGTTGCAAAGACAAAGGCGAGCGGATTTGATGCGTCAGATTCACAAGCTGGCTATTCGCGCGGTTCACCTGCATCACCAAGAGACGGTAACGATGCAGATCTAGCCCCTGAAGACCTCTAGACTTTAGGTGATAGTCTGTACTTCTCTTTTTTGCATTTATATATCTTTTATATTACTTTGGGAGGCGGGAGTCGTCTTGTGGCTTTGGCGTTTCAATTAATTTTTTTTACATATTGAAATTATCTTTAGTCTTATATCAAAGCTATATAATATTGGAAGTGAATGAAACTTCGGCGTGATTCTTCTTTCACCCACGATTCTCAAGTATAGTTTCGCCTGCCATAAACTACAGGGTATAATATCTGTCACCAAAGTCACCCAGTCCGGGAATGATGTACCTATGCAAAGGTCAATGAATGAACACTGCGTATACGGGGGGGTATACCAAAAACATACTTCTTTTCGTCCAATCCTTGGTCAATGAATGCTGTCACCACCCTCAGTTTCGGGAACCGCTCGGCAAAGTCTGCTACACCTTGCGGGCTAGCAATCAAATTGAGAAATAAGATACGCTCTTCCGGAACCCCTCTTGATATGAGAACCTCGACAGCCATGGTGGCCGAGCCGCCTGAAAAAAAGAAAAATAGTGTTAGCTAGAACGTGCAGTTCCCTGGTCGAGAAACTCACCTGTGGCAAACATAGGGTCTAACAGGAGGACCCATCTCTGCGAGATATCTGCAGGGAGCTTATCGTAGAAAAGTTTCGGCTGGCAGGTCTCCTCGTCTCGTTGAATGAGGATCTTGCCGATGCGTACAGACCGACAACAATCGCGTAGACCTTGCTCCATAGCCTCCCCCGCTCGCATGATAGAGACGCCGCATATTTTCCCTTGGAATTTGACGCCGAGATACGACCGTCCGACTGGGGTGGTCACCGAGTTTTCCACGACAGGAAGATGATTAAGACCCTCTTCCACGAGGAGGCGAATGATGCGGTTCGAGTAAAAGATGAAATCAGCGCGGGGGGTGTTTTGGTCGCGAATCATACTATCCTTTGCATTAGCACAGTCGGAGTGTCACGCATACGGCGAGCCATACGTTAGAAGAGCGATCAGTTGCGGCGTCTGTGGCAAAACGTGAACGTTGTCGAAAGATACTGCCTTGGAGACAGTTGCCGTGGGCTTCTCGCCTTCAGGCCTGTAGAAGGGGCCGACGCCCTGTGCTGGCGAAGGCACATTGTCCTTGCAGTCAGTAGCCATGGTTTTTCTCGTCGTGGGCTGCGTGGGTTGTGTGGGTGGGAGTGAAGCCAAGGAAAGGTTGGATCGCGGGAGGCCCTCGAGACTCCGCACGATGCCAATGTATTATGATTTACATATCGATAAGGCTTATCATGAGCAAGCATTTGAGGGTCTACGTAGCAGCAATTCCGCGCCTGACTCGACGATAGAGATAGATAGATAGAAAGCCCGCTGAGAAAAGATGCTCGGGACTGAGGGCACACGTGGAAGCGTCCTACGCAGCTGCAGTAATATTGCGTCTTATATTCTAAAGCACAACTGGGGCATTCTATCTAGAATGAATGCATTGTGAGGTGACATTGAAGGTATGCGTTTTCTGCGCCGAAGTCTGGCGGGTGTGATTGGCTAAGCGACATCCCGTTTGTCCATGACTTCATCTCTCTCAAGTCACATCCTTGCATGCTTCGGGGCTGCGACGTCGAAGAAGTTTGCGCCAACACCGCGACCCCGAGAATACCGAAAATATCGACACAGATCGCATTACTCCAACTGAATGCGTGCTAATGCGCTTAGTTCCGGCCTGTAAACAATTGCGACTGCTCGACAATTGATGCGATTCCCACCATTCCTCCTCCCTACCGACGACGTCGTCGTCTGCAATCGAGCGCAATACGAACGGACCGGATCTCGATTCCACCATCGGCGCTTTAGTTGTTAATATTCAAGGACGGTTCTCAAATCCGAGGAACATGGTGGATAGTTTTCGAGCCAACTTTCGCACAAGATGGATTGGACAATGCCCGATCGACCTCGCCGACTAGTGACCTATGGCAAGCTGGCCCATAACCGGACTGAGCGAAAACCGCGATTGCACACCACCCAGGCTCAAGAGGAGAAACACAGCAATGGAAGAGACCGTTTACCCAGCTTGCATGAATCGGCTGAGGAAACTGCGACAGATAGGCGGACTTTTGTCGAGCCTCATGGCTCTGCGTCTCCCAGTCAAAGAAGCCGACCAAGCAACAGGTCTCCGAAGCGACGCAAACTCTCGCCCAAAGGTGATGACGAGGTTTCGCCCATCAGTAGTCCTCGGCCTAGAACTCGGCGTGCCGCTGCTACACAAACCACGTATGGGCGCAGTGAGTGATTAGCACCACCAACTTTGAGAATGCTTGCTTACCTTCATTTCTATAGAGGATTCGTTACGCCGTTCATTTTCCGACATACCAGATGCGAAGGGACGTTCAAATACTAGATTGAGTCGGTCACCAGATCGTTTCTCCGACCACGCAGTTTCCTCGAACAGCCGCATTACTCCTCCTCGTCACACTGAAGCGGCTTCTCACGCAGCTGCAACTCCGTCGAGAAGGCGCCTGGTCGATTCATTACGCGCGCTGGATGATCAGGCAGACAGCTCGCATAGTGACCTCGATTCACCACAACGTTTGTCCGATACGGGCGTATCTAGAGAATCCACCCCAATACACACCGGCTACGGAGACTCGCAAGCTCGTGATAGCCAAAAAGAATCGCAATTGCGCCAAATGGCTCACGAAGTAGCCGACAATGCCGCATCACCAATGTCAGCCAGCCCCAAAATTACTTATTCCCGCCAACGATCGTTCCTTCGCAATATTGACCTTCAGAGTGATCCTAGTGGTGATGCTACCGCTGATTTATACTCCTTACCGATCCAGTCTAGCACACTTGATACTACAATTACAGAGGCAGATCAAACCGAGAATTCTCGGACCGTACGTAGTATTCACGAGTTGCGACGGGCCGGCGTAAATGCTCGTTTTCAAGGACTTGTCGACTCCGTTTTTGAAGATATCGAAGATCGGTCCTCGTCTGCTTCGACCCGACGAAGCGGCTTTGTTCAGCTTTGTGAAAAATTTCTTGATGAAACCTTCACGCAGCGATTTGTTGAAACTGGAGCTTTTGAGCGCCTAACAAAATGCATGCCGGCGCGGGGTGATTTGATCACAATTCTACTCTCTGTATATGCCTGTGCACTGGTACTTCGACTGAGCCATCTTCCTCCCACCGTATATACTGGCGTCTGGCCGAAACTCATTGCCTCGGCGCCCACGCTACTGCCTTTGGATGATAGTACGCCTAAACTTATTACGCAACGTCGCCATGCTCTCTCCAGAATAAATCAAGCGGCTATACGCGATATATCTCTTCAATTTGGCCGTCTTTCGAATCTGGATGAACAGGAGTCTCTTAGGTTGTCTCCTCGACGACTAGTACTGCGCTCTCTGCATTCGACTATGCGGAAAGTGCGGGAAAAGGACATTGCTGAGACAATACCGGTGGAGGTGATCACCAAACTAGTGGATATACTTCTAGAACTCGCACAACAAGTTACGGAGCACGACATTAGCCCGGACAATTTTGTCGTCTTTGAAAGCATCATTTCAATCCTCGAAACTTATACGACGTCCTCGGATATTACGGGCAAGGCCCAGCAGGATGTTTTGATGCCACTTACCAATTCCAGCCATCTGCTATCTTCATTGGGCAAACGGAGTGATCCTCAGGACATCCAACTTTTGACTCTACATCTCAGACTTATTTTGAATATCACAAATGCCAGCCCAAGTCTCTGTGAAAATTTTGCCACAGTCGAACTCATACATGGGTTGATGATGATTGTCCTGTCCAATTATTCCATGGCCTCCGACGAGTTCATCGACGAAAAGAAGGATTCGCTCGATACGATCATTTTGGCACTGGGCGCCTTGATCAACTTGACGGAAGTGAGCGAGGCAGCGAGGCAAAACATCCTGAACCAGAAGCAAGGCCCCGAATCGCCGCTTGAACAAGTCATTTCGATATTTACAAGTGGGCTGAATACGGTGTCTGAGGTAAGCATGGTCTGCCGGCGAAGTGGGTATAAAAAAGCTGACGAATCGACAGGCCGATTCGGTGGTGCAAACACACTCGAATGTCGCGTTCGGATACCTTTCCATACTCCTCTGCACGCTGTGCATTGAGCGTGAAGGGTACGGTGTTGTCAAAGCTGCATTGAATGGAGTTGGCATAGAAAGACTGTTGGCCACGGTAGAAGAATTCCTGCACTACCATCGCAAGGTGGACGAGGAGCTGCACCAGTCGCAATCGCTCAAAGAGTTCACATCCAGGCTGCAGAGGATTCTGAACCAAGTCCGGGCAGTAGACCGGGCATAGTTAATTTCCATCATGTATCATCCACACTAGTTATCTCGATGTTGTACAAACACACAAAGCAACGAAGTTCTAGAAGCCTTAGCGCCGCGCATGTAAGGCTGCAAGGCAAACTTAACCAAACAATAAATTACCCGATGCGTCACTAGCGGCCCCCCCCCACCTGGCTTCGACCAATGTCGCAATGACTTTTACTTGTTCTTCCTCCTGCTCAACGTCTGACTGCCTCGCACCATATACACTCCTGCCATCTATACATTTACTAGCCCATCTGCGTGCTGTCGAAAGCGCGCCTTGACGAGGAAGGTTTCTGCCAATTGTTTCCATCTGTCAATCGCAGGCCTTGGTTGACGTCGGCGAGACAAGGGATAGCTTTTTATAGAGAGCGAGCCAGTACGAAATGCCTGCACCGCCAAAGCAGCGAAAGATTGCCATTGTAGGCAGCCGTTCTGTCGGTGAGGAATGGAGCTTCATGTCCCCTGATATCGCGAAATTGGATGTTAACGCCAGCTTGCTTCTCTTGACAGGGAAATCATCGCTTACTGTGCGGTTCGTGGACCATCATTTCGTAGAGAGTTACTATCCTACGATCGAGAACACGTTTAGTCGGATCATCAAACACAAAGGTCAAGACTTTGCGACAGAAATCGTTGACACTGCAGGCCAGGTATGTCGGGCTCCAGTCGTTCGTTCACTGCTCGGGCTCTGTTCATCTGACTCTTCTTGGTAGGACGAATATAGTATCTTGAACTCGAAGCATTTCATTGGTATCCATGGCTATGTGATTGTGTACTCTGTGGCATCTCGCCAGTCCTTTGAGATGGTCACTGTGATTAGGGACAAGATTTTGAATCATTTGGTATGGCTCTTCTCTTTGCCCGCCTCTTTTGTTTTCGGACCGGCCTAACACGAGAGACAGGGAGCGGACTGGGTGCCATTAGTGATTGTGGGAAATAAGAGTGATTTGAACGCAGATCAGCGACAAGTCCAACTAGAAGAAGGCCAACAATTGAGTCAGCAGTTCAACTGTGGTTTCACAGAAGCCAGCGCCCGTCTCGACTATAATGTTGCAAAGGCATTCGATATCATGATTGGGGAAATTGAGAAATCCCAGAATCCGTCGCAGCCCACAGGCGATAGTAAGTGCACTGTCATGTAAAGGGATGCACGCATCATTGTGAGTATCTAATGTGCTGTTTTGTTTTCGCGTTGCTTTATAAACTGCTTGTGGTGGCCGCATCTCTGGGATTTTTATATACTATTTAATAATCACGTGTACTGTAAAGGTTTAAAGTCGTCGGTATAGAACTTGTTGTCTGCTTTTGATGCCTGAGGGAAACTGTTCGTTATCTCGTAATGTCCGTTACCAACTTACCATACATACCGTAATCTTTCGCTCCCCGCCCCCTCGTCGATATTTCTCACCACAATATTTATCTAAGATAAATATAAAAACCCCGCGCTGTGAACAACCCGACAATCCAAGGAAACTCGCACACTCACCCCAATTCACCATGTTGGACGTCAACGACTTCGTCGCCGACCGTGGCGGTGATCTGAACAAAATCAGGGAAAGCCAGCGTCGTCGATTTGCTCCCGAAAGCGTGGTCGAGGAGGTCTTGGAACTATTCGAAGCCGCACGGCGAGGTAATTATAAAATCTTCCCCCCCTCCTTTTCTTCACCCCCTATTCTCTTTTGTATCATCTAATAAATTCTATAGCTAGATATGAAACCTCGCAGATATCCTCCAAACTCAACGGGTTGCAGAAGCAGATAGGCATGAAAAAGAAGGTGAGCAATGCCAATCGCACGGAAGCGCATATCTATCTGTTCGGCTGACCATGGTGAAATGAATCAGAACAAGGAAGACGCATCCGAACTGCTGCAACAGAAAGCAGAGCTCGAAAAGCAAAAGAAAGAATCTGACGAAAATGCAATTGCGAGGGAGAAGGAGCGTGACAAGAAGATCAAAACCATTGGGAACTACGTGCACGACTCTGTTCCTGTCAGCAATAACGAGGTAGGACGTGCCATACCACTCTGCAACCTGTATTGAATTTAGTCTGACATACACACTTTTTGCTTATATCAGGATGACAACGTGGTCGAGAGGACTTGGGCACCGGAAAATGTGAAGGTCGAAAAGCGCGATTGCCTGTCGCACCATGAAGTCTTGACGAGGCTGGATGGCTACGATCCGGAACGCGGCGTCAAAATTGTTGGTCATCGCGGTTATTGCTTGACTGGCTACGGTCTATTTCTGAATCTTGCGCTCATCAACTACGGACTGGAGTTTCTCTTCAAGAAAGGATACAAACCCAACCAGCCGCCACAGTTCATGTCGAAGGACGCCATGGCAAAAACCGCGCAACTGGAGCAATTCGACGAAGAGCTATACAAGGTCTCGGAAAGCGATGACAAGGACAATGACAAGTATTTGATTGCGACGTCCGAGCAGCCACTATCAGCGTTGCATAGTGACGAATGGTTCGTGGAGGCAGACTTGCCTGTCAAGTGAGGACACATTCTCTCTCTCTTTCTGCCCACAGTTTATTCTAACTGAAATTAGATATGCTGGCTACAGTACCTGTTACCGCAAAGAGGCAGGATCCCATGGAAAAGATGCCTGGGGTATCTTCCGCGTTCATCAATTCGAAAAGGTATTATTGAACCAGTCACCCCTTCCCTATGTGATTGCTTACATATCTCTTCAAAGATCGAACAATTCGTCTTGACCAAGCCTGAAGACTCATGGAAGGCTTTTGATGAAATGATTGCGACCTCAGAGGAATTCTACAAGTCACTGGGACTTCCCTACCAGGTGGTCTCAATCGTGTCCGGTGCTTTGAACAACGCGGCGGCCAAGAAATACGATCTAGAGGCGTGGTTCCCCTTCCAGGGCGAATACAAGGAACTTGTCTCCTGCTCGAATTGCACCGACTACCAGACCCGAGAACTGGAAATCCGTTTCGGTGCTAAGAAGGCCGATTCAAAGAAGGCTTACGTTCACGCTCTGAATGCTACCCTGTGTGCGACTGAGAGAACGCTCTGCTGTATCTTGGAGAACTATCAAACAGAGGATGTAAGTAGTGAACCTCTCTTCCAACATACATGCTGCTGCTTCTTCTTCTTCTCCTTGCTGACACTTTTTTCCTTCCAACTTTGACAGGGCTTCAACGTTCCGGAGCCTCTGCAGAAATACATCCCGGGAGCTCCCACCTTCATCCCTTACACTCGCGAGCTGCCAAAGGACACAACCTCGGCGAAGAAAGGCAAGTCAGGCGCAGCAGGCGCAGCGAAACAGCTGGAAAATCTCAAGGTCTGATGATGGAGGGTGTTGTGTTGGGCTAATATACACTGTCTGGGAACGCTGCTTCGGGCCTGTAAATTCATTTGTCCTGTCGGAGCCACGCTACGATGTGCAAGATGTAGTCAATAGTCATTATTCTCTTCAGGTGGCTCTTCAGGTGGCAGAATTTAACGCAAGAGAAAAACAAACAAACGAAGCAACATTATTGACGAGGATGAGTCAGAGTGTAGGGAAGGGAAAAAAAAAAAAAAAAAAAAAAAAAAACGTTCTCTCCGGAGCCCGAAAACGGAGCAGCAAAGGTGGGGGGAGGTCCCTTTCCCCGATGACTCAGGCGTCGACTGTCTGTGAAATCTGCTGAACTTCTGTTTTCTTCTTCTTGCTCAATCAATTAATTCATAATTTCACTCTGCATGCAGTGATTCTCTTTGCCTTGCCTTGCCTTGCCTTGTCTTGCCAGCAATCATCATGTCGTCCGCAAGGAATATCAGCGTGTCCCAGGATGATCTCATCCACCAAGTGTCCCGCAGTCTTGGTCTCTCGACATCTCCGGCCGCGCCCACGCATTCCACACCCTCCAGCTTTGGCTACGCTACTGCTGCTGCTAATGCCAATGTCACGGCCTCAAAGCACTTGAAGCCCTTTGCCACCGAAGACATTAAGATCTTACTGCTGGAAAATGTCAACCAGACAGGTCGCGATATCCTCGCAAGCCAGGGCTACCAGGTGGAATTCCTGAAGACTTCCTTGCCGGAAGATCAACTCATCCAGAAGATCAGGTAACCCAATTAATTCCGATCCAAGATGACATCGCGTGCTAACGTGGTTCTTTCTTTCAAGGGATGTCCATGTCATCGGGATTCGCTCAAAGACCAAGCTCACCGCTCGAGTCCTCCAAGAAGCCAAAAATTTGATCGTGATAGGCTGCTTTTGCATTGGAACAAACCAAGTTGACTTGAAGTATGCTGCGGATCATGGAATTGCAGTGTTCAACTCGCCGTTCAGCAACTCGCGCAGTGTTGCGGAATTGATTATTGGTGAAATCATCGCTCTCGCTCGCCAACTGGGTGATCGCTCCAATGAAATGCACGCCGGTACATGGAACAAAGTGAGCAATAAGTGCTGGGAAGTTCGTGGCAAGACACTAGGTATGCTCTTCTTTCTCTCTTCCTCCCCCCGTTGCAAAGTTTTCATAATTTCTCACAAAAATATCACAATAGGAATTATTGGATATGGCCACATCGGATCACAATTGTCAGTATTGGCTGAAGCAATGGGTATGAGTGTAGTTTATTATGATGTTGTGAACTTGATGGGGCTGGGCACATCTCGACAAGTCGACACACTCGAAGATCTTCTCGGACAAGCCGATTTCGTCACTTGCCATGTTCCTGAGCTTCCTGAAACGGTGAAGATGATCGGCCAACAGCAATTCGAACAGATGAAAACTGGAAGCTATCTAATCAATGCTAGTCGTGGAAGTGTGGTTGACATCCCTGCTTTGATCCAGGCCATGCGTTCTGGCAAGGTTGCCGGTGCTGCCCTTGACGTGTATCCCAACGAGCCTGCTGGAAACGGCGACTACTTCCACAACGATCTTAACACTTGGGCCAACGACCTCCGAAGCCTGAAGAATATCATACTCACTCCTCACATTGGTGGAAGCACCGAAGAAGCCCAGAGCGCTATTGGTATTGAAGTCAGCCAGGCTTTGGTCAAGTATGTCAATGAAGGTATAACACTTGGAGCTTGCAACATGCCAGAAGTCAATCTACGTTCATTGACAATTGATGAACCCGATCACGCACGAGTATGTATATCCTTGATTTCTGGAAAAAAACAAAGAAATCCCCCGACTTCCACCAGTGAATGCGTGAGACTGACCGTCTTCTCTTTCTACAGGTAATTTATATCCATCAGAACGTGCCCGGTGTTCTTCGAAGAGGTGAGTTCCTCCGATTCTTACCATAAGATACGTTCTAATCTGGCTTAGTCAACGAAATCCTGGGTGATCACAACGTTGATAAGCAGATGACCGACAGCAAAGGCGATGTAAGTCTACTGAAAGAGTGTGCAACACCCGTATACATTATTGACCATGTTTCTAGGTTGCGTATCTTATGGCTGATATCAGCAACGTGGACACGCCAACAATCAAGGACCTCTATTCAAGACTAGAGAGTCTTTCATGTAAGAAGGACCTTCTGGCATACGGAGTTTTTTTTTACTCGGGAGATTTTACTGACGTTCTTTCTTTTGTCCAGCGCGTATAATGACCCGCATTCTCTATTAGATGAGGCCAAGATGCCCGTATGAAATCCAAAGCATCTCAACATGATATGGCATGGCGTTTTTTGGGTTGATTTATTATATTGGAAAGAGACTAATAAGTAAAAGTGATTCAACCCCGCTTCTGGAAAAAAGAAATATTTCAACTTTATTTTACGATTATATCCCTCAACGGTTTCTCCTTTTACATTTCCTTCACACGTCATTGCTTCTTTTAACACCAAGTTTCAACCAGTCCAGTCGTTATGTCAACGAGGAAAAAAAGTGATGGAGATGGAATTCTTGATAAATATACTAAGATTTAGTGTAAAAATACAAAATGGCTTTAATAATTGATATATCTAAGAACCAAGAAAAGCTGAAACTCCCAGTAACCGTCCCGTCCAATAGAGGGGGAAAATAAAATAAATTAAAATAAAAAAGCGAACCACATCCACAGCATGATTACCGACGGTAGAGGTGGTAACTAGAATCTTCGCGACCCTTGTCTCTCGGTGGGCTTTGACTTCGACGTCGGGCATTTGGGTTCTCTCTTCGGTTACCGTATCGGCTATTATCCGGTCCACCACCGTCGAAGTGGCCGTTTCTATTGTACGATCGGTTTGAACTATTGCTTTCATGGTGACCATCGTACCTGGGCATGTAAGTATCGGGCCTTCCCTCGCCACGGCCAGTGGACCACCCTTCCTTTCGGCGGTCAGGACGATTGTCGGTCCTGCGATTTGACCATGCCTGGTGCTGTGATGATACAGGTGAAGGCTTTTGGGGCAGTCCTTCCTGTGATAGGGCATCAGCAAAATGAATTTTATACAACAAAGTCTCCATAGTAACAAAAAGGAGATTAAACGTACATCGATGGGGCGACGGAAACTCCCCGAAGGAACCAGACCGCCCCGTGGAACACGATTCATGCCGCGAGCTCCGGCGTTATTTGACCGGTCGCTATCCACATTATTACCAGGGACGGGTGCTTTCTGCTTCTGTCGAAAGTGTCGACGGTCGAGTTCGTGGGAGTCTTCGAATTGAGGTAGCTCGCCTGGCCGAGCAGGTAGTGGAGGGCTGGTAAAGTAGGGATGCTTCAAGGCATCAACAGCAGTTATCCTTGTCCGCCAGTCGAGCTTCAAGAGTTCACTAAGCAGAGATATCACCAAGGGTCCTTGTCTGCAGTGATTGGTGGTTATGTTAGCTGTTCAAAGTCTCATAGTTCTCACGAAACTTATAATATAATCAGTCAGACTTACTCCTTGAACACTTGGCTTAGATTGCCAGGCTTACTCCCAAAATCTTTGATGCCGTCACACCCAGGAAGTGAACTCCAACCAGGCATATTTTCCTCCGTCGGAGAGCCAACGAGCCCAAAAATTAAATGTGCCTGATTGAGGTCGCTATTACCAGCAAGTATCGGACGCCCTTTGAACATCTCACCAAAAACGCAGCTAGAATCGGGTAAGCAACTCAACTCTCAGGGAGAGGTCAGATCATTCTTACCCAACACCCCACATATCAATTGCGGTTGTATAACGACGCAATTGCAAGAGTAGCTCGGGAGGTCGATACCATCTAGTAACAACCAACGGTGTGTAGTCTCTTTTTGCCTCGCCGCCACCTTTTCCAGGCTGCGGGGGTTTCTCATAGTAAGGTCGCGCGAGTCCGAAATCAGCGATTTGAAGCACGCCCGTATTGCTAATAAGGAGGTTTGCGGCTTTTTTTTTTTTTGAAGAAAAAAAGGTTAGACTTAGCAAGTAGGTTTCCGCATGGCTAAATAAGACAAACCTTTCATGTCTCTGTGTAGTATTCCGCTCTATACAATCAGGAATTGATCAGTCAAAGCCTTACAATCAAAACAGCACAGAAAGACATCATCAAGACGTACCTCGTGTAGATAACGCACTCCTTCTAACAGTTGCAGCATATAACACTTGATTTGCGGCTCGGTGAAATGAACGTTTGGGTTCTCGAGAAGCCCCGAAAGGTCGTGTTCCATATATAACATAACCATGTACATGCTTGGTTTTTTCCGTCCTTCTCCTGTGCAATGTGTTGGCTAAGTTCAAGTAAGACGTAGCGTAGTAATTATAGAGCACCTTTACTCTTTTCCACAGCCATTTCTGGCAAACGTAACACATTCGGATGTGAAAGCATCTTAAGCAGCTTTATCTCTCGCAGTGCGGTGATGGGAAACTGAAAAGAGAAAAGAAAAAAGGTTAGATTTTTGATTGAACATCCTTCATCAGAGATTCAGAGAAAAGAACTCACCCCGTCCATTTGATTATGCATGAGTATCTTCTTCAAAGCAACCACAGCACCGTCTTTTTTTGACCGGGCCTTGTAGACCTCTCTTTAAAAAAAAAGTAAAAATAAAATAAAGGTCAATCATGGGATAGTCCCAAGTACAGACAAAAGGGCGATCACGAACCCAAATGTGCCTTCACCCAATTTCCCTAGGAACTCGAAATCGCGTATGTTCGAGCATCCTCGAAACCGACTTTGGCCGTTCTCATATCGCTCGAGAGACGACTTTTGTTGTGATGGCTGAGGCGAACCTGGGACGGTCATTCTGCTCCATATGCATGGGAACTTTCTTCTCGAGCAAGTGATTCTTGGTCCGGATCAGACAGTAGAGGCTGGGGATGTCATATGTAAAGATCAAGCATTCTGCCAGAGGGAGCAGGCGCTATGATAACGGTGCAATTGGGGGTGCGCAAAAAGGAGACAGAGCCGACTCGTCTGAACAGGTGCGCAATCGATCCAGTCTGCTGTATGGCTATCGGTCGACAATTGTGCACAGCATATAGATTTATTCGTACGGCTATTCTTGTTGCGGACGGCGAGTGACGCCGATAAGAGATAGATCTGCGCTAAAGCGGTCACGTGACATAGCCTCCGAACGACGAGACGGACTCACTTGCGCTCCCTCTAGAAGGTAATTAACCACCATCTATTGAATACAAAACACACATCTCGATTGGCGTTCCCAGACCACAAGTGAGTTCTCGCACCATAATAGCTTTGCTGTCATATTTCCCAAATTCATTCTTTTCTGACCGAAGAACAAAATAAAAGCAGCCATGTCTGGCAAACACCCAATCCACGTTCACCCGGCTAGGCCTTTTTACCGATTCACTGCAACCGCATTGGGAGCTAGCATGTGGTTTTTCGTAAGTCACATATCCCGGTCTCAGTTTTGGCGTGGGAATGGAATGTTTTGAGGTTCATATGCTGAGCTCTTTATTCGATCCTATAGTTGATGTATCGGGCAAAGAAAGACGGTGCGGCTTTGCTCGGATGGAAACACCCTTGGGACCATTGAGTTATTACTACCGAATCGATACCCCTCCCTCTTCCGTGAGCTGGAGACTTTGAAAGAATGCTATGCGAGTTATCGGAATGGACATGTTACGCAAATTATATTGGGCTAGCACGGCATGCTTCTTAACGTCATATGAAAGAGCATATCTATCTTGATGCAGCCCGATCCCTCTCTCTTTTCTTTATAAAGAGTGTATTGCGTGACTAGGGCATTCTCAGGAAAAAATAAAAAAGAGAGAACTTAAGACTATACATAGATACTGTATTTCTATCAGTTGAAATTCATGACTTCTTTGAACTTTTTGAACACTTGCGCCTATATAATGCGGTTTTCATACACAAAACGGTCTTCATTCTATCTCTTCAAATGAGACAGACAGGCAAGCCCAATCATTCACACAAATGGGCAATGTAGTATACTTTCCATATTGCAAGCTGGCTTTGTGCATGCATACCATTTATCTCACGACCTCATCTGTCCCAACAGAACCTTGTACTCGCGCCGGCTTTTCTTTCTATTTGGTCGAAGGAGGGAAAGCCCACGACCTATAGCGCGGGCAAGGGAGGGAAATACGTAATTTTCTGCAACCCACGAAACTGCAAAACTGCATATTGCCAGAGCCACAAGGAACATTGCAAAGCTCCAGGGCAATTCTGTCAACTGCATTATGCGTGTTAAAAATCCTGAAGACTCACTCAACATGTATGTTGATAATGACAAAGCCAATCCAATTGTAGCAAGGAAGGGAACTAGGACGAGTGTTAGTCGAAACGAAATACCTCAAGCGAAAAAAAGCAAAAAGGACAGCAGTACTTACCGTTCCTGTAGATTCGTTGTCTGAATGGCGGTCCTACACTCAGAACAATGCTAGAAAGGATGTATTGGTAACATGAGAGAAGGAATAACGATGTGTTTTCCGAGTTTTCAATGTTAGTATCGTCAAGATTGATCGTGGGTGGTATGTACCTATTCAAAATCTCAGCCCAAATGCATTGATTATTAATACGTATTCAGCAATTTCTTACCAAGGCCTTGTTCGAACAGTTTCAAAGACCACTAGCTGTGTTATAATAGCTAGTGCTATCTGACCAATTAAAGGGGTCAAGACCTTCCGCGAAACGAGATCTGCAGTTGGCCGTTTTCGAGACAAAACTGGGAAAGCGTCATTCCAACCCACTAGAAGGAAATGTCAGTTGAATCATTTCCCAAGTCGGGGATTCTGAAGTCTCACTGAAAATGGCGATCGGCAATATAAGAGCCAAGTCAATATAGAGGTACTGTATACAACAACGAATTAGTCCACGTTCACGTTGTCGAATCTGGGCGGCTAACCTGGAAGTCTCCCAAGTTTGAGGCCGACGTGTATAAGAAGCTGACTGTTGTGAACTGAATGGCAGAGTAGAGACTCATATACTTAAAACAACAGAAGCTTGTGACCAATGCAGACCGACCCTCCCTAGACAAACGGATTAGAAACTGGATGTACTCGAAAGCCAATGAATTACCACCTACTTTATCAAGGTCGGAACGCAGGATATATCAAAAATGCGACTTGTGAAAGGAGCCGCAACCGATGCCTCAGCATCTGAGAGCGATATACCGACATCTGCTGCTTTCAGTGCACCACAATCATTAGCTCCGTCGCCGCAAAATCCGCAACAGTAGTCTAGTGATTGAAGCTTCTCAACAAGCTCATGTTTCTCATCAGGAGACATTCTGGCAAAGACTTGGCCTTTAACAAGAACCTATTGCCGTTAGATTGTGACGGTTAACCTTGTCTTTTTTGAATGATAACTTACTCTTTTGAGGACGTCTTCAGTTGCGTAATCGATGAGCCATCGAAATATATCTCCACTGACTGCCAATGAATACGTGTTCATATTGAGCCTGTTTAGAGGAATTGAAACGTCATGCGTAGCGGGGTCCAAGATAGGCTGCAACTCTGTCGTGAGCATATAGACGTTCATCTTATCATCAATGAAACATGTTAGCTCACCATGAGTGTTTTCTCGTCAAGCCTTGAGGCTGGGTCATCAACGCTTTCCCATATCAATGTGGCACTCGGGTCCAGGTGATGGTTGCCTAAAATCGTCAGATACATCTTTACTTAGAGATGATATATATATATGCACTTACTGTCGGAGAGATGAGGTACGAAGACCGGTGAATTGGGGTCTATGAGACCACACTCCCGGGCAACGCTAATAGCAGTGAGAATGTTATCCCCCGTACACATGACAGTTCGTAGCCCGGCTTCTCTGAGTTCAGACATGACTGGGGTGGTGGTGTCTTTTAATTTGTTCTCAAAGACAATGAATCCCAGGAAATTTAAACCAGATTCTGCTTGTTCTCTCGACATTTTCTGGATCTTCATCCAGCTTAACTTGGGTTCGTATTTCGCGGCGCAGGCAATGACTCGGTAGCCTCTATGGGTGTAATAGCCCAGCAATTCGTCAAAATTAGGCGGAACTAATATTTGGGTTAAATCAAATTTGAAGTCCAGATAAGTAGCCAAGACTATACTTACGAGTGTCGGCATGACAGATGTCCCTCATACACTCAGGAGCCCCTTTAACAAAAACGCTAGCACCGTTTTCACCGAATTGTCGCACAACAACACTAGTACGGCGAAGGTGCGAAACGAACTCAAAGGAGCGTAAAATGCCCAGCTCTAGTGGAGTCTATTTGGCGGGAGATGAGCATGTCATATAAGCCCCAACAGTTTGAAAAGAGAGACACTTCTTACCTGATCCTTTTTAAAGTCATGCCAGCTATTTGGAGGTCTCGCCACTGATGGTATGATGGTATCGCCATTGGAACTGCCTTGCTGCTCGGCCTGAGTATTTCCACCTTCTTCGAATGTCCATCCTGTGAATTCAAACATTCTAATATCCAAAGGATCACCAAGGAGCTCCCCATCAACGACTCGAAGGGAATGACAGGTGGCCATTGTACATATGATATCTCGGGACTTGTCGTAATCTAGTTCGGTATTTTGCTGGGAACGAGCAGCGGCGATCAACTCCCTCGGATCAGAAAATATGTCACTGAAGCTATAACTGCAGTTAGTTGTGATCTGATAATGTCAAACCAACTTAACTGGTGAAATCAATTACCTCTTGTTTTTGCTAGCTGTACGGATACCAAGGACATCCAATCCATCTTCAGTCAACGTTCCGGTCTTATCAAAACAGACTACGTCTAGCTTGCCGCCGACATTTACCCTGACTTTGTTAGGTGACAATCCCACAATGAAAAGCTAGCGGTGACAAACCTCTGCGGGCTGATACAGAATATTTGCTGCTTTTTCAATCTAGCCAAGGCAAAATTCGTCCCTATAGTCAAAGTTGCTGGTAAAGCCGGTGGCACGACAATAGTGATGAGGTCCAGAGCTCGAACCACAACAGTACGCCAAGAGAGCTATATAGCAGTTAGTTAGATGACGTCGAGCAAAGCAAAGTGGATGGATCTGCATACTCCGAGTCTGATGAAATTAGCAAAAGAGGCTACGAACCCTAAGGCTGCAACCATCCCCATTACTGAGATATATCGGAAAGAGTCTCGGTAAAATTTGAACCCAGAGGGCTTAGGAAAGAGCATCGACCGAACAAGAGAGCCCTTTGTCGTCGAGAACCCGGTACGCAAAGCAATCCCAAGGGCAACAGCTTCCACTTCTCCATCAGACTGACGGGGTCGGCGTGCGCGAATGACTTTTGTGCCATAAAAGAGGAAATGTTTGGCCACTGCTGGATTGATAGAAGGGGCCTTTAGGTCGAGATAGTCGAGAACATCTTCTGTGACTGGTATCTTTGACACTGGTACGGATTCCCCTAGAAAAGATATTTGATTAGGGTGTATTCTTGAATGTTAAAAAGTGATACATACCTGTGAGCATGCTCTCATTGATAATACAATCTCCAGATAATAATAAGCAATCGCAAGGTACTTGGTTAAGTGATGGATCTGAGACTTCAAAAACATCACCTGGAACCATATTGACAGACGAGACGGTTCGCCCTTTGCAAATTTATCAGTTTTGTTTCTTCGAGAAATAAAAAACGCTTCATGTTACATACAAAACCCGTTCCGCAGCACTCGTACGTTGCATTCAAAATGAGAAACCTCTTTGAGTCGTGCCATTGTCTGGACCAGGTCAGTTTTCAGTTCCACTGTACGAACGCTGACTGAATACTCACCGAGCGTGTTTCAAGAATGGTTGCGGTAATACTGAAGAGAGAGATGAGGAAAATGCAGACGGCATAGTAATAGTATGTATCCAAAGACCAAAGAATCAAGCTCGCAATCTGAAATATATAAAAAGGATGAAGGACCTAAAGATGTATTGCTGAAGTTAGACAAATTCGTTTTCCATCACAACACTGTTATGGATTCATACCTCGTCGACGAGAAGCTGACTGGTAGACTTCTGCTGCACGTCAATGATGTTCTGGCCGAAGACAAGTTCTCTGTTGTCTCTTTCCTCCGCATCCAACCCCAGGCGCATGCGTTTAGTGCTTGTCCAAGCGGAGTCTTTCCATCCACTAACGGACTGGAAGGAATCGTCCACTGGGTTATATACAAATCTTAGATATCTGTATTCCAGTAATCTAAGATGGCTGAGTACTGGATCATTATCCTCGTCGTTATCGGAGCGCATTATGCCGAGCGATGGAAGGCTGAATATTGTCGAAAGCGGATATCCATAGCTTTGCCTAGAGATCTGGTGAACTACGAATTGCCCGTATTGATCCTGTGCTGTTTTAGCTCACATTATGCCATGCGCGCTTTTGATGAGCTCTTCAACTAACCTCAATCGCAACCCACCGGCAGTCTCTGAGCGGTGCCGGGGCCCCTATCAATCGTAGCCGCCACTTCGGTATCCAGTGAAGGATGAGATAACCTATTCCCAAAGATATCGTACATAAAAATACGTATAAAGCAAACCCCCAAGGACTGGTGCAAAACCCTGTGATCACGGCGGTCAAGTCTTCCGTCGCGATGTATATCTTCTGGCTGATGCGACCGCCGGCTTTCCTCCGGTCGAGGAAAGACTGCGCGGATTCATGTCTATCGAGCAGAGGATGTTCGGCAGATGCGTGAGATTCAGAGCGCCGATGGCGCTTTCCGAATGAAACAATAGATTCAGCGCCGTCGCGGTCATCAAGAAAATTGTCATCCTCAAGATCGGTATCTTGTTCCAGGGCTTCTTCAACGTCTTGTCCTAGATCTTCATCCTCGGTGAGGTATGTGAAAGTAACCGTCGAATCATGACGTGAACGACGATGAGCGAAGGACGCAATGCTGGACGGCACACTCTCGGACATAGGCCCGGAAAAGACCTACACTGTGATCAGACCATGCAGCATCTCATATGGTGGCATCGGTATATATTACCTCGTCATGCGCCATCTCTACCTCGGATGCGATGCTGACACTGATGGGCGTTTTAGTACGACATTCAATCTAGACCCTCCAACTTGTTTGACCAACCTGCTCCTCATTGAACCCCTCCGATTTCCATTTGAAAGCACCCCATTCCCATTACTCGAACCTTGGCGGGGCGGCATCCTGCCGGGGAAAGCTCTGAAGAGCAATCGTTCGATATGTACAGACTCTTCGTGCGGCGGTCTTCGCGGCAAAGCTTCTGGAGGGGGGGTGGTTTTAAACGCAGCTCAGGAATAGAAGGACATGACGTAGTATAGACATGCACTAACGAGAACCCTAGCAGCACCGATTTGAAGCGCCGTCATGTCTAACAGGTTCACGAGGGCGTCAAAACATGGCTGTGGTGGAAATACGACCGGGCCTTTATCATATCGCGTATTGGTGTGTATTCCGCGGCTTAGTAACCACATAACCATGACAGTTCGTACGTAGAATGTCACGCAAGATCGTTCAAATCGCTCTGGAGAAGATGCGTAGATGTCATTACATTACAGTATATACCGCATACAGAGCTGTGGCAGATATTCTGACTTGTGATCTGTACGACTGCGCAACAAGCACAGGCTCGTATTATATACCGCAGAATACGCGGCTTTGCAGCGCGGGCGGCATGACGGTACGGCGGTATTACCCACGCGCCGGAAATTCTCAACAGTCCAGCAAGGCTTGGCGCGAAAGGGCGCTAAGGTTCCCACCAAGCCAGCCCAGCACGCTTTCACCTCCAAAACTCTGGAGGAAGCAAACCTTCTCTTCGACTCTCGAGATTTTTCTTTTACCCTCCCTCCTCCCTTCGCGTCCCTCATCCACCCAGCTCCTGTTCTCTATCTGGCCTTCACCTGCTGTTCATCATGTCAGAGCCTATCAGGAATAAGAAGGCTGATTTCCCAGTCGCTCCGTGCGTAATCATCGCTCTACCCCTCATCACTCTGCATTGCTTGCTGGAGTGAGTAGCACAGGGATAACAACAAACTGACTGACTGATTGTTCTCTTTCAGAACCCCACAGAATACACCTGCTAACAACGCTCCCATCTCTTCTCACGCTCAGCAGCCAGGTGTAGCCAGCATAACTGAAGGTATGTCGAATTTTTTTTTTCTTTTTGGTTATATTTTCCCCCATTCGTTTTCCATTTTGCCACCGGTCTGACCATCTCCTCTCTGTAGAAAACCTTGACCATGTCGCAGCCGCGAGTCTTTTTGCGAAGAACCCAGCTCTTATTTCAATGATCCAAGGCAGGCTGGGCTCTCTTGTTGGCCGCTCGTCAGGCTATATTGAATCGCTGCCCTTGCCAGTCCGCCGTCGTGTCGCCGGCCTGAAGGGCATCCAGAAGGATCATGCCAAGCTCGAAGCTGAGTTCCAGGAAGAGGTGCTCCAGCTGGAAAAGAAATACCTCCAGAAATTCACACCGCTTTATCAACGACGTTCTGAGATTGTCAATGGCGTTGCTGAACCTACCGAAACCGAAGTGGAAGCTGGCGAAGTCGAGGTCGAAGAAAACACAGAGGAAACCGAGAAGGAGGCCGAGGAGAAACCCGAAGCTCCATCCGAGGAAACCAACGTGGCTGGTATTCCAGAGTTCTGGCTCTCAGCCATGAAGAACCAAATTTCTCTAGCCGAGATGATCACAGAGAGGGACGAGGAAGCTCTCAAGCACCTTATCGATATTCGCATGGAGTACCTTGACCGGCCCGGTTTCCGCCTCATATTTGAATTTTCCGAGAATGAATTCTTCACAAACAAAACGATCTCCAAGTCATACTTTTACCAGGAAGAAAGTGGTTACGGTGGCGATTTTATCTACGACCATGCCGAGGGCGAGAAGATCGACTGGAAAGCAGACAAGAACCTCACTCTTCGCGTGGAGAGCAAGAAACAGCGAAATAAAAGTAGGATTACCCCCAGATCAACACCACTGTTACATTGTACTGACTGCGCTTGACCCCAAGGTACGAAACAAACCCGTGTGGTGAAGGTTACCGTTCCTACTGAATCTTTCTTCAACTTCTTTGTTCCACCGAAACCCCCTACGGATGAAGATGATGATGCTGCCACCGATATCGAGGAGAGACTAGAGCTCGACTACCAGCTCGGTGAAAATATTAAAGAGAAGCTGATCCCACGTGCAATTGACTGGTTCACTGGTGAAGCTCTTCAATTCGAGGAATTCGGAGAGGATGTTGAGGAGGATGACGAGTTTGATTTTGATGACGAAGATGATGACGAAGACGATGATGAGGACAGAAGGTCTGATAATGGTGACGAGGAATCCGACGAAGACGTATGTCACACCACACCCCACCTCACCTTTTCTCCCTCGGCATATGACTGACAAGACTCAACTCTTCATAGGATGACGGAACCTCGAAGCCTAAGAAGGAAGCTGCAGAGTGCAAGACAAGCTGAAGGCAATCCCGTGGATGGTTAACCGGAGATATTGTCTGGACGATATGACAATTTGACAATACATTCCCGGAAATTGTCGCTTCTTTTGCTTTCCCTTTCTTTTTTTTTTATCATAGTTGTTCTTCTACCTCCTGCCCAGACCTCACATTCGAAGCATAATACATATAATACCTGTTCATCATCGACCCAACCTCGCTCCTGCCAACAGAAAGAACCGGAGCGCTTCATCGACAGGACGCTTCCAGGCAGAGGGAAGCCGCAATATTTCTTTTATGTTCCCAAGTGATAGGAATTGGCGGAGTTGGGGTGATTTCTTTCCAGCAGTCTCTATTGTCTCTTCCTGTTGTCCTTAATCTTATTTCTTGTGTTCTTACTTCAGTCATACAGTTCAGACTCTAAAAATGGCTCATAATCAAGTTACGTCTTTGGAACGCAACCCGCATAATAGTGTCTCTGCAGGATCAATAAGGGGATATCCCAGCCAAATGCCTGTCAAAGAAACAGCGAGGGATTTTGCCCACAAGGGGTTATTCTCCGCGGCAAAAGTGTCTGTCAAGGAGGAGATTGGACTTGGACCTAGTATCAACATAACTAGCTACCACACAGGCTATAAATGCAATTTACCACGAAGCCACGGCCTCTAGAAAACATGTTATTATTTAATAGTTATCAAACACACGAGTGGACACCTAGTTGGGAAGCTTTGGCCTCACTGCCAGGCCTCAGGGGTTGGTTGCGCCGCCGCGGCTCGCTAGTGGCCAGCTTTAGCCCCAGCCTTCGTTCGTCAACTCTCCAAATATTAATTATTATTATTGTCTTACTCCATGTTCAACCAGCTATACAGCGACGTTGCGCCTCTTGCTTGTCTGTCTATGTCTTGGAAGAAGGAGGCAGCCTAGCTTTGACGCATTTCCTTTTCTGCTATTGTCACTATCACTGCCTGACCGATTCTCATCCTCCGACGTCGTGCTTGGTCCCGTTCCTAGATGCCGGCTCACACACCAGACTTGTGACCCCTCTGTCCCCTTTCTCGATTTTGTTTTATTGCTCGCGTGCCTCTACCTGGTCTGGCCTTTAGAACGACGTTCCGCTGACCATGGCCAATAATTACGACGTTGGGACTGCAGCGTGGCAGCCCGACGCAACAGAGGGCTGGGTGGCTTCGGAGGTAAAGGAGAAGAACGTCGATGGGGACAAAGTGACCCTGATCTTCGCTTTGGAAAATGGGGAGGTATGCTCTATTCCCAGGCAGCTCTCGGCCAAATCGCACGAAGTCGAATATGCGCTAATCAAACCATTTACAACACCAGGAGAAAACTGTTGAAACCACCGTCGCAGAGTTGCAGGTCGCGAACAATCCATCCTTGCCGCCGCTGATGAACCCAGCAATGCTCGAGGCTAGCGAAGATCTCACAAATTTGTCACATCTGAATGAGCCTGCTGGTAAGGAATCTTAGAGACAGGACTCCAAGGGGCGAATTATCGCTGACGCCTCTATAGTCTTGCAGGCCATTAAGTTGCGATATTCCCAGAAAGAGATCTATACATACAGCGGTATTGTCCTTATCGCGACGAATCCCTTCGCTCGGGTTGACTCCCTCTACGTCCCTCAGATGGTTCAGGTCTACGCTGGCAAGCAACGTGCCACCCAAGCTCCGCATCTCTTCGCTATCGCAGAAGAAGCCTTTGCGTAAGAGTTTCCGCGTTCGCATAAGAAACACCGGAATCGGATTTTACTGACCGTATGTCGCTAGAGATATGTTACGAGATGGCAAAAATCAGACTATCGTGGTATCCGGTGAGTCTGGAGCCGGGAAGACCGTCAGTGCGAAGTACATCATGAGGTACTTCGCCACGCGAGACTTCTCAGACCAGCCAGGCCGGTTCACGACAGGCCGGGCTGAAACAATCAGTGAAACCGAGGAGCAGATTTTGGCTACGAATCCCGTCATGGAAGCTTTTGGAAACGCAAAGACGACACGTAACGACAACTCTTCACGATTCGGAAAATATATCGAGATCATGTTTGATGATAAAACAAACATCATTGGTGCGAAGATACGAACTTACCTGCTGGAACGCTCAAGGCTCGTTTTCCAGCCACTCAAGGAACGCAACTACCATATCTTCTACCAATTGGTTGTTGGCGCAACCGATGCTGAACGCGAAGCGCTTGGACTGGCCTCCGTGGAGGACTTTGATTACCTAAACCAAGGATCAACTCCTACAATCGACGGTGTCGATGACAAGGCGGAGTTTGAGGCTACGAAGAAATCGCTCTCCACTATTGGCGTTGAAGATGAGACTCAGAGCTCCATATTCAAGATCTTGGCGTCTCTGCTTCATTTGGGAAATGTGAAAATAAGCGCAACACGGACTGAATCCACACTATCGCCAACTGAGCCGGCCCTCGTTCGCGCCTGTGAGATGCTGGGCATCGATGTCAATGAGTTTGCGAGATGGATCGTCAAGAAACAGCTCATCACTCGTGGCGAGAAAATTACCTCCAACTTAACTCAGCAACAAGCTACCGTTGTTCGAGATTCCGTAGCGAAATTCATATACTCCAGCCTGTTTGATTGGCTAGTGGACAAGATCAACCGAGCTTTGGCTACAGAAGAAGTCATGAGCCAGGTAAAATCTTTCATTGGTGTCTTGGATATCTACGGCTTTGAGCATTTTGCGAAGAACTCTTTTGAACAATTCTGCATCAACTATGCAAATGAAAAGTTGCAACAGGAATTCAACCAGCATGTATTCAAGTTGGAGCAGGAAGAGTATGTCCGTGAACAGATTGACTGGACATTTATTGATTTCTCCGACAATCAGCCCTGTATCGACTTGATCGAGGGTAAACTTGGTATTCTGTCTCTGCTTGACGAGGAGTCTCGACTACCTATGGGTTCTGATGAACAATTTGTCACCAAACTGCACCTCAATTTTGCAGCGGACAAGCAAAAGTTCTATAAAAAACCTCGATTTGGCAAGTCAGCTTTTACCGTTTGCCACTACGCTGTCGACGTCACGTACGAATCAGAGGGCTTTATTGAAAAGAATCGAGACACCGTGCCCGATGAGCACATGGAAGTGCTCAAGAATTCCACTAATCCCTTTGTAAAGGAAGTCCTAGAGGCTGCATCTAGTGTCCGGGAAAAAGATTCAGCATCAGCTTCTACCAAACCTGCAACAGCTCCCGGCCGGCGAGTTGGTGTTGCGGTGAACCGGAAGCCTACGCTTGGAGGAATATTCAAATCGTCGCTTATTGAGCTCATGAAGACAATCAACTCGACAGATGTCCACTATATTCGCTGCATCAAACCAAATGAAGCCAAAGAAGCTTGGAAATTTGAGGGTCCCATGGTTCTCAGTCAACTCCGAGCTTGCGGTGTCCTTGAAACTGTCCGAATCAGCACGGCTGGTTATCCTACACGATGGACTTACGAAGAATTCGCTCTCCGGTATTACATGCTCTGCCATTCTTCCCAATGGACATCGGAGATCAAAGAAATGTGTTATGCCATTTTACGAAAGGCCCTTGGAGATACTAGTCATCAAAAGCATGACAAGTACCAACTCGGTCTAACTAAGATTTTCTTCCGGGCCGGTATGCTTGCCTTTTTGGAAAATCTGAGAACGTCCAGATTGAATGAATGTGCTATCATGATCCAGAAGAATCTCAAGTGCAAATACTACAGGCGAAGATATCTAGAGGCCCGAGATTCCATCGTGACCACCCAATCGGTTATCCGTGGCTTCTTAGCCAGGCAGCGTGCTGACGAGATTCGCCAAATCAAGGCAGCTACTACAATCCAGAGGGTCTGGAAAGGCCAGAAGCAGCGAAAGGCATACAACGAAATCCGGAACAACATCGTCCTCTTTGAATCAATTGCCAAGGGTTTCATCCGTCGACGGAACATCATGGACACCATTCTCGGCGATGCAGCGAAAAAGATACAACGTGCTTTCCGCTCTTGGGTGCAGCTGCGTGACTGGCGACAATATCGTCGAAAGGTTGTCATTATTCAAAATCTATGGAGAGGCAAGACTGCCCGTCGGCAGTACAAAAAGTTGCGTGAAGACGCACGCGACCTCAAGCAAATATCTTATAAGCTTGAGAACAAGGTTGTCGAGTTGACGCAGTCTCTGGGCTCGTTAAAACGCGAGAACAAGACTCTCCTAGGCCAGCTTGAGAATTATGACAGTCAATTGAAATCATGGCGAAGCCGCCACAATGCGTTGGAGACACGGTCCAAGGAACTCCAGGCCGAAGCTAATCAAGCTGGTATCACCGCTGCTCGTTTGTCAGCTATGGAAGAAGATATGACGAAGCTCCAGCAGAACCACACTGAGGCTCTTTCTACGATTAAACGTCTGCAGGAGGAAGAGAGAACGTCCCGCGAGTCGATTCGTGTTGCTGATCTCGAGCTCCAAAAATTGAGGGAGATCAACTCTATCCATGAAGACGAAAATTCTTCATTGCGAAGTCAGTTGACCGAACTTCAAGAGCAATTAGAGATCGCAAAGAAGTCTGTACCTGTGAATGGCGTTGCTGGCGATATGCAAAATGGCACTGTTGTTCCAGCTCCGATGAACGGTCTTATCAACCTCGTATCGTCCAAGAAGCCCAAGCCTAAACGCAGGAGTGCTGGGGCGGAGAGAATTGATATCGATCGCTTCAGTGGCGCATACAACCCTCGACCCGTATCCATGGCTATCCCCAGCTCTGCTATGGTTCGCCAAGCAGTGTCAGGACCGAGCTACTCCCCTAGCTCGGACACTATTGAGACCGAGCTAGAAAACCTACTGTCGGCAGAAGAGGAAATGAATGAAGAGGTCACCATGGGTCTCATTCGCAATTTGAAGATTCCCTTGCCTGGGGCTAGTCCTCCGCCCACCGAGAAAGAGGTCCTATTTCCTTCTTACCTTATTAATCTCGTTACCTCTGAGATGTGGAACAACGGATTTGTCAAGGAGTCGGAACGATTCCTGGCAAATGTCATGCAGTCCATTCAGCAGGAAGTCATGCAACATGACGGTGATGAAGCCGTCAACCCTGGGGCTTTCTGGCTTTCGAATGTACATGAGATGCTCTCATTCGTATTCTTGGCAGAAGATTGGTACGAGGCTCAGAAAACCGACAACTATGAATACGACCGCTTATTGGAGATTGTCAAACATGATCTCGAGAGTCTGGAATTCAACATTTACCACACGTGGATGAAGGTTCTCAAGAAGAAGTTGTATAAGATGATTGTGCCAGCTATTATCGAATCTCAGTCTTTGCCTGGGTTTGTTACAAGTGAAACAAATAGGTTCTTGGGCAAGCTTTTGCCTTCGAACAGTTCGCCAGCTTATAGCATGGATAACCTTCTCAGTCTGCTCAACAACGTTTTCAAGGCAATGAAGGCATACTACCTGGAAGACAGTATCATCACGCAGACAATAACCGAACTGCTGCGACTTGTCGGGGTGACAGCGTTCAACGATCTGCTTATGCGACGAAATTTCCTCTCTTGGAAGCGAGGCCTTCAAATCAACTACAACATCACCCGCATTGAGGAATGGTGCAAGAGCCATGATATGCCGGAAGGGACTCTCCAGCTTGAACATTTGATGGTATGAATTTTACCCCGAGAAGAGATTTCGATGGACCGTTTGACTAACTAGATTGAACAGCAAGCGACCAAGCTTCTTCAGCTTAAGAAAGCGACTCTGAATGACATTGAGATTATTCAAGATATTTGCTGGATGTAAGCCACTATTCCCTTTGTCCCATGCAAATAAATTATGTAACGTACTAATCACACTTGTCTCTCATCTCTAGGCTCTCGCCCACCCAGATTCAAAAGCTACTGAACCAGTACCTCGTTGCAGACTACGAGCAACCCATCAACGGAGAAATCATGAAAGCTGTTGCATCTCGTGTGACCGAGAAGAGCGACGTGCTTCTCCTCACAGCGGTGGACATGGAGGACAGTGGGCCATATGAGATTGCCGAACCGCGAGTGATCACGGCTTTGGAAACCTACACACCTTCCTGTGCGTATAGCTCTTTTCTCCCCCTTGATCACATCTTACTGACTATACGGCAATAGGGCTGCAAACACCTCGATTGAAACGCCTAGCGGAGATTGTCTCTGCTCAAGCAATGGCCCAACAAGAGAGAGCCGACGGAGGAGAGAACGGTGCAATGACGGATGTTGAAGAGTAGTAGTGATCTTGTCTTTTCTTTTCCTTTTTTTTCTTTTTCTCTTTTTTTTTTTGCTTCCAGCCTTGTTGTTATTCCTATGACCAGTTTACGACTTCGCTTTTTGTTCTAATTTCTTGGATCTTGGATTTCTCCTGGTATGTAAGTATAACAAAAAATGTGTTTCATTATCTAGGTACTAGACGTGAGCGTCTCTTTTCTTGATGGGTTCACGGGTTCAGTTCCGAACATGTATGTGTGATTGATTGGAAGGAATGTGTGATATTGTGGTTGTGATATTATTATATGTGTTGGTTGGTATAGCGTTTCGCGCTGGTGATGAGAGGATTGTTTCTCCGTCATGCATTTTCTTAAGGCCGCAAGTTGAAAGAGCCGGCGGCCCCACACTCTATAGAAAACATCGGACTTTCAGGTACGGAGTACCTAACAAGACATTCTCTTTTATATCCAGCCTTTCCTCTCTTTTTCTCCTTATTTTCTCCTGACCACATATAAACCAATTCGCCTCTCGGCTTGTGGCGAGCCCCTTCACTCATAGCGCATAATGAAGGATCCCTTGCGAGTCACGTTCCTCGGCCCCGCGGCGTCATTCTCGCACCAGGTCTGTAGAACTGCAAACAGCACACGGAGACGAGTCTGTTCTTTTGCTAACCTCCTGACAAAAATAAGAACAGGCGGCCTTGAGCAGTTTCGGCAGTGAATCCACTGACATTACCCTCTTCCCATCCATATCGTTCGCCGATGCATTCTCCGCAATCCAAGACAACAACGCAGACTTCGCCGTCATTCCCTTTGAAAACTCGACCAATGGCTCGGTTGTTCAAACATTGGATCTTTTAGCAGATCGACAAGGACTGAATAAAAACATCACAGTATGCGGAGAATATTTCCTCACCGTCGAGCATTGTCTTATTGTTCGCCGACCATCGACGACAGCAACATCTGACCATGGTAGCGAAGATGTCTTCCAGTCGATAACAAAATTATACACACATCCTCAAGCGTGGGGCCAATGTGAGAGGTTTCTTGGTCGATATTTCAAAGGCATCGAAAGGCAAGACGTCTCTTCGACTTCGAAAGCGGCCGAGATTGTCTCGAAGAACGACGACCACAACCACCACGAAGCCGCCATTGCCAGTAGCCTCGCTGCCGAGTACCACGGAGCATTTGTGCTGCAGCGTCACATTGAAGATAGAGCGGATAATACGACGAGGTTTCTTATTCTACGGAACGAAGCGTCTGAACGCTCTTCCGGTGTTACTTCTCTCCTCAAGACTACTACGAAGACGACTAGAACGGCGAAGAAGAAAACATTAATATCTTTCATGATCGAGCATTCAGCCCCCGGTGCACTAGCCGATGCACTATCGGTTTTCAAAAAGCATAGCTTGAACTTGACCAGTATCAATTCGCGGCCTAGTTTGGTACGGCCATGGCAGTATATTTTCTTCGTTGAATGCGAGCATGCACCTACTCCGACTGCGGAGGATGAAAAGTTCACATCAGATATTTTAAAGGAGTTGGGGACCATATGTCTTTCGTGCAGGGATCTGGGAACTTGGGTTGATGGGCGGGATTTGGTAACTTGAAGGGTGTGGCTGGACGGTCTATTGCCGTGAAATGAGTAATGATAAGTCTAAAACCTCCGGGGTTTTATGATAAAAGGTGCATGCATGTTATGTAGTTATGTAGATTTGCTTACAGTCATCGTTCTAAGAGTGAACGATAAAAGAGAGTGACAGTATCCTCCACTCAAACTCATCTACAATTGCTACTTGCCTAGCAGAAGTAGTAGAGACTATAACCCTGTAGGGGTATATTAACTGCATTTCGGGTATGGGGACAGACAGTCTATTTAAAACGTTTTCAATCTTTTATAATCGTGAATATAGTCCTTGCACTTCAACACTATCTTTCTCATATACCATTAAAAGAGTCTCCTCTTCTAAAGGCACCAAAAAAAGTTCCCTCTCAAAAGTTTCGAGTCACAGACACCGTACTGGTGAACGTATCCACTATGTGGAGCTTGGATGGGCCTTTAGACTAGCTGTCAGTTCTCTGATAGAAAAACCACATGCGGAGGAAGAGACCTACCTCGGACCATGTTGGCGGAGATCTCAGTTTCAAGACAACCGACTTTCACAAGAACGGCCTCGAAAATCTGTTTTGCAACGGCTTTGCTTTTCATGCGGCGAGCCGTCAGAACATCCGCGGTGGAAATTTCTGGGCGCTCATCCTCGCTCCCTGCGAGGTCGCAAAACCGTCAATCTGAACAGAAGAATTAGTATCGACATTTGACTGGAGATAAATAAGCAAAATGAGGCATACCGTCGTAAAACTCGTCATCATCTTCATCAAAATCGGCAAGTTGTTCAAAGTTGACTTTGTACCGGAGAATTGCGCCGATACCACCAAAGCCTTTGACGAACTGGTTACCCTCGCTGGAGCGGTCAGAAACAAATTCCAAAGTGGCTCCGAAATCCTTATATTTCTCGGCAAGCCATTCCAGAAATGAGCCCTGGTCGACAATTTCCATTTCCTGGCCTGATTCCTTGTCCATGAACATCTCTCGGTTTGCTTCCTGGGCCTTGGTCGTGTGCAGAATGATCTCCTCTCCGGTAGATGACTTCAGGACCCAGCGCGTCACGTCCAAGTTCTCATAAACGATCAATGTCTCTGCAGCACCCAGTTCCATGGCCTTGAGGGTATCTTCGATACCATAGCAGACTTTGCCGCTGTCTTGGCTGATTTCTTCAAAGTATTTGCCGATCAGCTTCTTCTCCTGAATGAATTTGACATTGCCCAAAGTCTCCGCGGCCAACTCAATGGCCTGGTTGAAACCGTTCTCGCCACCATAAGATACATCGACGACCTTGATGACCTTCGTCTGGAGTCGTTGGTCAAACATATCAGACTGGTTCAGATCATTTTTGAAGTCGGCGGAACCAGCAAGAATAAGACCGGCTACATTGACCTTATCGTTGGTGATGAAATTCTGCACGGCCAATTCAGCAACTTTACGGACATAGTTGTGACGCTTTTCGTCTCTGAGACGGGAGAAACGGAGGGCGGATTGACCACCACGACCGTGTTTCTTGGGGAGATCAACGGAGAACTTTTGAATGACGTCTCGAGTATTTCCACTTAGAGTTCCGAAAAGAGCTCCGTTACCATCCATGACAATGAAACCAAACTTCTGGTCCGACTCGAGCAACTCGCTCAGGGCTTCGGTGTGAAACTTGTTGTCGCAAAGGTAAAGGGAAGTATTGATTGGCTTGAACGGCTCGAAGTCGATGTTGATCTTTCGTTCTTTTCCTTCTGACGTGATAATTTCACCACAGTAGACAACGAGGCCATTGGGGGGAACTTTGGTATAGAGCTTTAGACGTTGCTGCGTAGATGTAATAGCGGACAACACGGACAGACGATTGACTCGGGATTTAATGTTAGATGCCGTGCCCTATTTGCGTATCAAGGTTAGAAATCACTATACTATTGCGTCGTAATGGGGGAAGAGGTTTCTTCTCACGTATTCTTCAGCCAACATCTTGGCGGCACGCGAAACCTGATCCTTGGGAGCTGCAAATTTCGGTTAGAACCAATGCCCTGCCATTTTGTTTCTCAACCTCGTCGAGCTGCGTTGTGGGACACTTACGAATGATCAGCGAAATCATGGAGGTTCCATTTCCTCTGGCTAATTCAAGCCGCTTGATAAGCTTCTTAACCTTCCATATTTCGATGTTCTTTTCCGTCTCGTTCGCTTGAGGTGCGCTCATGATGGGCAACGATGCGCGACCGGTGTGGAAAGGCCCTGCTTGAGAAGAAGAGACGTCTCGCCAGTGCAGTAGAGGGGCCGTGTTGTGGGTTTTCTTTTCGGTGTGGTCGACCTCGGACGGGGACGGTGGCTGACGAGAAAATCTGCCTGGGGCGGGGTAGATTTTTCTCAGGCACCCAGGCACCCAGGCACTGAGGCACTGTGGGGGGTTTTCTTTCCAGCAGCGAAAATGTTTCTCCGCTCAGCACAGCCACCGACAAAACCACGATGGATGATTGATTGGATTGCATGTATATAGTTAGTTACTAGTTATATAACAACAATATAACATCTGTCGTGTACTCCGGCATACAATATCGTATGCGCATATACTCCTGCTCATAGTCCAGATCTGTTCCTGTCGTGTCCCAGCCGAATGCTCAGCGAAGGGAGTGGAGTGCTGCTTATCAGAGCACCAGACGATGCAACCTGTATAGCTAGATAAGGGCCTTGTCATATTAAAAATTAATACTAGGTCAAGTGGCCGTCGTTATCATGCCTGAACATTCCTCTGCAGAATGACGTTGGGCAAGTAACTTTCCTTGAACCTCCTTCTTCCTTCCTTCTTTCCACATCGCAGCTCGGCAAGCGAACAGACCGACCCATGGCGTCTGCAGATGGGAGACCGAGTCGCTCGTTCAGCCAGGGCTCGACAGGTTCGTACCTGAATTCCTGGCTATCAGGGCGCTTCTCTCCGGCGACGTCGGCAAACTACTTGGAAGGCGAAGAAGCTCCGGGGAACGACGATGAAGCTCTTCACAGGTGACTGACCACTCCAATTTTCTTCCGAGTTCTTCGCTTTTGCAAAAATACTCACAGTTGCACTCAAATTCTAGTACTCAGCAAATGTCAATACGGCTTCGACAAGCTGGAGGTGTAAACAGCTTGGATAATTTCGCACGGTCGTGGCAGCGCGCAGCAGCTTTCCCGGAGATTCTCCCGCGTCGGTCGTCCTTCGTGTTCGAGTATGAAGAGCCCGGCGAAACTGACGATGGCCCGGACGGATTGGACCAGAAGCCCACCACCGTTCACCCACGTCTTTCCACCAGCTATGCCTCCGGACGCTCAAGATTTCCTTCGGTTAGCGTGCACGACGAATCCAACAGCTCTTCCCAAGATCTGAGGCCGCTGCTAAGCAGAGAATCGCCGACGACATCTGCTCTTCTTAGAGCATACGACACTTCTTCCCTCGGTAGGAGTTTTGGGACTTCCTATGGAACAATTGCTTCCCACGCAAGTGAGACAACTCGACAGCGCGCCCTCGAGCTTCACCATGAACATCGTCTCATTGGTGATGGAGGTGGGGGAGAAGGAGAGCCAGAGCCCGGCAGAGAACCGTTACTTGTCAAGCAGATACAACATGAGGACGGGACCAAGGAAAGTATCATTGTAGGCCAGAGTACTGTGCCACAAACCATCTTCAATTCGGTTAATGTGCTGATTGGAGTCGGGTTGTTGAGTCTGCCTCTTGGCATGAAGTACGCTGGCTGGCTGATTGGGCTTTTATTCCTGGGTTTCTCAGCTGTGGTCACAGCATATACTGCAAGGGTTTTGGCCAGATGTATGGAAGTCGACCATCACCTCGTGACTTACGGAGATCTTGCCTACGTTAGCTTCGGCCATCGCGCTCGTGTCGTGACCAGTCTGTTGTTCTGCTTGGAACTGCTAGGTGCTTGTGTCGCTCTGGTAGTATTGTTCGGAGACAGTCTCGGTTCTCTTGTACCTGGTCTCAGCTTTCTTCAGTGGAAAATCATCTGCGGCATTATTCTACTGCCGCTAAGTTTTGTGCCTTTGCGTTTCCTGAGTGTCACTAGTATTCTCGGCATACTCTCATGCACCGCAAGTATGTTTTTCTCTTCAAGAACAAATGGACAAAGAAAGAGAGAGTAAGTTGCTAACTTTCGAAAAGTCGTGACAATTGTCTTGATAGATGGTCTCATCAAGCCAGACGCACCTGGATCCCTTCTCCAGCCCGCCAAAACATCGCTTTTCCCGGACAATTGGGCAACTCTACCACTGAGCTTTGGACTTATCATGTGTACGAACAAACTAGCCACAGGAGATATCGATTTGTAATTGCTAACTGTGCCATAGCTCCCTGGGGTGGACATGGTGTCTTCCCAAATATCTACCGCGATATGAGACATCCTTACAAGTATGACAGGAGTCTACTTATTACGTATATTTTCACGGTAATTCATTATTTAACGTCTCAATTCAATTCCCTCTACTTCTGTTACTGATATCTCATGCATAGTACTCCCTCGATTGCTCAATGGCCGTAATTGGTTGGTTGATGTTTGGAGACGGTGTTCGTGACGAGATTATAGTAAATGTCTTGGAGACCTCTGGCTATCCTCGTGCACTTTCCATCTGCATGATATTATTCACTGCAATCATTCCAATCACCAAAGTTCCTCTAAAGTAGGTGGATATACTGCTCGGAAAATTATCTGTCAGAAAAAAACTGACACTAGTCTCCCAGTGCTCGACCACTTATCGCAACGGCTGAAGTTATTTGCGGCCTGGACTCGTCGAATCGTCATGATGCCTCGCAACATGGTAAAGCATTCTCTAGCACCGTTGCCAAAGTCCTTATACGTGTCTTCATGATCGTTTTGATCGTTTTCATTGCAATCGTCTTCCCATCCTTTGACCGCATCATGGCCCTCATGGGCTCTCTTTTGTGCTTCACAATCTGCATCATCTTGCCACTTGCTTTCTACCTGAAGATCTTTGGTACCGATATTCCGATTGGCGAGAGAATCTTTGACTGGTTGCTGGTTATCGTCTCAACGGTTATGGCTGTTGTTGGAACAACATGGGCCTTCTTGCCATTCCCGGAGTAATTAGTGTCGGATTGGGGTTGTTGGAATTGATAGATATATATATGTGCGTGTGTGTGTGGCATTTTTTGCAGCGTTCACTCAGCTTAACGCATGATTTGCATTGAGAGTAATAGTGAAGTTGTTTCTTATCTTCCCGGGGTTCAGTTCCTCCTTGCGGAAGATAACTTCTCTATTTCTGTTCCTGTCGAGAGGAGGGGGTGGGCGAAATTCCCAGAGTTGATATATGAGTTTGTTTGTAACTTTTTCCTCCAGTTTTATGTATCCCAGGCTTGAAGCAATATCGTGGAGCCGCTCTGAATTGAAATACCGTGAATTCAAAACACATGCAGCAGGCAGCACTAGGAAGAGGTATGGAGCAAACCCAGCCTCCGTCTCCGACGTAGCAACAGGAAGCAACGAGGAGGTAAGGAATAACGAACATCGTTTGAGCATTTCTCCTCTCTGCTCAGCAGAAGGCACATAGTTGAGGACCAGCGACAGGCTAATAGCATGGAATCGATCACTGTCTCCAGAAGGAAGAGGCCGCTCCATGAAATCTTGCTGCAATATACCTGGTTCTTGAGAATTGAGATCGATTCTCGTAACATCAATACATTCGTGCTGTGAACAGGCATTCTTCGTGCTGAGCGCGCCAACTTCTAGCAATCTCATCCTATGCGGACCCTGCTGCTGCTTGAGTCTTTTTAAAAGTGGCCGAATCCATTCAAGAAAGACAGTGCTAGAATCGCCGCCACGCTCTCGCGATTGCCCCGTCTTGCTGGCAAGTTGGTAGCTTTCCAGACCGCCGTTGGCTGCAATCTGAGCGTCTATTTTCTCTAACAGAGACGTATCTCCGGTGGAAAGAGCCCTTTGGCGGGCTTTTAGCAGCTGATGGTGAGATCTGATCAGGTTTCGCGTGGCTTTGGAAGATAGCGATGGTGATGATACTGATGCATTCTGCTTGATCGGTATACGGGGTCGAGTATGCGAAAGTAATGCCGGGCGTTTCGAGTGGCGCTTCTTAGTTGCCATGATGATTATTGTCTACATTATTAGGAGGATAGTATCATCGACGTCTACAAGTTCTGCTTTGCACGAAAAATTGAAGACTGAAAGGAAGAAGCATAACAGTCTAATCCATTTTCAGACTAGCGGAAGGCCCACTCGGCATTAAGGCTTTCTATTGGGCACAGCAGCGGCAGTCTTGGCATCCCGTGACATCCACACACAAATCTTCCTCGCTTAGAAAAATAACTCTCGGCTTGGGATCTGATCTTGAGATTTCGACAAGTTAATTCACGAGCAGACGCCCAATTACGACAACCATGGCCGGGGAAAAGAAAGGTAATTTCGCCATATTCTGATATGAGTCTTGTGGTTTTGTGCCTTTTTTTTTGTTGTTCGTTTCGTTTTCCCATCGATCGACTCGAGCATTGTCAAGACATGATGACGATAAAAAGTCGAAATGAAAAACCGGCAAAACTGAGAACCTCGTCAACCGCCAATCTTCGCTGCGCAATCACCGATAATCAATATGATAGTACCATCTTTTGCGTCGTGCTTGATAATTCTGAGGAGATCTGATGGGACGCGATTCTTTAATGATGACGATTTTGCGCAGTTAAATGGGTTGAGAGAAGAACTATGGGCTAACTCAATGTGCTTCTGCAGGAGCCAAGGTCAAGCCTAGCAACAAGGCTGGCGCTGCCGCCAAAGCCGTCCTCAAGGGAACAGGGGTATGAGACATACGTCCGATGGAAATAGCTATTGGGCAAATGCTAAAAACAGAGAACAGGCCCAGAAAGTGCGCAAGATCCGTACCTCGACCACATTCCACCTCCCCAAGACCCTCCAACTCTCCCGATCTCCCAAATACCCCCGCAAGTCGGTTCCCCATGAGACTCGCCTCGACCACCACAAGGTCATCATCCACCCTCTCAACACCGAGAGCGCCATGAAGAAGATCGAAGAGAACAACACCCTTGTCTTCATTGTCGATGTCAAGGCCAACAAGCGCCAGATCAAGGCTGCTCTTAAGACGCTGTACGACGTTGACACTGTCAAGATCAACACTCTTATCAGGTAGGGCATATTCCCATACATGTGTACGAAGGAACGCATACTAAGTGAAGTAAACAGACCCGATGGCTCAAAGAAGGCCTACGCTCGGTTGACTCCTGATGTGGATGCTCTTGATATTGCGGCTACCAAGCTAGCTATTGTTTAAAGAAAAAAAAGAATTCAATTTTACTTTTCTTTTCTCTCTCACGGTTGCACGGGTTAAATTAGGTGGTTCCCTTTTTAAAGAAACCAAAAATTCTCTTATTATTATTAAACATAGGCAAAGTCCTAAATGAAATGATGTCTACTGGGAAGATAAGACCATGGTCATAAGTAGTTATCTTGAAAAGATGATGATTTGAGAGATAATATTACAGTTAAAAGAGTTCCTGAGACTTTGTAGTAATAAAAATACATGGAAATATATCGTTCTGGCAATATATTCCAACCAACTTTCCGGTCCATCTAGCAGAACAGGACATTCAAATATATTTCATAACACCCGAATCCATAGCTAGACAGTTGTATGGCGGTACGGCAGACTCGTCTCGAATAAATCCATTTGCAACGCTTTTATTTCTCCTTCCCTCCTATCGTCTTGTGTTACGCTTATTTCGCACCACGGAGAGTCTCAAGATGCTTCAGGACAGCCAAATTGGCATCCATCCATCTGCCAACGCAGTTTTCCGCGCACGATTCCTCGGTTCGGTCGAGTCGGTTAGATGAGATTTTTCCCGCAACGCATTTCTTGAAGCAGAGTTCGGAGAGGTGATGGACAGCTATATAAGTGTTAGTATGTTTAGGATGTATGTATACGATATGTATCTGTAGACAGTGCAATTGACGTCATTTAACAACGACTTGGTTTTTCGTAGGAACAAGGGTGAATACGGTTGAGTGAAAGGATGCCAATTGGACAATGGAATCGATATGTATCCATAAATAAGAAAATGAAGAGGAATCACTTACTCTGTTGGATGTTCGACTTTTGAGTCTCGTTTTGCAAAAATTGACTCAGTTCCTGGCGATCAGATGCAGAGAGTCTGCTTATGTCGACTTGCGGTTGTCCGTCCATTTTCCTTATTTCTTATCCAACAAACTGGGATATCCCTAATGAAAGTTTCTCTTTGTCTGTGGAAGGAGAAAAGTATATCAAATGATAGTTGGTGTTTTTTTTTTATCGCTTTGGACCTGCCGAGCTACAAAGCTCGATAGCAGATAAAGGCGGTGTGCTGTCTCTAACGGCAGAAACACAAACCTTCCTGATTTATTATCCAGGCCCGCCACTTTTTGACTCAACTAGTCAAGGCTCAACTCAGACAAATACAGCACAGCAAAGAGTTCATTGCCACATACTCTTCTCTGCCGAGCTTATCCTGTGCGAATAATTTTCAAAGCACGCAAAACTAGAAGTGGAAAGCAAGATGCCTCCAATCCGGACAACCCGCAATCAAAAGCCTCCGCCAGCAGGCTTCGACGACATCGAGGATACTCTGCTAGAATTCAGCAATAAAATGAAAGATGCCGAGAACGCATCGCATGAGGGCAAGAAGCGGCATGAAGTTCTCTGGCCAATCTTCCAAATAAGCCATCAACGTAAGTCTAGTGCTTTTGCTTGCCTTTCGATGGTAGGGGGGGAAGGTAAAGAGACTGACAGATTTTGATAGGGTCCAGATACATATACGAATTATACTACGAGAAAGAGGCGATATCAAAACAGCTTTATGACTGGTTATTGAAAAATAAATATGCAGATGCGAATTTGATAGCCAAGTGGAAGAAGCAGGGATACGAAAAGGTATACTTTTATTCCCTCTTTCCCTTAAAAATGTGTCTAGACTGATTTTCTCTTCTCTAGTTATGTTGTCTCCGCTGTATTCAAACGAAAGAAACCAACTTCAATTCCACCTGCATCTGCCGTGTACCAAAAGCACAACTCAAAGAAGAGCAGGCCATACAATGCGTGAGCTGTGGATGCCGGGGATGCTCGAGCAGTGATTGATCCAGGAACCCGTACGATTACTTTAAAGGTTGTACGAACCTTGAGGGGTTTTATACACGGATTTTTATCTATTTATTCGTCATGCCTTTTTATTTCTCTTCGTCCGGCGTTGGCGACTGACTCTCTATTATTTTGTGATTAATCTCGGTGATACCCATGGACTTTCCATTTTTCATTTTCAGCTTATGAATGAATACAGGGGGAGGAAAGGTTACTTGTATGCATACATACCAAACAGTCCATATAATTACATAGCTTGCAACGATAAGTGAGTATACTTCGATCATTTCGCATAGAACGAGCTACGTATTTGTCCATACCTCTAGTTATCCATGTCAATTTCATCCATTTATCCTTCCATCCAACCATTATTGCAATCCCACATTCAATCAAGGTAGCTACATACAGGAAAAAGACAAACATGCAAGACGGCAACCCCCATTGCAAAGAAAAGGAGAGAAAAAAGATACATGCCCCCCCAAAAAAACAAACCCATCAATCGCTAAGGCTAAAGCTCATGTACATGAAACATCTTGTCTGTTCGTCAAATCATAACCAAAAGAGAGCAAATTCCCAATTTATCCATTCATCCCAGATCCATCCAAAAGACCAATTTTGATTGCGCATGCAAAGAAACGCCAATGTCCAGAAAAGTAGATCGCAAAAAGGCAGAAAAAGAAAAAGAATTATTACACAGACCAGTTGCAGACGCAGAAAGACAACACCAAGTCAAATAAAACCTGAACCAACCAGAGAAAAGTGAATAAAAAGCAATTGAACATCCTCAAAACAACGCATAGAATAATCAATACAGTCAAGGCTCAGATTTGGATATCACGTTTTGTGCTAATTATCAGGGTGTGACACTTCAAATCAACCCCCTTAGAAAAATGATGTGTAATTTCGATTGAGTTGATGTTTGACCCCGGTCGATTTGGTGGTGGCTATGGTGCTGTTGTTATTATCTTTGGCATTACCACCAATCTTCTTGAATCCTTGGAGAAGATCCACTCCATCAACATCGTCAGAGCCGTCCTCAAACATGTTGAATGAGAAAAAATCATCATTTGATGCGTCGAGGATTCGAGCTGATTGATGAGGCGGGATCTTCGAAGGAGAATCATGGAAGTGGGATGATAATGATGCCGATGATCCCTTGCCATTATTAGACAACAGGTAACGACCACTTCGTTTATTGACACTTGTCGATGTTATATCAGACAATGCTGACTCGGTCAAGGCATTTCCAGTGCCCGTGTCGCGCTTGATAGCGCGCTTCTCAGGAGACTTGTAAGGTGTGTAGACGACATCTGCTACCGAATCGGCAAAGATGTCGAAATGTAACTGAATGTTCTCATTATTTGGAGTTGCCGAGGTCTCGTCATGGATTGTGAAAGCCGGACTCCACGGTACATCTTCGTCGCCAAGACCAAGATGCTTGATCGGCGAGTTCACCATTTGCTGAATCTTGCGTCGGTGATTGCGAAGATTCGTATTGGGTGACAAAGATGGAGGCGGCTTGGGCGGTTTCTTGAATTTGATCATCGGCGTCAATGGAGGAGGTAGTAGACTGACATATTCTCCACGGAATGGAGACGAGCCAGCCACGGAAGTCGAGCTCTTCTTCAGGGTCTTTGAGTGGCTAGGACTAATATCATGAGATGAGCTTCTGATCCGGGCAATCTCCTCCTCCGCACGACCTCGTTTCATGCGCGGAGGTTCTATGTCTAAGTCAGAGGTCAAGATATGGCCAGCCTTATTTGTCCTCATAACCGAGGATTCCAGAGACGAATAATATCCACTGTCATTCGCAGCCGCAGAAGGATTGTTCCGCGACCGAGGAACTGCTGTAGATGCCATAGGGCGAGTAGGAGTTGGTGGAGTGCCTTGTCGTGAGAAGCGAGAAGGCGCAACTGGTGGAGATGAGCGTATGACCTGAGGAGGGGAAGAGCGAGGAATATTTGGGTGAGCCGTTGCGCTTGGAGCTTCTTCCTCGGGACCGTCCTCTTGGAGAGCCGGATCCGAAGCGAGAATGGTAGCATCAGACGACGGTTCCTGAGTTTTGGCAACTTCTGTAGGCTGGACAGAAGAGGACGAAGGTGGAGGGACTCTCCACATAGATGTACTGGATTGGGGTGCAAATGTAGGAGCATCCCTTTGAAGGATAATCGGGGGTAGTGGAATGCTAGACAGTGTTGCTCGTCGAGCAGACCTGTCCTTGACGAATTGTGCCTCCATACCAGGTTCGATTGCCCAGTAATTTCCCTTTCCTGGGTCATCCTTGCCACGCTCGCGCTTGATGAACGCTTTGTTCAAGCTGAGATTATGGCGAATACTGTTTTGCCAGCCCGCATCCCCAGAACGGTAGAAAGCGAAGGTATCAGAAATCCATTTGTAAATACTGGAGAGTGTCAGTTTTCGATCGGGCGCGCGTAGTATTGCCATGCCAATCAAAGTCGCATAGCTGTAAGGTGGCTTGGAGCCATCATCCACAATAGGTGGCATTTCATGAGGCTCTGGGAGCGTAAATGCCACTGAATCCTCACGCTTCTGCTTTTTGGATGTTTGACGGTCCTTCAAGAGAGCCGCTTCCATGAGAGACCGTTTAAGTGGCCGCACTTGACAGGACGGGTCTGGAAAGTCTGCAAAGCCGTCATTGGGGAAGCTAGAAGAGAATTGGTGTTGAGTCGGATAGGGAGATGGGGCGCTAGGAAAAGTTGAGAAAGCAGCCTGCAGTGGTAATGAAGGAGCCCGTCGATGAAGATAATGAGACGAGTTTCTTTTGACAGGGGAATCGGTGGGGAACATTGCTGGAGAAGGCGCACTTATCGACACGAAGCCGAGTTTGCTGCCTTGGTGGCCTGAGTCGGAAGACTTGGGACGATGATATCCTTTTGTCGGCGATGACTTGCGAAGGCCTGTAGTACTTGGTGGGTTGAGCACATACGGAGCATTGCTTGTGCTGCTGATATCCTCCGGGTGGGGAGGTAGAGGTGAAGGTTGCAGTGAAGCGGGCGGTTTTGGTGTGTTGCTCTTTCTTCTCTCTTGATCAGCGGATGGTGGGTGGTGATGAATGGCATTCAAGCCAGGCTGGCCGTGCGCTGAAGCCATCGATTGCAGAAACAAGCCAAGCGGCTGCAAGAACGCTTCTTGTTCGTTATCTCTTTCTATGGGCGCTAAGAGATATGCCGAATGTCCATGGACTTGATGTTTACAGGCAGCCACAGGCGGGTTGGGTGGCAGGTGCAAAAAGGTCAGAAGATGAGCGCAAACGCTTGCACAAAACGGATTTTCGGCGTATGGGGGGATTGTTTGATGAACGGGTGCCGAAGTTGGAGTGATGGCAGACTTTCAAAGCCAGAGAGGGTCAAGGCGTCCAGGAAGAAAAAAAGGCGGCGAGGCCCGACGGGAACGACTAATATCCAAGGCGAAGAAGAGGAGGGCTGAGCCTGATGGATAAACTACTAAGATGGACCGTCACACAGTGTGGCGTGCTGAGCTAGGGGAATCATTCAGTCGCGTTGAGTCCCGGCATTGACGAGCGTTCCAGGCCCACGACACGCATCGGGAAAGGACAGGCAAAGCAAGCGAAGATGCACGATGATTGATGGAAGGGGGGCGGCGCGAGGACAAGGACTGGCGGTGTTCTTGCTCATCGTTGGACGGTGGATGTTGTCGGGAACGCGTGAAGGCGACGCGTTTTGATGCGCTGGCAATGGGGGTCCGCTTTAGCCGCTTGCGGCCTAGCGCTGATTGCGCTCGCGGCCAATCACGGCGCGCGCGTTGCCGCCAGCAAATAATTGGATCTGCGTCCCTTGCACAGGCCCAACCCAGGCATGCCGCGGTGTGCCTGCGCCAGGAACGCTGCGAAAGGGCAGGATGCGAGCACGCAAGGACGGCTTGCGACAAGGAGAAGAAGGCGCCTTTCGTGAAGGGGTCAGGAATCTGTCTATCTGCACATGCAGGCTTCCGAGGGATCTCCCTGTGGAGAATTATCGCTGGATAAGATAGTTGACTTGATACTAGTTGATAGTGCTAGTCTGGATCCTGCAGCGTTAGCCAGCCAATAGTGCTGGCTCTGGCTGCGCAGAATAACTTCTAAATTCACAAAATTATAACACATCAAATAATAATACATCAACTTATGCAAGAATTAGTCCGGATTGGTTGGTCTTGGCGCCATAGTCGGTGGAAGCCTCAGGCCTTACTTACATCATCGCCCTTTATCGATATCAATATCAACGTCCTTGCAGGGCCTCCTTTCAAGGGATTGTGATAATCATTGAAGAGAAACGAATACAGGTACCGAAAAAAAAAAGTCTCCTTCTATGTACATACGTATATATGAAAAGAGTCTTGTGTTTGATCAATCAAAAGTATAATGAAATAGAAACCAGAACCAGAATCAAAATCAAACGCCGTCATCGAACTCCCCAATGCAATCGCATTTGAAACAAGTCAAAAGAGATCTAACTCGCCTCGCTTGGCGATGATGTATATAAATGGCTTTTTTCTATCTCCCAGCGCGGTCTGTACATTAAATGTTTGGAGTGAATATGAAAACTTTTTCGGCGCCATGAATATTTCGAAACTGTCAAAAGAAAAGCGAGCAATTTTCATTCCAAAAAGGTGAAAAGGCTCGTATGCAGGATATTAATGGCACGGTCAGCATCTCTTTCGTCAATCACACACGAGATATTGATTTCGCTCGCGCCTATATAGCCATCATTTAGTAGTTTGTTCACTTGTTGCTCGATTCAGAGAGGCAATGCTCACCTTGCGAAATCATTTCAATATTGACATTATTCTCCCCAAGGGTGGAGAACATCTTGCCAGCGACCCCAATCATATTCTTCATCTGCCGGCCAACCAGGCTCAGAATGGCCATCTCTGGGATGATATCCACGGTTCCATATCTCCTTAGATCTTCAATGGCGCCGCGTAAATCTTCGTCGATAATCTGGTATTCGTCCCGACCAATGCCATTAAGAAGCGGCATCTCAGAGTGAAGGGCCATGGAAACATGTACTTCGCTGGTAGAGATCAAGTCGATAGAAAGTCGCCATCGATCCAGGACGGAAAATATACCGGCGAAGAACCCGTGAGATAGAGATCGTTTATTGGAGTGCACGTTGATAACCAAGATTTTGTGTTTGATAGTGACCGCCGTCGGCCTCTTGGGCCCCTGGACCTGGCCCGACAAAACACTGGCGCTTCTTGAGCGAAACAGCTTTTCCTCATGCCCAGTCGCTAATCGCTCCAGATCTGCCTTTGAATCAGGGAAGATGACAGTGCCATTTCCCTTTGGGTTCATGACATTTTTAATACGGATTGGTATCCTCGCGCGGATGACTTGCTCCATGGTAAATGGGTGGATGACCTCGGAGCCATAGAATGTCAATTCGGCCGCTTCTGCCGGTGTGATGGTAGACAAAAGACGGGCTGTCGGGACTTTCCGAGGGTCTGCCGTAAATATGCCATCGACCTCTTTCCAGACTTGAAGCTCGCTGGCATTGACGCCCACGGCGACCAGGGCGGCGCAGAGATCTGTATATCCTCGGCCGATCTTGTCGAGCAGACCTCCCGGGACCGGTCCGAAATACCCCGTAATGACAGGCACTCGTGACTCACAGGCTCGGATTCTTGCACCCAACGCGCTTGCGAGTTGGTCGTAAAACGCTTGGTCGAGACCTCCATTGCTTATAGTAAAATCTATTATATCAGACAGATCCACATATTCCGAGGCTACTCCACGATCTTGAAGAAGAATGGCCATGAAGCGACAGCTGAGCTTCTCTCCGGCGCTAATCACTTTATCGACGCATCGTGCGCTTGTTTCTCCGAGAGTCTGGGCGGCTTCCAGGATTTTAAGGACATGAGCGCATTCGTCGTTGATCTGTGATATCAATTGATCTCTAAGCTCCACCGATTTTATCTGCTGTTCGGCCACTTCCACGTGCTCTTGCCTCACGGCCTCGACTAGAATATCGTAGGTCTTGGATTTCGAATTCTGGGCGTCTCGAGCCGCTCGTAGGAGGCTAATCGTGGCATAGTAATATTAGTCAATGCACCAAGAGAAAGAAAGGAAAGGAATTTGTGAGTCATATCGCACTGACCGATTGGTGGTTCCTTCGGCCTTGGAAGAGCTGCTGCGTGCGGAACATACGACGGCTACTTTTTGTTCGGCCACACTTGGTCTGGTCGGTCGGGGTCAGTAAAGGACGACAAAGCAAGAAGGAAAACAGAAGAAATAATCATACAGCACAATATGATCCACGATTTTCAGAGCGAACTTGCCCACGCTGGTTCCGCCGAATTTCTGCACCACCCACGCGGGATCGGAAGACGCACTGCTATCATCGCCGTTCAAGGATGGCGGGGTATGATCTGAAAGAGGCATCGCTGCGCCGGACCGAGTGCCGCATAAAAATAAATGGTCTTTTTGTTCTCTCTCTGTTGACTCTGTCTTGTTTGGCAATGTTCACGTTTTTGTTTTGAAGTATGACTGTTTGGAGTTGAATGGAAATTGTCTGGTCTGCGAGATCCGATGCCGCTCTCAGGTTGATTTTATTGCGAAAACGGCCCCGCTGTGACTCAGTCTTTTTTTTTTCTCTCCTCTGCAATTGCGCCAATCTGATTTGCCCCCCGCCTGGGTTACCCCTTTCTATAGTAAATCAAACGAATGCTTATTAGTCTGAGTCTTGACTCCTAGTTCATTGCGTGAGTGTGCCCCAAAATCGACATTTCAGATTCCAGAAGACTGCCTGGTAAACTGCATTAGCTGGGCAAAATCATATCTTTTTTTGGTACCACAGCATACATGGTAGGGCAGATTCCAATGTACATAATGATCGTAATCACAGGATAATAATAATAGATAAATCCTACCTGGTAGCTCAATCATTGATGAAGTTTCTAGATCTACCCGCGGCATCGTCACATGACGGCACTTCCTACAGGCAACCACCCCCGATGTTATTTATTTCTTTTCCCGCTTTCCTTTGCACAGAAACATGAGTAAGCATGCCACTGGGGACTACGCTCTATCGTGTCCTTTCTGCGAGTTTCAAGACCATGACCCCGATTTCCTAAGCCAGCACGTGGCGTTCTGTCACCCCGAAGACCCCGTCCAGACAGCTGCGGAAGAGGAAGAAGATGAGCCCACAGCTGCCGCCCCAGACGATACTAGTCTCTACGTTTCCTGTCCCCACGGTTGCGGCGAGTCAGTGGCAAGAGCCGAGTTGCAGCTGCATCTAGACCTGCATGTGGCAGAATCAGTAGCCCTCGATGAATCCGGGGGCCTTGAAGGAGGATCTCTAGACCACACTCGAGCCACTGCTCAACCAAGTGGTTTCACCGACAGTCACGATGAAGATCCGCATCTACACTATGAGGAGGACCCAATCGCACATTCCCCTGATATCGTCCTGGAGGGAAAGACTACAGGTGGTCGTCGCCGGAAACATAGGAAAGAAGGCACGAAATCGGAAAATAAGGGCCTTAGAAAACTAGGCGTGTGTCTCTCCCGTTGACTTCCAATCGCCTCGTTTGGCTAATGCTAATGATAATCGTGCTCAAGCGTGCAGAACTAGGCCCCTATGCCCATGAGAAGCAGATGCCTTCGTGGCTGCGCAAACTACTCCAGACAGGTTCCATAGAAAATACCCAAACGAAGATTGGTCCAAATGGCCTACTTGTTAAGGACAATGTTGCCGAGAATGAGACCTCGCAAGTCATTCCAACGCTGATTGAGCTGTGTCGACATGATACTGGTGTTCAGAGGGCTTTCTTCTGTAGCCCTCGAGTGCGTCATATCTTCAAGTTTATGAGAGAAGGCGGGTTTTGCGGTTATAGAAATATACAAATGCTCATCTCACACATTATAGACGCTCAACTACCCGGACACGAGCACTTTTCGGGTCGCATTCCCTCAATCCTGGATCTTCAAAATATGATCGAGCAGGCGTGGGATATGGGGATCAATAGTAGCGGACGAATCGAAACTGGCGGTATCAAGGGTACAAGGAAATATATTGGTACTCCTGAGGTATTTTCCTCTCTACCTTTCTCACATATAGACGTTATCTAGAATCATTAGAGGTGTTTTTGACTACTACTACTAACACATCAATGAACAGGCTCAAGCTCTCTTTCTAAGCCTTGGAATCAAGTGAGTGTATGGTCCTTTCTTCATGTGGAAATCCACAACTCTAACAAATAATCTGCAGATGCACTGCAGGTGCCTTTGCATCTGAAAATGGATATCGAGCCCACGACATGCTCTTACAAGATGTAGCGAGTTATTTCCGCTCGGGCTGCCCGGCCTCGCTTCTAGAGAGTAACGAGAAGATTTTGGAAACGGATCTTCCGCCCATATATCTGCAACACCAGGGCCATTCGCTGACTATTGTTGGCTTTGAAATCAACAGTGCTGGGGATGCTGATCTCCTTGTCTTTGATCCGATGTTTAGGACGTCGCCAGCCATCCAGCGACTGGTTGGTAAATTCGTGAAGCCCTCTGATCCATCTCGCGTGCTGAAGGTCTGGAGGCGAGGGGCGCCTTATTTGCAAAAGCACAAGGAATTTGAGATTTTGAAGCTGGTCTGATAATCTTACTCTTAGTCTGTCGATATCAAGACTGTAGATGTCAAAAAGTAAATAGAATAACATAGGATAATGAAATTAAGTCGATTGAAGACTGTTACCCATTGTGACATTGTCAGGCAACCCACCTTGCCGTTCTGGGATTAGCGTGGATAACCTTAAATTTTTGAACCTCTCTGGATTATTTTCGTCTGATTTTCTCTAGCGACAATTCAATTCAATACTTTATCCATATTCCTTGAATTCCTCGGTCCATACAGCATCCGACGAAGCAATTATACGAGCTTTGATTTTTTTCTTTTCCAGACTGATTAGCCCATCCATCATGCGCACATCGCCAAACATTATCATAACCGGCACGCCAGGCGTCGGCAAGACAATCCATTGTGAACAATTGGCCCAGGACACAGGCTTACAGCATATGTCCATTAATGACGTTGCGAAGAAATACGATTGTTTTATTGAATTTGATAAGAATTTACAGTCGCACATCGTTGACGAGGAAAAGGTATATCCCATCCACCAAGCCTATCTCCCAGTCAGCAAAACTTTTCACTTTGTGCTAAAACTTCATTTTCTGCAGTTACTAGATGCTATGGAAAACGATGTACCCAATGGTGGATATATAATAGACTGGCATGGATGCGATTGCTTTCCGGAGTCTTGGATCGATCTTGTTGTTGTTTTGCGCTGTCCTTCTACTGAAATCTTTCATGATCGATTATCTAAGAGGTATCGATATTTTCTCTACTGAATCGTCTATTTCTTTGCTAATACAAATTTATCATTGCAGGGGATACGGCGACGAAAAGATACAAGGGAATGTAGACTCCGAAATCTTCGGCTGTTTACTTGAAGAAGCACAAGACGCATACGACCAAGAAATAATCATTGAGCTCATGAGCGAAACCAGCGAACAAATAGATAGTAATTGCGCCAGAATCGCCGCCTGGGTGGAGTCTTGGAAGGAAGCTCATTCAACAGATGACTCTGCAGATTCTGATGCTTAAGAAAAGATGAGATGAGCCTGATTTAATTGAGGCCGTCTTGACTCAACAACCACTCTTTCAGCTTCATGAGAGCTTTGAAGCGGTGGGAGATTTTATTCTATAAAGGCGATACGTTATTATTACGATTTTTATGGGCAAAAAAAAAAGAAACTCACCTTTCCCTCTTTATCCATCTCAGCAAATGTTTTCCCCTCATATTCGAATACGGGATCCCAACCTATCAGAGTCAGCCAGTCATTCTCGGTCTCAGCAGCAACCCGATTTGACGTACCAAAATTCGCTGGTCCTCGAGCAGCTACAATTTTTCCCTTTTTTACCCCGCTCTCGAGTCAGAAGCGCTATCGTAAAACAGGAAGGCAATTTCAAAGGGGTTTATTGATAGAGGGAAAAGAAAACATACCAGAGTCCTCCCTTGAAACAGAATGGGTTCCTCACCAGGCCCATGCGAAAACGCAAATGTACATACGGCTTCTGCAGAGCGATCATCGAAAGAATCGAGCATTTTGTTCAGGCCTTCGTGTCCGAGAGCTTCGAGGAATGATTTACTATATGTTGCATAGTTTTCTAGTTTAGTTTTCTTCGTTTTCCTCTCTTTTTTTTTGGCCTGGGAACGATGTCATGATGTATTACGTACATGTATGGACCTGGAAGGCCTTTGTAGGCATGAAACTCGAGCGCCGTGTCCTCTGTTAATACCGGGCCTCCAACCTGAAAAGAAATAGATGAGTAAACATCAACCCAATTGACCAGACGTCGGTTCTTGTAACTATTGCCGCTGTATATATGTATATATATGCCTAGCCATCATCAAATGCCAATTGTAAAGCGCCTTTAAAGTAAACTCACCTCGGCAGCAGCTCTCCGACACTTTTCCTTTGCAATCTCCTCTATTGTCCCCTGGATTTCGGGGACTTCGACTGACTTGTTGTCTACAGTGACTGCATCACCCAGGATAGCGCGTACTTCGCTGAGTTTGTTTTTGTTGCCGGTTATGAAGTTGAGGGTCTTCATTCTGGCTGCCTTTTGTCTTCTGTGACTTTTAGCGTGTAAGGGGATACGAAATATTAGTAGAGTGTGAAAGTTGTGTATGATATAGATATAGATGATATCAGTTCACGAGGGGTCTGCAGTTTTTCTCGGAGGGTTAGGTGGGTCCGTTCATACTACAAGTACCCAAAGAATCACCACATAAATCTTGTCTCTGCGAACAGTGTCAACCTCGAACAAGAGAGCCTATATCGTGGTAACTGATTCGATATAGCAAATTACGCTTGGTATCGGCGTACTATGCAGTGTAGCAAATACTGTGTTGTTGTGTTAGGGCTAGGGTTCGATGATGGATAAATATAGATCAGGCTATAAATAGCGTCATGCAGTTAAGCGCCCAACATGTCGCAAGCTTCAAGCCAACCATCTGCATGCCTTCCTCTTCGCTGCATATATATAATATGGCGTCAAGACACCTCCCCACGTCTATCACAATGCTGCAAAGATAAAGGAAAATGGCCGGGAGGGCGCTGCTCTCGCACTTCAGAAGGAAAAAGAAGGTCGAGACAGCTCCTACCCAGATCAAAGATGAAGCATCCAAGACAAATAACGGCCCTTCGATCAATGGAGATGGGTCCTCAACCCAGTCTCCCAACCAGAAGGACTTGTCGGGGCGAGCAAAAAAGCCGGAAGACCTCTCGGCAACAAATCGTCTGTGGGAAATGGCCTATAATAAGATGGATCCAAGCATGATGCATCAATACGAAGCATGCTTGCTGCTGGGCAGCCAGTCTTCTGGAAATCGCCAACAGAAGCTCCAGCATGCCGTCAAAGAAAGGCTAGAGGCTACCATTAACGCACGACGAAAAATAACGATTGGCCAGGAGCAGATTGTTGTTAGAGATCAGGTTCTGAAAGTAATCAACAGGATTTCCGGATTCAAAGATCTCATTTCAGCTGCCGTGAGTGTTGAGCCTAATGCCAGCCTTGCTTGGGGCGGTGTTTCTGCTTTGCTTCCAATAATATCTACCGCTTTATCGCAATCGGACGACGCCCTGGATGGACTGGATTACATTTCTGAGCTCCTGGTGCGATTTCGAGTCATAGAATTGATGTATGAGCTATCTGGAGACCCAGGAAAGAAAGATAAGCCCGTGGAAAGGACCCGTGAGCTTCGTGGACTGCTAAGAGACAAAATCATCGACCTTTATACCCAGATTCTCAAGTATCAGATATTTCTTGGAAAGCATTATTCGCACAATCAATTCTATCGTCTACTCAAAGATATAGCTGTGCCCGATGAATGGAAGGATTTGTGTACAGATATCAAACAGACAGAAAACGACATTGATAGTGCTTTAAAGACACTGGACTACAATGCTACTCATGTTGTCAACCGTCAGTTATCCATCCTAGGCGATGAGGTAAAAGATGTCGTAACCGAGGTTAAGGTATGTTAGTTGGACGATGGTTATTGGATAATTGATGTTGACTATGTCTCCAGAAATTGTCTCAATTTGAGCACATCATGACCCTCCCAAGGGTAGATTATGCAGCTTTTGACGAGTATAAAAAGGATGGATTTATCCCTCCTCGATGCCATAAAGAAACACGAAAGGAAATTCTAGAATCTATCAGATCGTGGGGAGAAAGCCATGACGATCAATCTATATTCTGGCTCAGTGGAATGGCAGGAACAGGGAAATCGACAATTGCACGAACGGTCGCTGCCAACTTTGATCAAAAGAATCGACTTGGAGCAAGCTTTTTCTTTTCAAGAAATGATAAAGATAGGGCCGAAGCGGATGGGCTTTTCTCTACCCTGGCCCTTGATCTAGCATCAAGGATCCCAGATTTTCGGCAATTCCTGGACGAAAGTCTTCCAGAATATAGCAGCATTCAAAATCAGTCCCTATCAAAACAGTGGGACTGTCTGATAATGCAGCCTTTGTCAGCTCTCGGCAGTCATTCGCTAGTACCACTTATTTTGGTCATTGTTATTGATGCCCTAGATGAATGCAAAGGGATCCGTTTTGTCCCTGAAATAGTTACACTTCTTGCTACGGCAAAGGATTTACAAGGGATTCGTCTTCGGGTCCTCGTGACAAGCCGACGCGAGGAACACATTACACACAGCTTTCAAAAAATGGCAAATGTTACTTACAAGGAGTTGGTTGTTGATTCTACTTCAGATGGGAACACAGAGCGCGATATCTCTATTTACTTGAAGGACGAACTTGCAAAAATATCTGCAGAGAATGAATTAAAAGATTGGCCTGAAGAACATTATATACAGCAACTGCAGCAATTGAGTGGACGCCTGTTCATCGCTGCTGCCACCGCATGTCGCTACCTGTGGGAATCCAGAAGCCCAGAGGATATGCTGCCAGTATTACTAGATTCTCGCAACACCGGCGATGAAATCACGGGCGATCTAGATAATATGTATCTTTTCGTCTTGAACCAAGCCGTCGGAAAAGGTCATGAAAAGAAAGTGCTCGCGCCACGTTTCCAGCTGATCGTGGGATTCATTGTCGTTTCTGTTGAGCCTCTATCATCTTCTGGTATAGAGCAGCTTCTTCAAATTTCGCACTCTCATACGGCTTCTATCTTGAAAAATCTACATTCTGTGTTAACCATCCCGGAAGATGATGGGTTGCCCGTTCGGATTTTTCACCAATCTTTTCGCGACTTTCTTCTCGATGACTCAAGATGCAAAGACGAAGACCTTCACGTCAAAGAGGCAGAAAAACGTAAAGAGATTGCTGAACATTGTCTAGGACTTCTCTCAAAATCACTGAGGAGAGATATCTGCGAACTGCGTCTCATGGGCACGCTTTTTTCTGAGATTAGCCATGATGTTGTCAAGAAATACATTCCGCCGGCTATCCAATATGCCTGTCGCTATTGGGCTGCCCTTTTGGACGGTGTCGATATTACTCCAGCTGACGCCGAAAAAATCTTTGTCTTCCTCAAGGACCATCTCCTTCACTGGCTTGAAGCACTAAGCTTGCTGGGACGAATGGTGGATGCAGTCACGAGCATTAGGATTATACAAAATGCGGCCGCACAAGTAGGTAAAGCATGTCTAGATTGTTTGATGAGCGTCATGTTAACCAAAACTCTAGGTTTCTGAGATTAAAGGTTTTCGGGATTTCGCTGATGACGCCTGCCGATTTATTCTATATCATCGCCCAGTTATCGAGATGGCCCCCCTTCAAGTGTACTACATGGCTACTATTTTTTCCCCAACAGCCAGTCCAGTGCGACAACAGTATTCTAGCCAAAGACCCCGCTGGATATCTAGGTCTCCTTTTATGCAACAGCATTGGGAAGCGATGGAGCAAATTTCGGTGTTTGGCCCGCGTTCATTTTCAGGTCTAACAATTTCCTGTGATAGCAGCAAGGCCGCTATTGGAGTTATGAAGGACTCCTTTTACATATGGAATATCTCGACTGGGCAGGTCGAGCAGAAGCTCGAGAACCCAGATCATGAAGAAATGAAACTAAAATTCTCTGACGATGGCAGTAAATTGATATGTGTTCCACAGGGTGTTAAGAGTAGTATGGCACGGATTTGGAGTCTTTCGACTGGTCAGGCTGAGATGATGCGGTTTCCCTTACATCCTGGAGTCGCATCGACAAAAATGGATTTTCGAACAGACAAAGGAACTATCATATCTGTCCCAGGAGACATTGAACGAGCCCTGAATGGATATTACTTTTTACAGTCTCCCGATGGTCACCAGGCAGTCTTTCTCAAAGACAGTGGAGCCTATTTATGCAATTTGGCAACTCAGAGGATTGATCATTTTCTTGAGTGGTCCCAGGAGAAAGAAGTAATGGGCCTTTCTAGCACTAGGATTGTTTTTCAGACAATCCAAGAAGCCCAAAAAAACATTGAAATATGGGACATTACTACCCGGCAATGTGTGAGTGTTATCAACCTACCAGATACTCCAATGGCCGTGGCTATCTCCTCTGACGGCTCTAAACTGGCTCTCTCGGTTTCGCCAAGCTACGACATTCAAATATGGAATATTGGCATTGGCGAGATAGAGATCATTTTGAAAGGGCACTCAAACTGTATAGCATATCTCAGTTTCATTCTTCAAGATAGAAAACTGATATCCACTTCATATGACCGTACAGCCCGGATATGGAATATCAATGTGCAACAAAAACAACAAAACCCAGAGTTCGGGACTCAACTCAAAAAGGTCGAGTATTTGACTCTCTCTCAGGACGGCAACAAAGCTATCTTGAGGCTGGATGACTTCAGTATTGAAGTATTCGATATCAGCTCAGGGCATTTGGCAAAGGTTATATCGACAAAGAAAGAAATGAACGAACCAATATTTTCCAAGGATGGTACCAAGCTAGCGGCTGTGAGCGAGGACGGTTATTTGCGGGTATGGAATTTAAAAAATTGCAAGATTAATACCGATTTTGAGATTGAGCTTGCAATATACATAGCTGGTTTGAGGTTTAGTTTTGCCTTTTCGCCTGATGGCTTAAAATTGGCAGTGCAAAGTTCAGAAAATACTGCTGAAGTGTGGGATTTGACTACGAAGACATTAGAACGGACACTAAGACTCAGTGATGCTCAGATTCCTCGTACTATCTTTACTTTTTCACCGAATGGGACTATGCTGTCAATGCTCAGAGGATTAGAGTCGGCTATAACAATATGGGACGTCAACACATGGGATATCAAGGACACATTTGAGAACAGCGTTAGCAGCGGTATGCCTTACAGCGTGGCCATATCAAATAACAGCTCTCTGGTTGCTGTGGGATACAGAAAGTCTGTGCAGATCCGGGACACAGTTGACAAAAAGTCTCACAAACTCGCGACCAATACAGGATTTCATAACTACCCTATATCCCTGGCATTTTCGACCCAAGACACCAGGCTTGCATCAGGATGGGTAGATGGGAGTATCAGAATTTGGAATATCACCACAAAACAGACTGAATGGGAGTTTAAGGCACACCCAAGCCTGGTGAATACACTGGCCTATTCTGCAGGTGACGATAGCTGGGACCAGGCGTCGTACTATACTCTAGACAAGGAAAGCAAGTGGATTGAATATGGTGGCAGCAGGGTTTTGGCTCTCCCTCGCGACTTTCAATGGACACGCGATTGGCATGGGTCCAAGAACGATACTAGAGGCAAAACTTTCGCATTCTTGTCTGATAGCAAGCGGATTGCGACTTTTATGTTCGAGGGGACTCCTGACTTTATTGATTAATCTGCAGGATGTTATGGTGACAGCAAAGGTTTAGCTCTCCCTCGCGACATTCAACGAACATTCAATTTGGGTGAACATCTGAATGATATACTAGAGGCAATGCTCCTGTATCCTTGTCTAATAGCAAGCAGGCTGTGACTTTTATCTTCGAGGTTTAACCTACTCTCGCGACTTTTATTGGATATTTGATGGATTGCAACTTTTGTCTTTGAGGGTCCAGGGGCTCTTTTGTCTGGTTTTGAATGTTCACGTCTGTCAGCGCTGTACTCTGCTATCACTGTGATATATATATATCTTGATTATATCTGGACGATCTATTGGAAATCAATTGTCAAGTTTACATGGCTAGAAAGACTCAATGACCCCACCAGTACGATGACTGAATATTTTCCCTGTCTTCTTACCTGGTTTCTCGATATCAAATTCCAATAATTTTTACTATCCTCGCGGTTTAAAGTTGAACCGGTTTGTTTCGGACAATTGCAGTAGTTACTACACCAGAACTGATCGACAACCACGGTTACCACCGCCCTTGACGGTTGCACTTCTTGAATTTTCGGGGTCCTTTTTTTTCCCACCTGAAACAAACACATGGTTTAGTTTGCAGAATACTTCGTTCTTCCGTCCTCCGGCAGTGACTGAACAGTGAACGGAGACTAATCTGTCGGTGAGACAATGACTATTGACTGGGATGGTGGGTATGGTTCGTTTCTGTCATGAACACTGTTTCTGCGGACACTGAGAATCCCTGCTCATAGGGCTCACTATGTACTATGGTTCTTTAATGGCCCATTCTGTAACCACATGTGACAAATATTGTATGTATGCCGAAGCGTTAAACACCACGACTCATGCTCAAAACAGGACCACAATGTGCAATATGCAATGACTAGTCCTACCGGATTACATGTTATGTGCATGTGAATGCTTAATCACGGTGACTGACAGACATTGACGCCAACCTCGGTGACATATTCATTCCTCGTAGTAAAAAAGAGATCGACAGCGAACCGCGGGATCAAGTCCGGGTCCAAAAATACTGCTGCATGTTTCTGAAAAGGAGTGGGTGTATGGTCAGGAATTACCAAGTTGGCAATTTTGCGCCCCAAATCAAACAAAGATATACAAAAATAAAATACGCAGCAGAAAAAAGGAACGGGCTGATCAACTGCCTAAATGGGAAGGTATTTTCTAGCTGGGAGCTAGAAAAAAAATAGAAAGGGGAAAAAAAGAGAGCTCGAGCCTCATTCACCCGTGGCTTGACTGGCTTACTATGGAGCAGTGAGACGGTGGAGAATCTCTTTTCCAAAAAGATCATCCCATGTGTGCTTGGGCAGCATCAATGCATATTGATATTCATTACCGTCAATATGCGAAATTAAATTGCATGCTAAAAGTTGCTAGTACATAGTACACTCTGTAAGCGTCCTAAGCGAAATAAGTCTGGACTTGCCAAATCTCGATCTGGGCTGTTAATTAATGACTTGATGTATTGTCGGTCCCATAGTCTCTAGATGTCGTCTGCGTGCTATGCCGTTCCGAGAAGTCCGTATTCAAGTGCAAATAACTAGATAACTAGTCATGCAGGCTGATAGTTGTTGATTATGCAGCATCCATGTCCAAATGCAGCACGTTAGGTTTAGCACGTCACGGGATCGCGCGATGCTGCGGTTGCATATGTCATACGCAGTCCGACATTTAGGGCTTCGCCGGTGGCCGACATCTATCCATCTGTCATGTCTAAGTTTATTTTGAACTCACTATGTACGGAGTACTTTGGTGTGTGCTCTGTTCCAAGTCACGTAGCGTGACGAGACAGACATTTGCCGGGTCTCGAGGCAGGCAAACTCGGGGTTGTCCTTCTCCTCGGGGTACATGTGTGTTTAGACGTAGGTGAACCTACTGCGCAATTGGACATCTAGGCAGGAGAGTGACTGCTGCACGAAGTTCACAGTACGGAGTAGTCAAGATATAAATCCAGTGCCGACGGGACACTCGGGAGTTGACCGCCACTTCGCCCCCCCTCCCCAATCCATAGCCTTCATCATTTTCCCTCTTTCCGAGTCTTTAACTTTCGGATCAGGTGAGAAACCGTCCTGTTACACTTATGCTTGTACTCGGCTACTTGGTAGTTACTTTGAATCCACCCTGCTGACAGAAGTGATGGCCAATAGCTAACTAACGGCCGCACACAAGAATGGCTTCGTTGGTATGGGATCTCGTATCTATACGAAGGAATGAATGTTAACTGATTAGTTTGTTCGCGCTTGAAATAGTATCGGGATTAGAGATTAAAGATCGGTTGTATAGATCTGGCCATAACATATAAGTTAGTATTCTAGTAACTATAGATCTTCCGTTCATATGTCTGTCGACTCAGCTGCGTACCCACGTCTTAGTAGGAGGGTAATAAGCATAAATTACATGTCAAGTCTCAGAGAATGGTTTATTAATAGTAGGTACATACGAAGGCAGACCCACGCACCGTTGCAGCTTCTAGTCCCTACGGAAGCCAGTGAGTGCTACTCCAGAGTCCATGGCGTCGTATGATATGATCCTACCAACGGCCCCAGCGGGGAGTTGCTAGCTAGTATATACGACTCTTTCTTTGTATTCATGCATGTAATATCTATTATATTAAACAATAAATTGTAACTCCAGCGATATTTGATGGTAGATTGGTTCTACAAGTCTATAGCAAGCCAAATTAACCAGCTAACGACGCATATAATAATAAGCCCAGCTCGTGCGCTCGCCGCTTAGGCAGCGGGGTACCGAGGGCTCCATTCCATCCATAGATTGTTTCAATTGCTACGTAAAAGTAAAGCATTGTTTATATTACGCAATACTATAAGATGTGTAAGCAGCACATAGCTAGCTATTCATTGCGCCGCATTTATGTGCAAAGGCGTCAACTGGCCAAACCGAGGCTCCGGACTGCAGACTCTAGAGCAGTCTGGGACGGTGCGTGACGTGTGTCCTGAATTAAATAAAAATGCACTTGGCCAGGGACTAGTCTAATTGACTATGTGCGGAGGCTGGAGGCATAAATGAATTCTGCTGCTGGACTGACTCGCGGCGTTCCAGGCATATTCAACGGCCAAGTCAAGCTTCAACAGACATGGACAATGACAATTGAGTTTGTTAGCTTCACGTCTCAAAACTCTCAGAAGTAAATAGTAAGTTACATACTCCGTAACATACATACAGATACAGAGTGCACCGCCAGGTTGACTATCCGTTCGAGGCGTCCAAAACAAAATCCCTCCTAGCGCAGAACTCTACCACGTCTCAGTCGCTCACTAACAAACAGCTGCAGCTGTAAGGCACGCAGCCCAAGTTTTAGTGCGAGCTCTGGGTCCGCGACCATAACGCGCAATTTGGACCCGACATCATGGGTCCCTAGGCTTGCTTGTCTTTGGAAGTTTTGTCTCAGACTCTCACTGCTTGTAGTCTCTGTCTTTGCCCACAATGCGATTTTGGCTCTTTCAATCCAATCGACTGTCTAAAAAAAGACCGCCTATCCATTGCGTGGTGCTATAGTCAGTCACTACGGAGTATATAGTACGTACTATTGGTACCGTCGTAGATTAAAGCGGCGCTCTGACTGGCTGCACCCCTACCAGGCGGGGCGCACTAAGCCCAACGCAGACTAAGCGGGCCACGATGCAGTCTAGCCAGGGGCTTTTTGCCCGTTTTGTCCACTGGACGCGGTATTATATTTTTGCTTTTTCTTCCGTCTTTTATTTTATTATCACTGTGATGGTTAGTAGTTACGTACTATGCGACAAGTGCATATGGATATCTTGTGCAAACGGCATCATCCTTGTCTCTTTCATAAGCGAGCAAATAGCGATCCTTTCTCTTGCGTCATCAATTGTCGCCAAGCCTGTCGGTGTGCAAAGAAAAAGCAAATCCTTGGGCGGAAGACTCCGAAAGCTTCTTTCTGTACTCTGTAGTTACAGTGTAACAGCTTGCAGCTATACTCGGTACAGTGTACGGAGTAATGTGTGTGTGTGTGTGCGTGTGTGCAGTAAACGGGGTCCTCCGAGGTAACTACCCTGTACGGCGAAGCTCTTAATGTCAGGGCTGAGTTGCAGCAGTACGGCTTGGTATTGATACGTAAAACACAAATACAGCGGCCGCTGATTGGCCAGGGCGCGCGTTAACATTCTGCCGGCCCCTGGCAGGCCCCACTTGGATTCCTTCCCGACTTTTCTGCGTTCCGATAAGACTTTCTTTCATGTTTCAACATCGCGAGAATAATTGATAACACACGTTTCGCCATGGCTGTCAATGCGACTTCACTGCCGCAGTAATATGTAATGCCTGTGGCACCTACCGGCATACTACCGACATCCCCGGCCATGTATATTATGTAGTACGGCTCGTAACGCGTGTATGCTTATGACGATCCCATTCAAATCGTGCTATATTTGCCGGCACTATAGGATGACTAGCCTCCTCGTGCTGGAGCATTGTAATAACGACCATTGCGTTGGGTACTGGGGAACAATATTCTAATTAACTAACTGATTAATTGATTAATTGATCTGGTGCATTCGAATTCAAACGATCAGCCCTTGTGGGGTCGGCCTCTTCGAACGGGCACGAAAGCATCACACCTTCCCTCTTCCCTCTTCCTTCCTTCCTTCCTCCCTCAGTCCCTCAGTCCCTCTCTCTCTCCCTCTCCCTCTCTCTTCCATCCAAACATCTCACGACACTCCTTTCACTTGCTCTTTTCTCTCTCCCTTGTTGCCTTGCCTTGCCTTGCCTGTATCTACTGCGTTTCCTTCCCTCTCTCCTCCAATCTCCTCTGAAACATACACTCATTCACTAGCTCGTGCCGCGACAGTCACGCCGTGTTCCTTAGTATCCATCAATTCATCCTAAATCTCCAGTCATATGGTATCCGTTACTCGTCAATTGCTTGCTGTGCTGCTGTGCTGCTGCTGCTGCTGCTGCGAAATGGTGATAGTCCAGCGCCAATAACTCATCACTGAGATTATCTGTACAAAGCCTCTACCAACATGGCCGGCCATTCGCGAACGCTATCGCCGGAATCATGGCAGGACGACGCCGACTTCTCGCAACGACCCCCCACCTCGTCAACCAGTGAGTATTCGGACCACTCTTTCCATAGCCGGTCCAAATCGAGTGCCCATGTCAGCAGTCCTAAAAGACTGTCCATGTTTTCCCGCTCGAGAAGTAACACTACCACTATCACATCTGCCTCCGCTCGCCAATTGCCGGCTGTGCCTCTCACTTACGGGGAGCCCTCCATCTTATCAGCCGTCAATGACGAAAAACCTTCCGACAATGTTGCTAGATCCTTGCTGGTTCGAGGTAGTCGAATTCTGCGTCGCCAGGGTAGTAAATTAAATGTCGCCGCAGCTTTGGAGGAAGAAGACGAAGTTGGCAAGAAATTCGAAGTCTCCAATATCTTCCATCGTGTGCCTAAGTTGAAGAAAAACGATTCACGTAAGTATCTTCCTTGTTATCTTTTCCGTCGTTTAGCAACTCCTAATGATCGCCGTAACCTTGTAACAGAAGACCAATTGAAGCGCATCATTTCGGAACCGTACAATTTCCACCATCTCACCCATACAAGCTCTTCCCAATTTCAGACGCTGGACAATGGCAGCAATGTCGAGCTTGTCGATGAATTCTCTGCTATTCAAGCCTCACAAATGCCAGAACCTGGACTGAAAGGCATTCGCGCCCAGAATCTGCTGAATTCAGACCATAGCTTTACTGAAAGGTCAAATGAGAGCGTGTCCGACTTTGAGGGACGAGAACCCACATCTCCTTTGGCAATGAGTCCTCCTGTATCACCCAATCAACCCAGATCACCGGGGAGAATCGAGAACTTCTCGCGCCCTGTCTCTCGTTTGAACAAACCGTTGCCGCCATCACCGTCTATACTGCCTTCACCACGAGCATCTTCTCGCCAAGCTCATTCAGACATACCAGAGCCGACATCCCAGGCCATTGATGAACTTCTTGGAGTGAATTACCGTCCAACTATTGCTGACTATGAATATCCCCAGCTAGAGAACCACTCTTTCCACAAAGTTTCTTCGCTAGAACAGATCGATCTAGCTGGAATGCTTCAATCCAAGATTGAACACGGGATAGCAATTGGTCAATTGGACGGCAACGGTGATATTCACGGGATTAGCGATGACGCAAAAGTCACGACAGCTCTGATTAACAGCTATCTGTCCGATTTGGAGGATGTCCCAGAAGAAGACGAGACGAAGGATGCGGCCTATCCGGTTTCGCGAATATCTCGCACCTTCTCAGTTCGCGCTGAAGACAAGAAGCTGGCTGTTAGCCCAAGCAAGAACTCCGGTGGCCCCAATCGTGGGTCTGTGATAGTTGTAGAGGACTCGCAGCTATCATTTCAAGAAGATATCATGTCTCCTACCTTACCACAATCCCAACCTATAATGCACGATTTGCCGACCTCGCAAGCTAGCAATACCAGAAGACGCAGTTCCGCGGGCTTGGTCAATTTCACCATGGCGTGGGATGAGGACATCGATTACTGTTACGAACATGAAGCCGAGGCGGACTGCAATTTCGACTGGAATCGGCCATCGTTGGACACCACAAGACAGTCTATTCCGGGCATAGTAACATCTTCAGCGGTCACTTCTGACTCCACCAAACTGTCTCCTCATTACCTACAGGTTAATGCCACATCTATACCGGCAACTCCAGACTTGGATCCAGGTTCAGCACAGTCGATCCTAACGAGATCTCACGAGGCTCTGACTCCATTGAGCGATGGCACTGCGCAGGTTGCGTTTTTTGTCTCTGATCACGAGTATTTGAAAGACCTCCAGGCAAACGATGCGGAGAACGACACAGCTTATGAAAATTTCCTCGCGGTTGGAGAAGACCCTGATGGTCAATTCCAATTCTTCACGCAGACAACTCACCCCATCGATGTTACGACTTCTCCCCGGAGCAGCGGCTCTGCTATCAGCAAGTGCAATTCTCAAGAGAGCGTGATATTGTCTCGCGCAGCATCGATTGTGCGAAAACACCGTTCATCAACCTCGACAACCAGTGTTCCAGAATTAATCAATAGTTCCAACAGTAGTCGCGAAAATACTATCCGGGAGAGCGTCGACTCACTCGAACATCCTGCATTTAGCCCTCTGCCCGACACTGCCCGACCTGGTTTCTCAGTACATCGCCCAGTCAAGAGCTTGGGCTCGGACTTGAGTACGCTCTCTAAACTGCGAACCACCGGCAGTAACGGCAGCATTCACGTCGTGGATCTACCGTATCACTTGGCGTCTGCGACTCATGATCGGACGAAATCGACGTCTGCCATTGACCATGACGAAACCCATAAGCTTCAACAATCAACCCAAGGGCTTCCATTTGCTGCTCGACAATCGTTGGCGGCTCAAAGGCGGAAAAGCCGAGCTGGATACTCTCTTTTCCCCACTGTGCAATAACATCTCGATATGTTTCAGTATCTAGCATTCACTCTACCATTCTCTCAGTTGGTGCAAACCAGCTCCTATTCATTGTATATGACGTGACGATTCTTTTCATACTACCTTCTTTCTGCCTTTTCCTTTCTTTATGTATCTTGATGATATGGTGGTCTGCAAAAAAGCCTAGTTTTATTATGCTGGAGGCCTGCTTTCTTTCATTGTTTTTCTTGATTTGAGTCCTCCTGCGCCAGAAAAAGCTTCACATATAGACAGGTGCCTGTACGGACGGAGTACTGGGTTGTCACGACTGCATTTGCATATTTGCATGGGGGAAATTTTGGGGATAGTAAAAAATCAATTTTTGGTTGTATTCCAGAAGAATAGTTATATTGCAGGAGTTATTACATAGATAACAGATGGCGAGACGAGGTACCGGAGTTGTATGTAAGGCTGAAGGAGTTGTTCTGATCAGCTGACCTGCGATTGCTTAAAAGGGGAAAGTCGGCATTGTACAGCGGGGAGTCGGGGACTAGGCAGACTTGGCGGCTGCCTCTTTTTTGGTACATCAATACCATCCTCTCATTAAGATGCTGAAGTCAGTCTGAACTGGAACGACAAACTCATTATTCGTTGTTCAAGCAAACTCCCCTCACAATAGCAAGATGGCTTCTTCATCTTCACTGCCACAGCAAGCTGTCACTAAACGGCAGGCTGACATGGCGCTGATGCCTCCTCCGCCACCTGCCAAGAAGATCAAGCGACCCTCCACGGTCCTTGACGAGGACACCTACACGGATGCATTGTCACATATTATAGCACGAGATTTTTTCCCGGGCTTGCTGGAAGTTCAAACGAAACAGGAGTTCCTCGATGCGCTAGATTCTAAGGACAAAGCATGGATCGCAAAGGCTGGCAAGCGACTTACTGAAGTCATGACTCCTGGAGGCTCGACTAGCAGATCTAGACTTAGAGGTGCTACTACTGCAACACCTTATCGCGACATTTCAGATACACCGATTTCGACTACGAGTACAAGATGGAAGGACGGGACGCCGGTTTCTGTTGTGTCGACGCCTACTGCTACTCCCAGGTCGTCAGCTGGGTCTTTGAAGAATCGCGGCCCGGATGTGTCGAATCTCAGTCTGAATGCTTTTCAGACTAATTATACAAGCGAAGATAACGAGTCGTTCAATAAGGTACTGGATAGTCAGAATGCGAAACGGAGGGAGAAGTACGCATGGAAATGGAGTGGGAACAAGATCCTGTCTGCGCGACAGATCGCCCATCGACAAAGAGAAGCGAAGCGGATTGCGGATCAGGGTGGAACTGCGAAAGGCGGCAGCAGTAATGAACTTGTTCTGTCGACAGACTTGGATGCTCGACCTGCAGTCCCGGATACGTGGAAGTCTGGGGTGGAGAATTCCTTCATGTTCACGCCTGCCTCTGTGGAGGACCAGCATGAGACCCGCCAACAGAAGGCGGAGGCCGCTTCGCGAGCTGGGCCTAAGCATGTTGTGTACGGGAATACGAGACTAGATAATAATACCAACAATAATACGAATAATAGACAGGATGGCTCCTCGGTACCTCCGTCTCCATCCCTCTCAGCCATCAAGGACGCAATTGCAGGACGACTGCGTGGCACTGATGAATCGGCCATGGGAGAATACACAGGCAGTGAAACACCTCGTGTGAATGGATACGCATTTGTCGACGAGGACGAACCAGAAGAAGACGACGAATCTGTCTATGAGCGTCTCAGGCTGCTAGCAAGCGAGGGCTCATCCGGCGCCGACTCAGCACCCAACCCATTCAACATCAAAGAGAACCGGAAAAGAGAAGAGCTGCATCATCGAATGGTTGACCGAGTGGCGCGGAAAAAGCGAGCCGAAAAAGCGGGCAACATACCTCGGTTTCCTAGCAGTCCTAACCCGCTGCTCACTTCTGCCTCGCGTTTGCGCACTCCTGTTGGCGCCAAAACGCCCAATGGGAAACCATTAACACCGGCTGCACAAAAGCTGTTGGCCAAAGTGGGTAGCACACCGAGACAGGCGTCATCTTCCTCCAGGTTGAGGAATATGTGGACTCCGACGGGGGTGACGAAAAGGAAGTAATTCATTTTCTATTCCATCGTATCTTATAATAGAGACACGAATAATGATATTAATAGACTATAAGCCTACATTACACATCATATTTGTATATTTATCTAGATATATCCACGTATACGGTCCGATAAACCTACTCCCCATCACTGGAGTCACTATCACTACCTCCCTTCTTCTTGTTTCCTTTTCCCTTTGAACCTTGCTGCTGCGTATCCTTGACCTCAAAAACATAACTCCTCGCTTCTCGATCTTCGCCTTTCCAACCTCCTCCTGTTCCTTCACTCTTCCGATGATCATCATTATCATGACGATGCTTCCGACTCTCCACGACCCCTAACGTCCGTGCATGCGAATACCCAGGATACGATTTCCAGGGAAATCTGAAACTAGTAACGACCACAAGACCGGCGTGGCGCGCCAGATCTTTGATATTCCATAATGTGTATGGTTCGCCTTCGAAGAGGGTTACTATGATCTGGCCTGAGTGACGGGGTACTGTCCTTATTTGCTGGTTGTCATCAGATTCGTTCTCGAAGTCAGATTCTTCTTCGCTGTCTGTAGGATATTCCTCCACGTCGTCTTCGAAGTTGTTCTTGTCCTCGTCGTCGGACTGCCCCTGTCTCGAGAGTAGTGGAACACACGCCTTGAAGAAAGAAACCAGCAGTTCCTGATTGGCGCGAACCTGTCGGTTGACATCGGTCGATAAGCCGCCCACATGCGGGAAGTTGAAGGATATGATATCCCACGGACCGTCGTCCTCTCCTTTGCCCTTGGATGATGAATCCTTGGTTTTATTCCATTGGAAATCCAGTGTCTTCCTCCTTTGGCGGGGTGGAATCCCTTTTCGAATATCCTTTCCGCCACCGACGTTTGAGCCTAATTTGCGAGCGTCGACTGAATATAGGACTTTGCGGGTGTTCTTTTTTCTTTTAATATCTTCTTCTGCCCTTTCGGACCTTTCAGAATCGATTGCAAAGCCCGTCTTCTCCTTTACTTGCTCTTCATCACCATCGCCACAATCAAGGAACTTTTTGATATTTTCCTCTGCCTGTCCATGATACTTCTCCAAAAGAGTATCCTGGGAGTCATAGCAAGTCGCAAACACACTTTTGCAACGATGATGCTCATAGAGAGAACGAGCAAATGAGAAATCGCCTATATCGTACGTATAAATAGACATTTCATTCCATTCTCTGTCAAATAACATTTCTGCTCACCTTCCCCAATCAACAATATCCGATCTTTCCTCTGATACGGTATTGTCGGTCGTTGGTGCAGTTCTTGTTGGTGGTTGTTATCGTTCTTCTTCTTCCCTTTCCATGCCTGTTGCTGCTGCTCTTGACTGTCTGCTAATTTCCTCTTCTTTTGCGATTGTTGATGGCTTGTCGTCGAGGATAACGAAACCCGTTGGAAGTGTTGCATTTTTCTCTTTTTGGCGTCTGCTGTTGAGCCTTGTGCTTTGGTGGGCTTGTGCTTTGCTTTTGCCATTTTGCTTGCCTTTCTCTTCCTTTTTGATATTTTATTGAGTTATTTGGTTAATAGATGAGGCTGTTGGTTGGGATATATACATGTCGTTATATTTGATATGCGGCTGTGGCACATAAAATTATGCTTGCTCCGCTTCCGGATCGGGTTACAGGCCTGAAGCGTGCGGCATCAACAACAATTTGACTATACCCAAGGCTGGCTTCCTAGAGCTAGGTAATTATTATACCGGTTAATTTCTCGAAATAAATTACAAGAATGCTATCTCTACCATGTACTATACTTTTTATATACGTATCTTGCTGCAGCTCATCAATGCCTGCACCAATAGCTACATGATATACACTTTCTTCATGTCTTTCTCGTCGAAGATTTCCCCCGTCGTTGGATCCTTCACTTTCCCTTCCCCTACAGAGCCCACTTTCCTACTCATTTCGAGTATCCGTTCTCGCCCATAGCTTCTCCCGTTCGGCAGAATGATCGAATCGCTCTCCACAGAGCTTTTCGTATGATGCGCATATGGAACATGTTTGGCGAGCTCGTTCAGTTCCGTCGAGCAGATGGGGCACACCGAGGTCGTCGCTGATAGAGAGTTGGTGCTCGATGAAGCATATGCCGAGTGGCAGGCTGGTGTTTTGAGTGCAGACAAGCCCGCGGAAAGAGCAATGTGTAATAGTGGTCGAGGAGGTAATGATAGTAGCTCGTGATGTGTGCGAAGAAAAAGATCTGAAAGGTACTTCCAACGCCTGGGAGAATACATAGACTGGATTATACATATCAATTGTCAGCAGCCAATCCCCCTTTGAGGAATTTTGTTAATTGCCTTACCTTATAAGGCTCTGCATTCGTTTCTTTGGGGAAAGCAAGCAAGCCAGCAGCTCGATGTATCTCCACCGACTGCGTCTCAATATGTTGTGATAAATATTTCTTGGCGTGTTGCATGGCCTCAATGAGCTTCATAGGCTGACCAGTCCGAACCATCTCGATATATTGCTGTAGTCGCAACTCGAATTCCAAGGTGTTCTGGAAGAAAACAAAGAAAAAAACCACTTAGCTTGTCGTTCAGAATTAAAAGCTAGACACAGTTGGTACAAACCTGACTCTTCTTTAGAGCACCTTTGTTCTCGCCGCACCACTGCAGTGCTTCCTTCGCATCTCCGTTCCTCAGATTTTCGGCAATTCGCTGACACTGGACAAAAGTGTCTGCGTCAACTAAATCCTCAATATTCTTTGCCTTTGCCAGCTGTTTTGCACTTTCCGGGAACCCGGATCGGAGCATATGGTCCACCAGTAACCTATCAAGCCGGGTCCGCGACCATTCCTCATATTTCACGTCTGCTAAATTCTGGATTTTGTAGAGGTCTTGCAAGTGTTGAATCCGTCTTTTCGAATGAGTCTGAATCCTTTTTTCTTCTTCATGCAACGTCTCCATCTTCCGTTTCAATCCTTGCATTCTGGAGATCATGGCGTCTAAAGATGCTAGCGTCTGGTCGGGTGTTTGAGTACCAGCCAACGAGCCATTTGCAGCTTCTTTAAGTGCAGGAATAATGTGTTCTCTTTCGCGCTCGACAATCCGCTGTACACTTTTGAAATTTCGTCTCGCTAATTCGTGGGGGAGCCGAAGGAGTGGTTGGTCCTGTGTTATTTTTTCGTCAGATCGTGAGGGGGTGGTGAGTAGTGACGTAGGATGCATACCAATAGCAAATGGCTCTCGGCATTTAGCTTGGTTGAGGTGAGTTCGGCAGCCATCATGAGAGACAAAGCATTCCTTTATAGAGAATATATAATCTTTCACTGCAGATAATCCCTAAAGCACAGGATTATGTGCTCCGAGTGTAGGGCAGCTAGCTGGCGGAGAGTTGGGGTTGGGTTTAACGGGTTCGGCGAGTCTTCGGGTGGAGAACGAAATGCCGCCGGAAGTCACTTGATAAGGTGCAAACTCACATGATCCGGTCCGGCATGAATGAACTACCCAGAATGCTTACGGAGTATATTATACGGATATATGGAAAGCTGGGCATCAAAGGTGAGTTTTCAATTGACTAGATCATTGCCAAAGATGATTCGGAATGCCTCGAAATGAATCCAATTGGCTAGCAGAATTCAACTTTTCCCACACGAAAGAAAGTAGATGAAGAAAATAGACACGACAACTTGGCCAACACATTCAAAAAGAAAAAGGAAAATCACAAAATCAGTAGAATAGAACAGACCGTAACCCAGAACTCCGGCCAAAAATTTGTATATGATACAAACGAATTTGATCAGGACACATGTGGTGGCGATATGCCGAGCGCGTAGATGGTAGCCAGCCCCTCCAGAATCATGCTACGTTCTTATAAAATGCTTAATCGCTGTCATCGCTTTCCTCCTTCTCCTGCTTGGACTTTCGTCGCTCCTTTTTCTCCTTCTTCTCCTTCTTCTTGCGCTTTCGCTCCGCACGTTCCTCTGGTGTTTCGCCTTCATGTTTGCGCTTCTTCTTTTCGTCGTCCTTTGTCTCCTCCTCGATATCCATCTTGGACGGCGGGGAAGAAGGAGCAGGAACTTCCTCTGCCTTCTCAGCGGGTTGTGCAGCAGCTCCTTCCTCTAAGGGGGCGTTATAGTCTTTGTATGTGCTCTGCCACTTGGCGGGAGTGGCCTCGTTGGGACGACCATATTTCTGCGGTGAATTAGTAGGAAATCGACGTCTGAAACACTGGTCATGTACTCACATCAAGCTTTCCGTCTGACTTGAGCTTCTTCTTTTCCAAGGCCACTGGTCCAAGACCCCAGCGGCGAGGGTAGAGGTCACGCTCCATAATGCATCGCTTGACCTTGGCAACCACACCATGATCACAGGTCGACAGCTCGACGGTAGACATCTGTGCGATTCCGAGAGCGATGGCCTCACCCTTGGTTGTCATAAGGACGACTTCTTCGTTGACTTCAATTCCGGCCTCTGTATACAGTGTCAGTAAAGATTCTTTCTTCACTTTGATAATGCTCGGATCACTTCAGACTAACCAAAACGGAGAAGACCAGGAATCATTAGCTTTGCACCATAGCATACGGCATTGACTGCACTGTCCTTGACAACAATACGTTTGTATGTGGTGAGCAAACTCTCGAGAGGGCGAATGACCGTTCGCAAGTAGGACTCATCACGCTGGTTGTCCATCAACCACTGTGCGTCGAGAACATCGTGCAGAGTGACCATTCCATCTTGTTCATCCATAGCACCACTGCGGACACGACGAAGTTCTTGCATGTGTGCTCCAACACCGAGCAGCAAACCGAGATGAACGCAGAGAGTTCGAATGTAAGTACCAGCTTCACAGCTGACCCAGAAAACACCAAGATGTCTGTCATTGTCGAATTCATACAATTTGCTTTCGTGAATAGTCCTGATACGGAGTTGACGCTTGACGGCTGAAATCAGAGGAGGGCGTTGGAAGAGGGCACCAGTCAAAGTTTCGAGGGCGCGAGCGAACTGAGCTTCGCCACCGGGGATTCGGTCATGGAGACGGATAACACAAACGTACTCCTTTCCGGCACCTTGTTGCGACTTGACGAGACGAGTTGCACGATCAATGCAGACGATCAGGCAGCCAGTAACTTTGGGATCAAGAGTACCACTGTGACCGGTTTTCTCAACTCTACAAAGCACGTCAGAAAACACGTCTAAGAAATCACGACGAAGAAACCAATTTACCGAAGAATCCTTTTCATCCATGCGACAACCTCGTGACTCGATGGGTTGGAAGGTTTATCGAGGTTGATAACTCCAGAGCTAATGTATGACTTCAAATCTCTTTTTAGGGGTGTGCAACCAGCTGGAATTGGAGTGAAGTGACCCGTTCTAACGAGAACTGCAAGGCAGATTAGCATGCACTGATTTGTTTTACATATAAAAAGCATCGAGAATTCTCTTGCGACACGGCGTGAAGGAGGCGAGACTCACGCTTATCATAATTCTTGAGAAGCAAAGGCCACTCAGAGGTAGGAATGCTGGGAGTAACCGACTCAGGCTTGATGCTGAAGTCAGCAATCTCCTGGGTTGCAACAGCTGCCATTTTGAAAAGCAAAATGGTCGAATATACTGAAGCGTTCGTGGACAAGAGACAATCTTTAAAGGCTCCTGATAAAAAATCGAAGGGTAGAAGAAAAAAAAAAGTGCGGCCCGAGCTCAGTGGACTAATGCGGTTTAGTGCAAGGAAAGTGAGCCAACCATTGACAGCGGCCAACCACAGCCATTTAATTTTGATGGACGATACTATTGTTCACGAAACACTTCCTTTAATTCACCACCTAAGCTACCGTGCAGTTATGTCCATTGCGTTATACAAAAACAATGTCCCAGACACATCACTCTCAATCACCGCCTAATCTACGTCCAGCACCCCTCGTACTCCAGGAGGATCCAAAAGCCGAACCCTGTCGTGCCGAAGATTGACCGGAGGATTGACTGCCTCCAAATACTCGCGGGTTTGAGCTGTTGGTACCGAATAGTCGATGCACGAAGGATGGCGTAACGAGAATGTTTCTCCCACCACCGAACGTTGGCCAGAGACGTGTGAGAAAATCATACAGATGCGATGCGAAGATGCCGATCATACCCAACATAGCGCTATACCAGCCATCAGATACTACTGAGAGTACGAGAAGAGCCACGGGAAACAACTCTGCTTTAATCGTGAGCACATATAAATGGACAGGCCTGCCCCGATTATCTTGTGACCAGGTATGTATCAAAGCCATGAGTAAGGCTTAGAATAACAGTCAGCCAAATAAAGAATAAAATTTTCTTCTACGAATAGTTGTGGGAAGCTGCCATACCAGGCGTGAAAAACATGGCTTGAAGGAAGTAGTACGCTGTGATCTGCATGGAGTCAGCAGCCGATTTCTATCAAGTCGAATGAGACGATGTAGATTAGGGAATAAAATATTATAAGAAATGTAGGGCACCATAACCACCAAACGTAGAGATCAAGCCACGCTTGGTTATCTCAATTGGTCGTCCCACCATCCTGCACCGCATGCAGCCCCGAGATTGACATAAGGATGGGACTGCACGAAATGCAGGGTTAATCTTCCTCAGTTCCAGGAACCGCTTCAGCTAGGAAAAACTGGGCGGGCAGATATGCGAGGTGTGTGTGTGGATTGTGCCTTAAAGAAGGCAACAAGGTAGATAGACAGATAGCAATGATAAAAAAAAAAGTTCGGCTCTCGATTTTTGAAATAGTATTACATTGTGAAGATGTTTTTGGTAGGGACGGGGACTTCGCTTGAAACTTACCATGATAACAGTGCACACGAATACAAGGTAGACGAAGAAGTCACCAGGTAAGCGAAAGCGTGGAGAATTCTTTTCCAAGCCGCTTGAATATGTGTACACTGAAAAGGAACGGAAAGTTAATAACAAGGGATGCTCATTCTTCTGCAGCGTATGCGCGAGACCCAGGAAGTATGCATACTAAAATAGAGGTCGAAGAGAAATTCAAGACGCGGCTTCGTGAGTAAGAATGGAGTGATCAGTCTCCATGGCTCTGGAGGGAATTTGAAAATTTGCGCAGTAAGGAAAACAACTTTGTATGGACTCAGAAACCCGCTGTGAACTGCCAATGACTCGGCAAACGTCAAGGCTGTTAAAGTCCTGTTTCACGACTAATCGTTAGGTCTGCGTAGACAGAACAGACGAGAAGTAAAAGGTTTTTGAAGTACCGAGAGATTGGGGGAGCTGCCCAGAAGACATCCATCTTGTCGGAGCCTACATAGACAGTTAATGGCAGTAACAAAATGAACCACGTCCACAACGTGAGAGTGCGCTGCTCGCCTGTGGAGGAGTAAGAAGGAAAGAGATGGAAATTCTTTTAGACACGGTTTTAAATGCGCGGAGCCGCTTAGCTCACTAAAACCGGATGTGCAGTTGTTCCGGTATTAGTGTTCAGTATTACGTATTTATATTACAAAGAATAAATTACGGCAAGGAAATAGTTCACAAAACGACCCTTTGAATGATACATAATGGAATGCGAATGGAAGGGAGTAGTAAACTCTTGGCTGAAATTCAGAACTTACGAGCAGTCCAAGCAGTGCCTCGAACCGCAAGACCGCCCCGAGGCCCTTCAATCCATACTTCCCAGCGGCTGCCTTTTGCAGTGTTCTGTTTTTCTTTTGCACAGATTCGCAATTCCTCGTCGACATGCAGCGGCGCCAGATTCCTATACTCAAATTCTTTGATACGTAGTCCTACTTCCGACAGATGTTTAGAAAGGACACTAAGCATTAGGACCAGAGTCAGTGGCCCATGGATGAGAAGGTCATGGTGGCCCTCTGACTTTTGGGCATAGAGCGGGTCAAGATGGATTGAGTGGGCATTGAATGTCAAAGCAGAGAAGCGGAAAAGTAGAGCTTTGGTGGGTGTCATTTTATGATCGATATCGGGATCTGTAGGAGCTTTTTTGGTTCAAAACAATTTCCTGTTAGCAGGGTTTATTGTCAAAAGAAAAGTCGGAGCTGCACATACATTTTACAATTCTATTCCTGTTGACTTGTATGGCTTGTTGAGCCCCGGTTGCCTCTTTCACTTTGTAATCCCGCATAAACACCAAGGTTCTTTTCTCAACAAGGACTTCAGTGCTGTCGTTTGCTATCCTCATCCTGGTGTGTAGTTCATCTTCATCCTCATCCGCTGAAGCAAAGCGCCGGTCGATAGTAACGAGTATCTTTTCATCGCCTTCCGGACCCTTGATATCGACATTCTCAATCCTCTCGACGCAGACAGCCCGCTGGCCATCAAGCAACAAGCAGCCGCCACTGGACTGCGGAAATGAGATTCTTCCGCCAGCCCATAGTCGACGATTAAATGGCTGCCCAGGCGTATGCAAGATATCCGTGCCGTCTGGTAGTAGCTCGGATAATGTGACCTGTGGAGGGAAGTACACCAAATGGTGTCCCGGAGGCAAATAGCCCGGCTGCCTTATCGATGGCAGTATTCTCTGGTCACCGCCATTGTTATGCAGTAGCTCGCTGGGGATCCCTGAAGGAAGAACATCGAGAAGCGAAAGATTCAGGAGGTGTGATGGTTGCGGAGTAAGGTAATCGTAGGTTAGCGGTAATAGACGGGTTGTGAGCTCATTTTGTAGCGACGATTGGTTGATTAGTGCGCGCTTAAAAATTAATAAGGCGCTCTTGGACAAACGTCTGCGAGAAGCAAGCATTGCAGGGTGTATCATCAATGCAGTCAGTGGGAAGCGGCGCCTCTGCGCCGATATATCCCCACAGATGTTTGTTGGATTTGCATCTAGCTTGCCCGCTGCAGGCACTGAATGCTTGCAACATGCTGGCTTGTCAGATCTCAGTTCCAGGAAATGTATATATTTATATATCACCGGGCTGACTGTCAGAAGCCGATACCGTGCGATATTGACACGGCGCTTTTGTTCATAGAGTGTTATCGAGCCATTCCCTCAAGTTAGATATTCAAGTAGAATATTTAAATCAACGCTGATTGGCTGCGCACCCCAAGGTAGACCCACTCTCGAGCTCACGACAAATCAGAGCTCCGCAGCCGAGACGCCAACTATGCTTATTTCCTCCTCCAAATGAACAACACATGCTGGCTACACGCTTGCTACGTGCACACCGCGGTCTCAACCCAATAAACCCAAAATCGCAAATACCCTGGAATACGCTTAGCACTTCTTCGCTTGTCAATTTCTGGTCAAGACTCGAATCGTCATGGACAGTATTCTGGCTCCTATCCAGGATGCCTTTGAGGGTCAAATTGTGAGTTAAACCCTATACAAATGCTCTCTATGTGAACATATTGTCGTCAAGCTTTACAATACAGCCGAACAATTGGAGGACAGCTAATGCTGACAATTCATCCAAGGATTTCCATGGACAACAACTTGCCGAGACGCTTTCGACAATACTTCTGATTTTATCTGGGGTACGTCATGCTATGCCACGACAACGAAATCCCTTTTAATTCCGGTCTTTTTGTTACAAGTCGGACGAACAGAAAGGAACTAACTTTGCAACTACCAGGCCCTCGCATTCATTGTGGGTTACATTCAACAAGATGTCTACCTGATGCTGTGGGTTGGACTCGCTGGAACCGCTTTCACGGCCCTCGTCGTCGTCCCACCCTGGCCATTTTATAACCGGAATCCGGAGGCGTGGCTCAATTTCAAGAAGGTGCCTGGTGGTGCGTCGGGGATTATTGTTGATGGGGTCAAGGTTGGATAAGAACATGTAGGATTTTGATGGACGGGAAATAATTTCAAGGACGACCTTTATACATTTACGATTCATAAGCACAATGTGGCATTAAGCTTTAGAAGCGAAACGGCGTTGTTTCTTATGTGGCTCTACATCCCATTTCGAACGATCACAAAATCTCGGGCTTCCCTCATGAATGATAACAATCGTCTCTCGTAAAAAAAAATAGCTGAAGCACGTAATATCGCCACAAGCTTATGGATGAAGCCTTTCAAAGTTTGGTCAACGCCCACCAATTTACCCAATATAACCCATGACAAATCGTCAGATCGAATGCTTTCATCGGCCGTATTTCTGGAACTCCCAATCTCTGTTATCTAGCGGACAGACCTGTCGAGTTTTCAACCATCGCGAAATGCAGTGGAAGTGGAAGGCATGCTAGAGAGGGAAAAGGGAGAAAAGCATGCAGTTAGCAAAAAAAGAACCACCGCCTCAAGGGAGGTACGCTAGACACTCACATTACAAATACCCCATGCTACCGTGCACTCTTCCGTGGTAGATGACCCTTGATTCGCTTGGCATTCGATACCTATACCCTATATTAGCACGGTATATGGATTTCGAGACTGGAACAACACGGCGCGGCACGTACATAAATCCATGATGTGATTACGGCAGATGGCACAGTTATCGACGACAATATCCCAGGCCCAAAGTGCAACGGCATTCCACTGGCAATGGGAATCAATGAATTAGCTTTCTTTGCATGATATATTTGTGGAAAACCAAAGTGATGCCCACTTTCTTGACCTCAAAGCGTTTCTTGCCCTCAGACGCCTCACCAGCTCCGGACTTGGATGCCTTTACAGCTTTGTCCTTAGCTGAGCTTGCATCTTGCATCTCTACGTCAGTCATGGTGTCAACGGGGTGTGGTTAGAGAAACTGATCGAATGCAGCGTTGGTCAACGAGAAGAGACGGAGTGTTGGGGAGCTATGTGCAGTCTTTATCAGTCGTGATGGCTGATATCGAACCGATCAGCCCGCTGAATGAATGTTTCACGCAACAAATAATGTAGGACCAGTCGGATAGAGCAAGCAGCGCTGCGATGTCGAAAGATCTGTAGTAGTTATCGTTGTTTCTGCCGTATGAAGATGATGATGCTTCGCTTTCTGCCTCCACTGTACGTCGCCGTCCAGTGGCAACCTTGCGGGCGGCGGGCGCAGTTCCCCCCCCCACTTCCCAGCCGGCAAGCGCAACACCTCACTTTAGACCTCGCAACCTCACTTCCTCCCCCTCAGGCATCACTCAATCATCATCTTCCGCGCTTCCCCCCTCCTCCTCTTCCACTCTCATCTCCAGCGAATCAAAGAACCATGCAGCTATGAGCGATCTGCTGGTTTCCACCGGCTCCCATTTGTTTTCATCGTTTGCCATCATCATTCACCGGTGGTTCACTTACCTATCTATCTACCTTAATAGAGCTTTTGTCACAGCCTTCTAGGGCGTTTTGATCTAAGGCGCTCTCGTTCCTCTTAGCGCCCTAAGAAGACCGCTGGGCGGCTTTTGTGCACATATTACAACCATCTATTCTGCTGCGATCTTGTTATCTTCTTCTCACTTTTTGACTGCCTTTTATTTCCTATCTGTTTCAACCGGCTGCCTATTTTTTAAGCCAAACTGTCGCAATGTCGACTCAACAGACGTCACAAACCCCGATGAAGGGCCCACGCAATCCTAGACGACAACAACAGAGGAAGAAGCAGACGCCTGTATCCCAGGGCAAAACTGTTATGCTGACCACGCCTCCTTCATCCCCGCCGCCAACTTCGAGCCCTGGCGAGGTGTACAACGGCGACTACAACGGCTCCCGTAAACGGAATGGAATGCGTTCTGGCAAGAAATCCCGCGAGAACACTCGTCCAAACAACACTGCCTACAGCAATGGTGTGAGTCATCGGCATACATCCTCCCAACCCAGTATAGCCTCGCCGCCCCCGCTCAAAGACAGCCCGCATTATGCTGGCCCGACATTTCACGCGTCTCCTGCACCGTCTGCCCTTCCGATGCCAACATTTTTCTCCAAATCTGTTCCCGACTCTGGTCTTTCTACCTCCTTAGAGCTTGAAAACGAGCTGGACGAGGAGTCAGCTCTGACGCTGACTCCCTCGAAACCAAAGGCGACCAACACTCGTATCAATCATGAGCCCACTCCTTTGGACTTTCTTTTCAAGGCTGCTATTGACGCTAGAGGCAAGGCTCAGCAGAGTCCTGAGGTTGCTTCTAGAAATTTGACGGCCAGTCAGCGGCCGGAGACTTCCGCAAATGGTATTTTCTCGCTTGAACTTGATGGACCCGAAAGAAACATGTCAACCTATTCCAGTCCGGTTTCTTCATACAAGGATAAGATGAATGCACTTACGTCTGGTGGTAATCAACAACATGCGAAAGCAGAAATGGACGACGCGCAACGAAGGGTTAAAACCGAAGAATTAAAGCACCTGCTGCTGAATCCACGGCCTCAGCGGCCAGCATCGGCATCTCCTCAGCTCAAAGGTCCTGCCCACATTCATTCTCACAGCAATGGTGTGCGGTATCCCACCAGTTCGGCCCTGAACACTTCATCTGGACCTCCAACGCCTGTCTCTTTCAACGGCCTCACTCACCAAGATACATTTTCGGCACGTGGAGAAAACGGCTATTATAATAATTCTCCAGTGCAGACTAGCTTCCACAGCAATTACCCACCCGCTTTTCATCGGGAATGCTCACCTTACGCAAGCCCAGTGAATACGGCCAGAACAAACTCTTATGGGCCGCCATTATCCCAGTCGCCCTTCCGAGGCACCCCGAATTCGCAGATATACCAATCGCCAACTCCTCTTAATGCCAGATTTCAACACACTCCACCTTCACGTCCACCAGAGCATGACACCAAGAAAATGGAAGATGATCTGAGAAGGATACTGAAATTGGACATGGCTACTGGTATACAACCCAGTGGAGTGCAGAGCTCTATGGCTTAAATTAAGTCAGGCAAGGCTGACTATTCTTCTCTCGTTTTTCACTTCTATCGCCTTTTGTCTTTTTTTTTACTCTCTGTCTATGTGTGTACTTAATTTTTCTTCTTCTTTCGGTTTCTATGATTTTAGGCATCTACGTTGTCATCAAGGTTTCGAAAGAGACGCGCGTCATTCGATTAGATTATGGGTCTATATATTTGGATTCCGCTCATTCTGTCTTTTCTCTTGTCCTGGGGGTTTCATTCATTTCGGTTCTGAGCGCGCATCATTGGTCTTTTGTACCTCATTATTGTCGTTTAACGGATACCATATGCATTGCCATGAATCGGGTTGGGACAGGGATTTTTTTTTTCTCTCGCATCTTCCGGAGCTTTTATGATCGGATATCCTTTTGCGTCTTTTTCAAGGTCTGCATGTATATCTCTGTGGACTCATGCTCATGCTTCTTGGACTTTAGGGATATCGGTTTATTTTCTGTCTTTCTGCATCTATACTGGAAGGGTGTCCGGCACGTTTATGTTAAGGATATCACGGCTATCTTTGAATCTCGACGGACATACCATACCTATAATGACTTGATGCTTGAGGCGCTCTGTTTCGTTCTCATCGATGTTTATCGCGGGTAATTCTCGAAGCCAAATGATTTTTAATGTATCTTCTCTGTGCTCATTTCCTCTCTTTTCTCCTATTTTTCTTTTCCTTTTTTGACTCGACTTTGCTTTTCTGTTAATAGTCCAACTCTATCCGCTCTTTGACGAATGCGAATTTCATTTTTCTCTCGCTCTCTCTCTCTTTTTTTTTTAGCTCGTTCCAGTAGCATTGGTCAATTGTAGAAACAGATCGAACGTGAACCTCGTATATCCATGTATATACGATATTGTCGTGAATGTACACAATGCAGTCTTCGTTATCAGCCCTTGGTATTTCATGTAACTACTCTCTTGTCGTAACACGAGTAAATACCGTTAGCGGCAAGCCACACGTGATCGACGAAAGTACGTCAACTGGCATGTAAGATACTTCTTCCAGCATTCACAATGTGTCATTTTCGAGATCCTGCTAAAATTTCTGATTCTATTGGGGCGCAGGCAGGAACTAGGTCTCACGCAGAGTGGCGAAACCAGCCGCAAAATAGTTACATACTCGGTCCACATTATTCAAGTCTTCTTTTTCTCCTCCTTTCCATAACTACTGCTACAGCCGTCTACCTGACGTGTCACGAATTATATCATTCGTCTTGTTTTGATGCACACATTATTACATACGCTGTGCTGTTTTCAGGCTCACAACGAGTTTCCCATGCAGTCACTAACGCTGTGTAAGCTGACGGGTGGCTGATGAGTGGCTAATTAAAGAAGTGGATTGGGTTAATATAACTCAATCTTATGCTGTTGTCTTGGCGCCTGCAACGAGGTCAATGCATTATTTCTTCCACAGGCTGAACTGGTGAAGCGTGAGCAAGGAGAGGCAAGAGAGCGACAGAGCATGGACGTACATACATCGAGGTGCATTGCGTGTTGATATTAATAGCAGAGAAACAATTGTGCTGGGTTGATCTATAGAATAACCAATTTAACGCCTCTGATTGGCTTCCGCAGGCAGTGTCCAGCCGCCAATCACAAAGCGCCCCTGACCGTCGGCGTCTCCACAGGACACCACCCTCTTTTCTCAGGCAGGAACATCTCGATTGTTTCGCTCTTTGGCCAAACAGGAAGGACAGGCTTGTTGTCTGCTTTCATCCATCCTGCGTCTCCCTCTGACATCGCGCAACCTCCCTCCTCTGCGCTGTGCTCCTCTCTGTCCATATCCTCGCGTCCCTAAGAACCGCTTCGTTCTCGCTTGTCCCTTCGACGATCGAGCGTGTTTCCCCTGTGACAGTGATACGAGACAGAACACTTCCAACCAATCAATCCGATCTTGAAGCTACGGCTATCACACCCATCCGTCTCTCGCGTCAAGAACAATCGCTTTCATTGCATTGAGGCCGACCGTCGCGGTCCAGTGGCTTTGCTGAATCACCCCCAAAACTGTACAAGCGCTCGACTCCTTTTCACAGAGCCCCTTCCCCTGCATGTCGTTCACCGCCCCGGCACTTCATCAACGGCATCATTATCATACGTCTCTCGAATCTATATTAGGCTATCTGCAGGCTGACTGCGCGTGTCCGCTGTCTGGCCTGTCCGGTATCTCCAAATGAACTGTTGATCGGCCAACATCTTCATACGATATCCGGCCTTTTGTTTTATCCTACTTTCTTGAATCCTTTTTTTTTTTTTTTTGGTTTCTCGCAATGCCTCCACAAACTGTTTCTGGCTCGTAAGTATCTTTTTTTTTTCTTATGCTGCACAAACCCAATGCTCTGCTGCTAATTACCTTATCTATTAAGCGTCACGTCGGCATGGCGTTCTTTCTGGCATACCATGACCTCCTACGACCGCCATGCCTCCCATGACTCTCCTTACCGTACCGGCCAGCATGTGCCTCTCAATTCAAGTCGCCATGACACTCTCACTTCTGTGGCAACTGCAGCCGATTCCCGCCCTGATCTGACCTCGCCTTTCGAAGAAGACGAACTCGCGAAGACGTCTATGGGCTCGCACTCTAATGGTTGGGCTGATTCCCCAAGAGGCGGGAGTCGTCCATACTCACCGGGCATGCGGTCTTTGGTATCGCAAAGTAGGAGATCAAGCGACCAGGGCGCCGGTGCTAACGGTGTCTCGGGAGAAATACAAATGCAGAGTTTCCACGACGGCGCCCCACCTCCTCCACCAGTTTCCCACTCGTGGAAGAAGATCGATCGCTGGACTGAAGACAATTTCCAGGAGCTTTTTGACCAGCTGTGTGAAGGCTGCACGCAGAACGATGTCAACGAGCTGGAGCATGAACTAGATTGTAGCTTACCTTTGGAGGTGCGCGAATCTTTGCAGATTCATGACGGTCAAGAGCGTGGCGGCGCCCCTACAGGCATTATCTTCGGTTGTATGCTGCTGGACTGTGAGGAAATTGTCCATGAATGGAGGAATTGGCGAACTGTTGCCGAGGAATTTTTCCAGAGCTCTACCATCGTTACACCTCAACCTCCCTCGAAAGCCTTTGGATCCTCGTCATCGGCAGGCCCCTCTCAACAACATCAAGCTTCCAACCCTCTGTGGAGACAAGAACTCCTAGATCGTCAAGATTCACAGCCACCGCGTGCTATTCAAAAGACATATGCACACCCCGGTTGGATTCCTCTTGCGCGTGACTGGGGCGGCAACTGCATTGCTATCGACCTTGCGCCTGGTCCAGCCGGCAAATGGGGTCAAGTCATTATTTTCGGACGCGATTACGATTGCAAGTATGTGGTGGCCCGATCGTGGGCGGCGTTCCTTGCTCAAGTTGCGGATGATTTCGGCAGCCCCTTTGTGGTGGTGGACGAAGAAACTGCAGAGCTGAAATTCAAACCGTTTAGAAAGCAAAACGTTGAACCTCCTTATCTGGAGGTTCTGCGATGGAGAGTAGACCAGAGATATGGACGGCAACCACGCCGAAGGTCAGCTAACGGCCTGGGTGTGAATACGAACGTGGAAAGGTCTCGAAATTCTCCTTATGGCAGTCCAGCTCCGAGTGAAGAACGCGGACGGTCTCCTCATCGCTTTAGCAATCGCGCTCAAACCCAAAGCCCTAAAACACAATTTGGCATTTCCAGCCCTCTTGCCCGTGTGACTGAAGAATCATCAAGTCCTATTACCTCTGCTAACGACCGACTTCCTCAAGAATCAGTACCCAAGGAGCAGCCAATTAAGGAATCTCCTGGCGAAGATTTACTCGAAATAACCACTCCATTAGCATCAAATGAGCCAAGTGATCCTATGAACGATGTCACTGTTCCTTTAAACGACGTTTCAATCTCTGAGAAGACCTCGAAACACACCTCTACATCAGATGCCGCTACTGTTAGTCTGGAATCCGAGAATCTAGGTGAGATGAAGACAGTGGCGATATAGTAAACAGCCTGCATTGTATTTTGTTATCTTCCGTTCCAGGCTCTCTTTTTTTTCTCGGTGGATTGACCCGTGAGGTATATGCTACTGTATAGAGTCACCCTTATAATGTCCGTGTTACTTCTTTCACTGCGATATCCTTTCCACGTCATGATCGTGCGTTATTAACCTATCCTTCGATTCAAGACCTTGTCTCTACGGTTTTATAGGATTATCTTTGCGTTTCTTTGTTTACAATAGGTTGCGCCTTTTTCTTCCTTTCTCTGCACGTGTCTCATTCTTATAGCTTGTATTAAAAATGTTACATCTTTTTTATTTCCCTTTCTTTCTTCTCAGTCGGTGTATGTTTTATATTTATAGTATAACTGCGCGATCATGCAGAACATAATTGCGCTTTCTATTGTAAGGATTATTTATGATTCTGAAACAATTCATTCCTCATGTGTGAGTAGACTACCGAGGTGTATGGAACAGAAGTACAAGACCAGTAAACATCGTCTGCATGGTTACTTTGATTCATTCTAGGGTATATTGCATGTTGTATGTGTTTATTCGAGCGGTATGATGTCGCTCTGGGACTGAAAGACAACCTTGGGACTTTGTTCTCTCTCTATGTCTCAAGAGAGTCCTTAAAATTCGTACAAAGCCACAGCTATCATGACATGACTCCCATTGATATTGACTCTAAAGTGTCTGTTGAACGGGGTCAAGTAGGTTTCACCCCAGCCGGATGGCTTTCTCGTCATTTCTCTTTTGACTTATTCAGCGTTGAGCAGTGTGGATGCTGCTCAATCCCAATCATCATCACTATCATTATCATTGCCCCGTCGATTGCTCGTTCCATCGCGAATTCCTTTTTTTCGTCGTCTTGTATCATTCTCCGAATCACTTTCGCTTTCATCATCGTCGTTATATCGATTCGAACTAGCCTCCTCAAAGAGCTTCCCCCTCACGAGAATACTGCCCTGAAGTAATCTCTTCTCCAGATCTGCCGTCTGAAAAGTGTCCGCCCCTCCCTTCTTTATACTTCTAACAGACACCAACCCTTCAAACCCAACGATTCGCTCCTTGCTATTCCCATCCACAAACCCAATCACACATGGCAGCACACGGATATTGAGCTTCTCAACGACAAATGGACAATTCCGTACATCGACGCGCGCAAATCGTACCTCATGATGTCTCGGCGCAAGCAGACGGAGATGCTCATCCATGACGGCACATCGGCCGAAATCAGGGTGCGAGAAGTGTACGACGCATCGATCGGTATTTGTAGTTAGGTCTAGAACGGCTCGGTCGTCAAGGAGGGTCGGGTAGAAGGCGTCTATTGTTCTTGTGTTGTGGCTACTACTATTATTATCGTTCTGTTTTTTGAGCGCTTCTTTCGCTGATGTCACTTCTTGATGTAGTTGCTCGATGCGGTGTGCGCGATAGGCAGAGTCATCTTCTCTCTCTAGCTCTTCGAAAAGAGCGTCTTCGTCGAGATCGTCGGGATCAGTCGCGGAGTCGAGTCTCTGGCCGACGATGGAGGAAACTTTGGCGTCAAGCGGGGCTGGGTGGGAGGACATCTTGTCCTGACAAGGATGAACGAATCGAGCGTGGAGGAGTAGAGGCTATGAGGTTTTCCCTTTGGCGATTAATGTCCAATTGCACGTGCACACAGAGGGGGTGCAGTCGTGGAGAACGATATACACGACGATTGATTTGACTTTTGGCGTTTAGGTTACCGGATGGGGTAGTGCATAGTTTATATTTTATACTATATACGAGCTGTTTTCAATGTCCATGCCTACGGTCCTGATTGATTTAATTCTACTATTAGACTGATTTGTCGTTCAATCCCTTTTTTTTTTTTTCCTACTCTGAACACATGTACTACTTGCTTGGCTGAGTCGTGTACAACTGGAGCCTGAAGCATAGTGAAATTTACCGTGATACAGCAATACTCGCGCTGCCCCGCTAGCAACGGCTCCGATTGGCTCGAATTCTGAAATTACGCGTATGATACGCGTCAGCAATTGTCTTGGGCGGTCTTCCCCTGCCTGAGGCGCTCAGGCTGCCATTAGGTCAGCACCCCCGGGCTGATCCTTTTCTTTCTCGTCCTCGTCGATCTTCTTCGTTCTTCCTCCTCGCAGCGTCTTCCTTCTTCTCTGTCTGATTGTCTGCCCGGCGGTGTCAACATACCTAGCACTCGCTCGCCCCATTCCATCCAGCCGGGAACCCCTCTTCTGATCGAATTTGCATATTCTTGCAACGAGCCTTTGTACGCGCAATCTTGTATCCGCGTCATCCCGTCTTGCCGTGTCTATATACGTTCATTCAAATATTCGCAACTGCAAACAAAAGCCCCCCCTCCATCATGGCCGATGACAAGAAATCAGACGAGAAAATGGAGCAAGGCTCCAGCAGAACCTTCGACGTTTCTTCGCCTCAGCCTCGTCACTCTCCTTCCAGTTCCCCGGCCCAATGGTCCAACAATCCAATCTTGCCTGTGTTGGCTTACTGCGGTTCTTCCATTCTGATGACTGTGATGAACAAATATGTTTTGTCGGGATTGGATTTTAACCTCAATTTTTTCCTACTTCTTGTTCAGGTGTGTGTTTGCTATATCGTTGGTGCTTGCGTTGACAAACGACTCCCTTTCTCTAACCATCGTTTACAGTCTGTCGTTTGTACCATCGCAATTCAGACCTGCAAGTCAGCCGGTGTCATAACTTTCCGCAGTTTCAATGCGGATGAGGCCAAAAAATGTAGGTTTGCATGAAAGAAGGAGTTGCTTGCTGTGATCAATATTAATTCTTTTCGCTTCTTGTACAGGGTTCCCCATTACTCTTCTTCTCATCGGAATGATTTTCACCGGCTCCAAAGCTCTGCAGTTCCTTTCTATCCCGGTGTACACCATCTTCAAGAACCTGACCATCATTCTCATCGCTTATGGAGAGGTCCTCTGGTTCGGGGGTTCCGCTGTGACCGGACTCACCCTGTTTTCCTTCGGGTTGATGGTCCTCAGTTCCCTCATTGCCGCCTGGGCTGATATCCAGCATGCGCTCCAGTCCAGCGTTAATGCGACCACTAAAGTCTCAACTCTGAATGCTGGTTATATTTGGATGATGATCAACTGTCTTTGCACTGCGTTCTACAGTTTGTGCATGCGCAAGCGCATCAAGCTGACCAACTTTAAGGATTTTGATAGTAAGTAGCGCCTTGAAACCAGACCGTGCTTAGCGGGAAGTAAATACTAGTGTGGTGAATTCGAACTAACGTGATGTTCTTACAGCCATGTTCTACAACAATCTACTCTCGATTCCCGTGCTACTGGTTGCCACTTTTCTTGTTGAAGATTGGTCATCTGAGAACGTCGCCCGTAACTTCCCCGAAACTAGCCGGTCGAGCATCGTGGTCGCCATGGTTCTTTCCGGTCTGTCCTCTGTCTTCATTTCTTATACGTCTGCTTGGTGTATGCGCGTGACTTCGTCAACCACATATTCCATGGTCGGAGCTCTGAACAAGCTCCCCATTGCCGTGTCCGGTTTGATCTTCTTTGACGCACCCGTCACTCTGGGCAGTGTTTCAGCCATCGCCATTGGATTCGTTAGTGGAATTGTGTATTCCGTGGCCAAGTTCAAGCAGAACGCTAAGCCGAGGACTGGTATTCTTCCCACCACGAACCCGCCTCTCAGCGCAAGCAGCCAAAGCATGCGTGATTCTTTGAGATCATAAACGGTGAAATTCAAGCAATGAAAGCATAAAAGCGAAAATAAGAACAAAGAAGGAAACGACCATAGACTCTCGATCCCGTTTCAGGGACAAAAGCAAATTTCTTTCATGATTCGCTTCGGTTGATGCCATCGATGCGACGCATGTGATGCCCTTGTATAGGAATGGAATCATCATAGACCATAGCAACATGTTGTCATTCTCATTCATGGGTTTTTCATATCTTTTCACCATTATCACAATTTCCGTGAAGAGCAAGCACACTCCGGTCTTTTACAACACAATCGCCTTTTTTTAAATTTACCGACAAACAAGATTAAGAAATCCTTTTAATTTGATGACCACCCCTTTTCAATTTCCAGATTCTTCCGTTCCTTTCCTTTTAATAATATGTGGTACGGACGACTTGTGTTTTTCTATTCCTATTATTATCACATATTTGTAAATAGACGCTTTATTTAGTTGTATAGATATATGTATGATGATTGATTGATTGTTACATTGTACCCAAACTAACTGCCATGCTACTTACTATGTAAGGACAGCGTAACGTCCGTGTTAATAAGAAAAAATGGCTGACGTAAATATATACATATATGCACAAAGTATGTTCATTTACATAAACCCTCCAAGTCCTTCGACTCTAGAAGCCAACCCAAAACACCATCCACAACCCACTAATAATTAACGCCAGATCTATACCAGGTGACAATAGCCTAAAAGCATCATTCAAATAATACGCCGCGCCCAGATAACTGCACGTGATATCACCATTCGCAGCGCGATGACCATACGAATCATTCAACCACTTGCCCGTGGGACACTTGAAACTCAGCGCTGATGGACACGTGCGCACCAACTCGCTGCAGAGGTCATAACAAGGCAGGATCTCCTTATACGGACCGGGGTTGATTTTGGAATCAATCATCGGATTGCGCGACTGATTCGTAACCGGCGATAGAACCAGGGGGTCGTCGGCGGGTAGACGGGTGCCGTTGAGAAATGGTTGTCCGGCATCGCGCGGCATGAGGTAAGAGTAGTTACTGGACCAGTCGTAGCATCGCGGTATGGAAACGGCGCATAGCCATTGCTTGTAGGCGGAGGCGCAGTCGGAGCAGCCGACGGCGAGGGAATAGGAGTTTACGGAGGAGGTGTTGCATTGAATTAGGGATAGGGAGTAGTCGAAGCTTTGGTAGTAAGATTGGGCATAGGAGTCGTAGAGTTGCGCCAGCGCTGCGTTGCTTATATCGGGGTTGGAGGGAACGGCGTAGGCGACTTCGGAGCAGAAGTCGAGGTTGTAGAGGAGGGCGCAGTTGTTGTCTTTTTTGGGAGGGGGGGGGGGTGTGAGCGTGTATATTAGCAACATAATAACACGAAGTTAATGAAGAAGAGTAGGGATTACCAGTTTTAGTCGTAAAATTCATTGCCGTAAATATCTTCCCTCCTCCACCGACCACTCCATTCTCTGACGCAGTCGAGTTTCTGCCCAAACCGAGAATACCATAGTAGGTTGAACTGCTATTTAAATACGTGATATAAAATTGCTCCTTGGGCTTATTGCCCATTCCTCGGCTCGTCATCGATCTATTGACCGCATTATTCCCTTGCCGAATTTGTGCCAACTGACTCAACGCGCAATATGAACGCTCCAACCCGGCTATGCCAGTATTATTGATGTTGTTCGCGAAAATGGTGTATGGAGGGGTGATATTCATCCACTCTTGGTAATTCTGAGAATCAGGGGACGATTGCGTCAAGTTGTTTGTGATGAGAAGCGCAGCGTTGACATCAGAATCGACAAAGTAGAGATTCGTGTCGTTGTCTATAGAATGGAAATATGCGTCTATTGATGCTGCCACCTCGTAGTTATATATACCAGTAAAAAGCGTGGTATTCGGCGCCGAGACTCCAATATAGATAGCGCTGTCCGCATTGTCAATAGTTGCGCTCATGTATCCTTGCTCCGTAGTGTATTCGGTCTGCAGAGAAGAGTCCTGTCCAGGCCCAGGATTCGTATTGTTCTCCGACGTAGATATATAGATTGTCAGCGGGGGAAGTTGAGTATCTTGCGCCGCATCTGCATTGCTGGTATTAAGACTTGGCTTCAGACACGTCGTCAATGAAATGTACACCGTGCTTGACCGTTTCCTCAATTCATATCGATTCACCTCATCAGCAGAGAGAGCGGTATCAGTCGAATTTGTGTCTGTGATATTGGCTGGAAGTTCATTTGTTGCTGATGTGTGCGCCCCTAATACTGAATCCTTGGGGAAAACCCAGTACTGTGTTTCGCCCAACTCGATGTTGAGTAGTTTATATTGATTATTGCCTAGCGCGGTTGGCGCTGTGACAGCACGCTTAAGGGTATAGCCATCATAACCCTCTTTGTTCTCATTTTCGATCTCGTCTTCAATCTCATTATTCCACTCCGCGCCAACAGGATGCTCGTTACTAACACCAACACCAGCATCAGCACCAGTCTGCTGCATTATTAATTGATCGACTTCATCAAGGGCGTAGGCGAAACTTCCAGAGTTCGTCGAAATGATGTAGTAGAAAGCGAAGAGGAAAAGGGTAGCGGCGAATGTAGCAGCGAAGCGCGACTGCAAAGGGGTCAGTTTAAGAAATGGCATCTTGGTGTCTTGTCCCTCCCTTGTTTAGTATAACTTCTTCATTAATGCGATTCGAAACATGAGATTTTTCTTTTTCTTTTCTTTTTTTTTTTCAAGGCATGTTGGGTGTCTCTTCCCAAGGTTTTATGCTCTGAAGATCGAGACCCTGAAAGCTCCTGGCAGCGATTCTGACATGAAACTAAAGTGATCGCCCTGGCTTACTCAGCTGAGATATCCCGAACTGCGCCACAGTAAAAGCCACGCGTATCTTTCGCTCATATTTATCTCATGTAATTATGGGATGCGATGGTATGTATACGTCGATTTTCTCTCTATATATCTCTCTCCCTCTAATCTAGAACTAGGACAAATGATAAAAATGAAATGGAACAAACAGTTGTGTGCAGATCAAGCATGCATATCGTCTGCAACAAGCAATCAAACAAGTTTATAGTATCGAGCCATGATTGTAGTCAAAACGAGCATAAAGGCAATGAAGCCGACAATGCCAAAGAACCATTCGAGACCCTCGGTGTCGCGTCCTGGTACCGGAACATTCATGCCCCAGAGACCACAGATTAGATTCATAGGAACCAGGAGACTAGCAATCAGAGTCACTTTGCTGAGAATTTTATTGACTTGGTTTCCCATTATGATGTTGCTCACGTTCAGCTGCGCAAGGTAGTTACCATGGGAGCGACTGAGCATCTTCTCAAAATGAGACAAGTTGGACACCATAGTGACAATGTGATCTTGAATATCGCCAAGATAAAGACCAATGTCGCCGCGCGGGGTGACCGAATACTGTTCGTTGCAGCGTTTCGAGAAGCCTCTGATAACGTCGGCTTTGCCGCCCAAGAGCCGCATCAAAGTCATCACTTTCTTGCGAAGTTCGCCGATTCGCGGTAAGAAAGTGCCAAAGTCTTCCACGCGAGCCACGAACACATGATCTTCAATGGCTTCGGACTCGATCTCAACATCGCGCATGATAGGACCGAAATTGTCAACAATGTCGTCACTGTTAAATCACAAAATCACATTAGCAATGCTTCAAGACGTGATTAATGTTTATTTCTTCAGTCGACTTACATCATGGCGTAACATATCCAATCACTACTTAAAGAAACGTAATCGCGAAGCTTGCCAATACGCTTGCGAACATTGGCGGCGTGGCGGTTCTCGGAAAAGGAAAACGACAGGACCCCATCCCTATACACCACCATATAGACATTGATAGGGTCCAAGTAACGCTCATGGTCCTTATCGGCTTGGAAGAATGTTCGAAAACAGACAAAGTAGTATTGCTTGAACAGCTCTACTTTCTCGCGAGCTTCCTGAGTCATGATATCTTCCGCTGTCAAAGGATGGATAGAGAATGCTCGTGACAGAGCGCCGAGTTCGGCTTCAGTAGGATCAACTACATCCAACCACCACACACCACCATCCGGACCAAGCTGGAAGAGGTCCCGGAAGCTATCTCCAGGAAGAATTAGGTCACCAAGGTAAGCGGCATGGATAGTGCTTTGGCTCTCAGATGAGAAGAAGGTAAATCGATTCTGCAGGGTAGTGGGATGGAAGTTGTCGGGGAAACCCTTTTCGGTGATTGTTGCTCCTGATAGATTCGCCTTGAGGTCATCGTCGGAGCTCTGATCTGTGCTGCAAGCGGCAACAATAGTATCATTAGGCATCTCAATAACGGCATCCCCCTGAGCTTTCTGGCGAAGATCGGGGAAAACTCGAGATTTTGGGCCCTGAGAGCTCAAGCTATGTTTGCGACTAAGGGCAACATCCTTGTCCCTCTTATTTAACGCAACAAACTCTTCAAGCTCCTCATAGTCAATGATGGGAATACGGCCGGGTTCCCTGAAAGAGCGGCCATCTTCACTCTGAGCATCTACAGCAAAATTGTCTCCCTGCTCAGGTCGGATAACACTTCCATTGCTGAAAGTTGGACGACGAGCCTGGGTGCCACCTGAGACAGTACGTTGAAGGGCAGTGTCAAGGTCAGTCTCAACATGACTTCCCACTGTATTAGCGCGCTCGCGGCGTCGCGGGTCGGCAAAGGCGTCCACAGAGTTGGGAGGCGACGATGAACTATCTGATACGGACGAGTTACGGGAACGAGCTCCCATATCTTGCTGGCAGCGGCTGCGGGTGCGATGATTGCGCTGGGCGGGGTCGATTGAAAGGCGCCTCGCAAATGTATCAATGTCATACTCGTCATCATCGATTGCATGTTCAAAATCACGAGAAATCGGACCGTTGTCACAGTAATCATCAGGAACCTGCAGGAGCGGGGGGCGCCCGCCCATTTCGGGCTGCTGCACGGTGCTTGGTATGCCCGACATTGCTTCAGAGTAATGGTGTCGGACGTCGGTCTCAAATCGATTCTTGTCAATGTTCACCGTGGTGTCAAATCCTTCTGTCAGGGATGTCTCGGATCGGGTGCTTCCTAACATAGCCCCGAAACTGGCTGCTTGAAATCTTTCAAATTAACCCATTCAGTATGTGCACAGAGGCGCTTTGCGTTGAGTTCAGTATGCGCGCAAAGCTCGCAACGAGGGCGAGATGTTTCAATGGTTTGTCGAGTAGACGATATCTCCACAAACTTTAGCCAGACCCCAGCGAAGGGCCTGGCAAGACGACCGTACTTGAAACTAAGAACACCAAAATGCGACTATCACGAAAGCCTAGTTAGGGAGGACGAGTTTCGCCCCCGCAGAAGACCCGGAACTTTGGGCCCAGAAGAGGGTGAACGAAAGAGAACTGAGTGAAGCGAGGTCCCGCCAACTTGGCTGTTGAAGATGATAATGAGCGCTGGCGCTCCAGGGTTGTTGGCTGGGGAAGTGGTTGGCTTGCGAAAGACGGATTCGGGTCGGTCAAAGCTCGATTGACGGACCACAAGAAGAATCCGTTAATTCTTTTGAAGGGTTTGAATCCGGCTCCTTGTTTCTGCTCTTTGTTTCTCTTCTGCAAGAAACGAGGCGAGTTGACGGGTCAATTAACCGGCGTAGGTAGTAATCGGGGGTACGTAATGTGATTGAAGGTCCGCAGCTGCCCAACTGGCCTTTTTCAAGGATACGACTGATAAGTGACTAGTGACTCTGTATGAAAACAATACACAATCACACGAGAGGTTTTGGTTTGGTTGAGACAGCAAAACAACACCAGGAGGTGTGATGAGAGAGGTGAGGAAAGAAGGAAGCAGAGATTTGCGGCGATGGAGATCGCTTTAGTACTCTCAACCTCGGGGGCTAGCCCAGTGGGAGGGGTGCCTGCAGCGCTAGGCAGCATACAGCTAGCCGCGCACGGCTGCGGAAAATACAGAGGAAAAATTTCGTCGTGTCTTGCTTTGTGACGAATATTTATGCCCATAAAGTGACAATGACTGCAAAATTTTCACCTGGCTCGCCTTGGCCACAGGTGAAGGCCAATTACAGCTGGACCTTGCTGCATATTATTTTGTGTTATGTGCGTCTCTGCCAAAGAAAGGAGTCCACGTAACGCGATACTACGCTATCTATCACCATGTAGTCCCTTTGTCTTCTTACGAGCAACTCGGAGCTGTCCAGCGTCCAGTGAAGCCATTTCCAGAGGCAGCGGGTGGCTGGCTGCTCACGTGAGTGCGTAGTAATGAAATTAACCGCCGTAGAGGATCATGATCTGGCTGCCTTCCTTGTTAAGGAGCGGTTAGGCATGGAACAGAGGAAGAACAGGCACCGATGAAACAAGAAGCCTTCTTCGCCTTTCCTGCTGTACATGATCGGGATGATTTCCAGCACCCCCGGGAAAAAAAAAAAAAAAAAAAGGAAAAAGAAATCGGCCTGAACCGTGAATCGAACACGGGTCACCACCAGTCAGTTTATTCAGTATAGCTGAAAAGAAACGTTATACGCCCGAAGGTGGTAGCGTACCACTGGCCCATTCAGGCTGATGTGAGTTTCTCAGGAAATGCTTTGTCATGACACGTACGCCCCGCGCTTTTCGAATGATTGACTCAGAAAACGAAGCGCCGACGTCGGCCTCGAGCGATGACTCGATGACACCCCGCGCAGAGCTCCGGTGCCGCGCTAGCACAAACATTCGCAGATATAAAAGTAAAATAGAAAGGCAGAGAAGAGAAATGCGGAATGAACATTGTCCATAACCAACCATATGGTCAACTGAGAAGGACAGAGGCAAAGCAAAGACAAAAGAATACCATCGTCGTTAGTGGGGCCGAAGGCAGAGTGCACGATATCGAAGATCTCCGATATATATTTTCGGTACGTCGATCTACTATCAGCGCCCATTCAAGAACCCGATGTACCAAGCAAGCATCAATTGACTGACAGTCTGATTCATAGCGGTCATAGGGCGTACCTTTTTTTTTTTTCTTTTTTCCTTCAATTTTCTCCAACTTCAAACCCGAGCACAATAAAGGAAAGAAAAGAAAGGGAAGGGGGAAAAAAAGTGCACAATGGCCTCTTCTTCGTCCTTCACCATTCGCATACCGTGCTCGTCAGCGAACATTGGACCAGGCTTTGATGTCATTGGTCTAGCATTGTCGCTCTATCTCGAAGTGCACGTTACAATTGACCCGTCGTCGGCGCAGAAACAGCCATTGAACTGTGCGATTACATACGAGAACCTGAGCGCCAGCAAAGAGCAGATTAGTCTCGATCCCGAGGTCAATCTGATTACTCGCGTGGCGCTCTACGTGCTGCGATGCCATGACCAGCGCGCTTTCCCCGTCAATACGCATGTGCATATCAAGAATCCTATCCCGCTAGGTCGGGGTCTGGGCACGTCGGGAACCGCCGTGGTCGCTGGTGTTGTGCTGGGAAATGAGCTTGGGAAGTTGGGACTGAGCAAGGGGCGTCTCCTTGATTACTGTTTGATGATTGGTAGGACTTCCCCCCTCCACCCCATGCAGAGAATAGGAGGGACTAGAATTGCTAAACAAGACCTCCAGAACGACACCCAGACAACGTAGCCGCATCCCTCTTCGGCGGTTTCGTGGGCACATACCTCAGCGAACTTAAACCAGAAGACATAGCACGCATCGAAATCCCCCTCAGTGAAGTCCTGCCCGAGCCCGCCGGCGGAATCGACACGGGCAAACAACCGCCGAAACCGCCCGTGGGTATCGGCCACTGCACAAAGTTTCCCTGGGCCAAAGAAATCAAAGCAATAGCCATCATCCCGGACTTTGTCGTCCCCACCGCAAATGCACGCAACGTGCTCCCCAAACAGTATTCGCGCCCAGATGTGGTCTTCAATTTGCAGCGTGTCGCTTTGCTGCCTATCGCCCTAGGCACGTCGCCGCCAGACCCGGATATGATCTATTTGGCTATGCAGGACAGAGTGCATCAGCCATACCGGCAAACCCTGATTCCCGGGTTAATAGAGATTCTGCAGTCTATGACCCCTGCGACGCAACCGGGGTTGTTGGGTATCTGTCTTTCGGGCGCGGGGCCGACCATTTTGGCCCTTGCGACGGATCGGTTCGACGAGATTGCTACTAAGATCGTTGGTCGTTTCACAGAGAGAGGCATCGAGTGTCAATGGAAGTTGTTGGAGCTGGCGCGAGAGGGAACGCTGGTAGAACATCATTGAGATAAACGTTTATAGAGCTTTTAATGGCTGGGCCTCTCAACTTTCCTAGTTGTGGTTCGTAGATTATATCAATAAAATCTTAATCTTGAAATTTTGTGTCCGGATAGATAGACAGATAGATGGAACCGAACGCTGGAATTCGAAAGAAAACTGTTTTGTACATATCCAGTTCCTCCTCCCCAAAAAAAGGGGATGATAATGAAGAACGTCCAAGGTCAAACACCCCAAAAGAACAGTATAAGCATAGTAAAACAATCACCTAGAAGACATGGAAGACAGAGAAAAGAAAATAAAGAACTTGTAAGAAAATAAGAGAGGTATCCAGAATTCACAAAATTCTTCCCACCAAAAAATTTTCTTCTCTATTCATCATCAACATCCTGCATCTCCTCATCCTCCCCAGATTTGGTGACAGCTGGCTCGTCCTCGTCATCACTGTCATCGACTATCCGTTTCCCGCCTCGACTGCGTCCTCCTTTCTCCCTTACTGTTGCTTCTTCCTCTTCTTCTTCTTTATCTTCTTCGACAATGTCATTGTCGTCACCGAACAGGTCATCATCTCCGGCTGCGGCATCGTCTTCAACACTAGTCACAGCCGGATTGGCAACGGCAGCACCGTCGTCCAGTTCTTCATCAGAATCCACATATTCAGTGCTCTTATACTTGCCCGGTTTCTCTTTGGCGCCTCCACGACGTTCCAATCGTCTCCGTCTCTTGGGCGCTGGCGTTTCTCCTTCGTCATCAGACCGAGCCACGCTAATGCTTCGTCCATCTGAGACAACGCCATCGTCATCATCACGATGCTTCTTGCGCTTGGATGATGACTTCTTCTTGCGTTTCTGACGCTCGCCAGTTTCAGAGTCCGTCGTCAACTCAGCTGCCTCTCGAGCTCGCTGTTCTTCCGCCCTCTGTGCTGCCAAGCGCTGCGTCTCCTCGACGATACGTTGTCGTTGTTCTGCTAGTTGACGCTTCCTTTCCATCTCCAGTTCCTGCGCTTTACGCACTTCTTCTTCGCGGCGTTTCAATTCTGCGTCACGAGCTGCACGGGCTTGTTGCAATTTGAGTGCGTTTTTGTCCTCATACTCCTTCTGGTTCTGGAGCGAACGCTCGAGCTGCTTGCTGATCGTATTTCGACCCATGTTTGCTCGCTGCTCTAGGGACTCTCGAGGGTAGGGTGGATTCTTGACTTGCGCAATGCGCGTGAATGTCTCAATTGCCTTTTCAAGGCCCTCGGCGGCCTCTTGCAGGTCCTGCAATGTCCTCTGCATTTCTGGTAGACTGTTCACCAGGAGCGCAATCTGATTCTGGACAAATGCAACATTGAATTCCAGATGCACCTGTTCTGGTGCAACTGCCAACGCACGGTTCGCATAGTCCAGGGCAGTTTTCATAGCTACCAGGTTCTTCTCGTGTTTCCCTTTCAACCACCAAACGCGTCCAAGACATACCAGGATCTGTGCATCGCGAGCCCTATCCTTGGATAGTGCCGTTTCGTAACACTCAATCGACCGAGAGAATTGCTTCAATTCTGCGTAGGCATGGCCTAAGTTGATGTATACACTGGCATCTTTTATGGCACCTCGAATCTTCGAAAAGATTTGAACGGCACCGGTGTAGTCTTTACGGTCATCCACGAGCGCAATTGCAATACCCTGTGCCGCATAAGCGTTCTTGGGATCTAATTGCAGCGCCTTATCAAAGAACTCCACAGCACGTTCGTACATCTTCCGTCTTTTCTCTTTATCTTGGTCTGTCTCACGTCGCATGTCTCGTGCTGTCAAAAGATGCACATTACCCATTCCAGTCAAAGCATATCTATCATGCTTGTCAAAGTGCTGCAGCGTGTGCTTGTAGTGCCGTTGTTCGTGATCCTCGGCCAGATTGGCCACTCTCTTTTTAGATTTGCTGAGATACCACCCGAAAAGAGCCCGTACTTCAAGATTCGTCGAATCGCTTTCATAAAGTTTGGCCATTTTCTTCGGGCCTTCGTCTGTCGGGCTCTGACGTAGTGAGATATAAGTCATCCTTGCACTAGCTTCCGTGTAATCACTGTGCCTTTCGAGAAGGCTTTCATAGACCTTTTTAGCTTCGTCTGGAATATCGAGGGCTTCAAGACAACGAGCGAAATTATATCGGACAGTCGTGATAAGTGCATCAGTGGCCTTTTCACCTTCCAGCTCTTCGGATTTTACACAAGCGTTCAACGCAGATTGGAAAAGATCCCTAGCTTCTGCCACTTTGCCTGACTGATAGAGGAAACAGCCAATGTTATTCAATAATTGGGGCGGCAAATACTCCCTGAGTGCAGCCTTCAACTCCCCGTTCTGGAGATTCTCCTCGGGCCTATCCTGATCGGGAATCTGCTCCATCTGAATATCTTCAAGCTGCGAAAGACATTGCATGCTCTTGTCTGGAGAGGAACTCTCATAGAGGCGAGAAAGATAAATCAACACAGACTCGTCGGGTGAGATGTTTTTCGTTGGATCTTTCCAGAGGCTTCGGACGGCCTCAAGGATAGAGATAGCCTTCGCGGCATCGGCTGATTTATCATCCTTGCTACCGCTAGCCTGCGCAGAAAATACTTCTTCCGCTAGCAAAGCCCCTAGAAGTGCCATACATTCTGGGCTTTTCGTCTGTTGTATAATCTTTTCCAGTCGGAACTTTGCTCCATCCAAATCCTTAGACTTGACTTGCATCTGAACAACGCCAAATTTAGCTGGTAAGAATCCGCTCTCACCACCACCACGGGCTTGATCGGACCGGTTGAAATATTCGGAAGCTTTAGACGCATCACCTTCGTAGTGTGCCTTGCGTCCCAAAAGATACCAACCCTCACTAGCAATGGAAACAACATCGGTCTGTTCAATAGCTTTGCGAGCTAAAGCTTCCACAGTCTTGTAATCTTTGCGAGTCAATTTGTAGCCTGCGAACCTTGCACATGCCATTGGATAGTCCCTGTCTAACTTTATAGCGCTTTGTGTATGTGTCATGGAGATTCTGTACAGTTCTCCGAACTGCGGGTCGTTTGTAGGGCGTTGAGAGCTGCCATATAGATAGTAGGTTCCAACTAACATATTTGCCACTTTTGATGTCGGGTTCTGCCAGGAGAGACAGTGTTAGTCTTTTCAAAGGGTAGGCAGATGAAGTGTTTATTTCTTACTAGGGATAGTGCCCGTTCCCATGCGTCTCTTGCCCGTTCTTTGAAGCCCAACTGCCACAAACAACATCCGATACCAATCCGCGGGTCAGGATCCGTGAGTCCCGGCATCCTTGTGAGAACAGTTTGGTAGGTCAACAGCGCATCAGGGTAGTTTCCCAGAGCATACTGAGCCCTGGCCAGTCCCAAGTGAGCCATCACATTCCTGCCCCCTGAAGCCTTGGATGCTTCCTCGAAACATTTCAAGGCCTGGCGCAATGTTTCGACCCTTTCAGAGTTGTCGGGAATACCGGTTCTAACAGGTCTCGGAGGATACAAAGATGCTCGTAGAAGGCACAAGACTCCGCGAGCGAGGAAAAGTGGCGTGTAAGCAGGATTAAGGCGAGACGCTTCGTTTAGAGTCGAGGTCGCTAGCTGGAGATAGTAATCTTTGGTTTTCACATCCGATGAGTTTCCATCGGGAGCGACACGAGGCGATTGACGGCTCTTTAGCATTAATAACCAACATAGCCAATTCAAAAGCCCTAGCTTCTCCTTTGTCGCCCCATGAGCAACAGATGCTAAACCTTTCTGCAAAATTTCAACCGCATGATCAAGCTGTTTCTGTTTGGCGTATGCCAGCGAAATAATCACCCAGAAGTTCTTCGCGGCTTTCTCGTTCTCTAATAGCGTGCAAAGTTCCGTTGGATCGTCTGGGAGTTCCTCGAGACTGACTTCGACTTCGCTGTCGAATGTTGATGCAGGGATATCGATGGCGGAAGGAATGTCGGAGAACCGGGTGGCTGAAGGCAATGTCTCTGAATTCAAGGCCATGTCCCCAAAGCCATTTGCATGACCATTCTCGAAATGCGCCATAGCGTGGGTAATGTGAGTATCAAGATGATCGCAGGACTGGCTGGGTTCGCAGGTAGAGAACGCAGTTAACAGCGTATGGCCATTTGGAACATCGAAGATCCGGAGAAGTAACGGAGAAACAAAAAAAGCTTGCACTCTGGCGACAGTCTCCCAACGCAAGGGTATATGTGTGGATGAGAGAAGTGTGAGGAAATAGCGTTGAGATCTTTCACTTTCAGCATGAAATGGCGGCAGGACAACGCCTGAGGCGCGCACTTGGCAGGCGCTGCTGTTGGCCAATCAGGCGCGCGGCAGCTCGGGCTGCGGCCCCACTCAAGTATACCATCAATAGCCAGCCAGCAGTTATTATTATTATCTATAACAATGCATGCTACTATTCACATAAAGATTCTTCGTGTCATTCATTCAATATTATCTATACCGTACATGAGGAGAGTTTGTAAGAATAGAGATTCCGGGCACTGGTCCGCTCGATCTTGACGCTGTGAATCCACAGATGAAATGAATTTTATCCTCATTCGCCCATGTTCTCTCAGCTCAAAAAAGCCACCTGAACAAAACGCCAAATAACAATAGAACCGCGAATATCTCCGCTATCTCAATCCAGCGCGCCAAGGTTATCTCTGTCTCGATGTATCCACGAGATGCCTCGGCCTTCTGTTTAGCGGGGATGTCATGGGTATCAATAGAAGAACCTAAGGAGGTAGGAAATCGGCCCGTCTCAAAGAACTGCTCTAGTAGAACATCTTTTTCTCTCCAGCGCTCCAATAGCCACTCTTCAAATTCTTTTTGATCATCTAAAGGAATATCTGCCACCGCCCAGCGTCTCCAGTACATATTCACGGACTTTGGCGGACGGCCCTGGCCGTATGTGGACCGTAGGGTAAAATAGCGATCAGGGTATATGCCTTTACTAAAGACATTGTTAGTTTAAACGATAGGGGAAGCATAGCTGTTAAGCGAAATGGGTACGAACGGTGGTCCTTCATAACCTATGGTACAGTCGTATAGCCAGTCTACGGTGCCTCTTAATTGTTGCAAGCAGAAAAATAGGCCGGTTGACCTGGGAAGAATCATATGCTTGAGAGGAGCGATGCCTGCTTTTTCGCCGTATTTGTTGCTAATGTTCTTTGTGTTGATCGACAGGTTGGTTCCCTCGGGGAAAATCAAAAGCCACATCGGATCTAATCCCTGAGACCCAGACATTGGACCAGAGTGTTGTGCTTTCAACTTCTCAAGGCGATGCTGCAAGCGAGGTTTATCCGCCTCCCACTTACGGGCCATAAAAATGAAGCCGTAGAACATCATCCCCTGACCAAGCAACGGAATGTATTTGAGCGACTCTTTCAAAATGATGAAGATATGACCGTGCATACGGGACGTATAGCTCACCCACCACAGATACAGCCAATCTGTGTATACCTGATGATTCGCGATGAATACGAGACGGTCATGAAAATTGGTCCTGAGCCGGCCATCGGACGTTATATGCATCTGCCCTTTTACCGAAGCATCACCGCTGACACGAACCAATGTTGGGGATCCCCACTGGGTGATAGTGATCACCAGTATGCCAAAACACTGCTTCGTCATAGCCATGTATGCGTAGTAGTAGTTTTTATTGATGAAATATAACGGCGATCCAATGAGTTGCGTCGCGACTATACACACACAGCAACCGTTGAACCATGTGGCTAGCAGTAGAGATCGGAGAATTTGCATGAAAAGCCCATGTTTCAACCCGGCATCCTTCTCGCTCTCCGCCAACGGGGTTTGCTCGGTCAGGACGGAAGACCCGGATGGGTCTGTCGGAGCTCGATGCCTTATTTCAGACATCTCGAGACTTAGGGCAGGTCTGCTAGCCCCGTTTGCAGCGCAGTGTATGTATATATAAGCTTGTCGTCTTGGGCGTTCGAGCTAAGCAGGTAGACGTCGTCGATCAGTCAATGCTATACACGGGTGTGGCAGGGGCGAGGGTTGCGAGCTCTCTAAGCCACAGGAAGAAGCGAGCACAGCTCAACACGCAAGGGCATGCATAGTGGGGGAAGAAAAGAGCCGTGTCAAGTCACGAGAAAAGGGAAGGAAAGCAGCTGTAGAGGTGATTTGTTCATCTTTTCTGTGCGTGACTGACGTCTTGCTGCATGATTTGGGAAGTAGGCAGGCGGTGACCGGTCCGTGGGTGGTGAATGGCTGAGAACGCAGAAGCCTACGGCTTAAGCTTTTCGGGGCAGCCAATGGCCCGATGGAGCTCCGAGACTGCTTTCTCCATCTCCGCTTTTCGTCCAGAGCGTCTAGCGCTTGCAAATTTCTATTCTCAGCTTCTCAGTATCCTGGTTGGAAAAGGAACAAAGGCGAATATGCGATCTGAATTGGACTTGGCATAGCCATCTTCATACCTGCTTGAGCTTGTTTGGCCGGGAGAGACATGTCTATTTTCGTTACGGTCCTCCGTTTCGTTACGTCTTGTTGCAGCGCTTCAAACCCAGCTGCAATAGAACTGAAGATTATTCGATCATGATGAGAGCCATTTCTGCAAGGCTTCGATCTCTCTCATCGCACAGTTCCGGATCGACTGTCCGCTGCTTTTCGAGCTCTTCGACGTGGCGAGAAATCCGCGATATACAAAGCCTTCCTTCGCGAATATCTCCAAAATACCAAGGTGTGCGTCCAAATTGAGCCCATTAAGTACGCTCAGGCAACAACTGGAGATGAATCTAACCACATTGCTATCTGCTTAGAGTCTCGGGGCAGTGATTTGCTGTCCCTTCAATGGCCGGCTCCTCCCCGCAATATTCTCATAGTGAAGAAGAAGAGTGCACCTATTGTCACGAAGTCCTTAATAGAGTTCATTAAGTATGGAAAACGACTGACCGTCAGCTCAAGAGATGCCGCTAATTTTGATCAGTCATATAGTATCTACATATCCGTCTCTATCTATTATTCTAGAGCAGAAGACTAGTGAAGAAATTCACACATCCCTTTCGATACCGGTCTACACCTCGACATCGGACAGACCATTAACAGCATCAACCCATGACAAAGTCGACTTAGTGGTGACTCTCGGCGGTGATGGGACTATACTTCGGGCTTCTTCACTGTTTGCGACCTGTCACAATGTGCCCCCTATGCTGTCATTCAGCATGGGCACGTTAGGGTTTCTCGGCGAATGGAAGTTTGAGGAATATAAGCGAGCATTTCGGGAAGTCTACATGTCTGGATCGGGCGCGGGTGACCGTACCTCTGTTCTAGATGACCCAGAACCTACCCCCGGTGATGAGGTTGCTGAATCGAGAATGGGACCTACCGGTTGGTCCTCGATTCGTGGTAAATCAATGGGGTCCACGAGGGGCGCTCGTGTATTGATGCGTAACCGTCTGCGTGTCGGGCTGTTTTCGCCGGATGGGGAGGCCATAATCCCTTCCTCGCATTCTAGCAGAGAAGAAGTAGGCGTACCTGATCCACGGGTGTACGCCCTGAACGAGGTGCTTATCCACCGAGGAAAAGAGCCGCACCTTGCTGTCCTAGATGTGTTCGTTGGCGGACGGTTACTCACAGAGGCGGTCGCCGACGGTATGATTATCTCAACACCAACAGGAAGCACGGCCTATAGTTTGAGCAGTGGGGGCAGTATCGTGCACCCTTTGGTTCCTTCGCTTCTTTTGACACCTGTATGCGCTCGGAGTCTAAGCTTTCGACCACTGGTGTTACCATCCAGCACACCTGTCACTCTGCGACTGAGCCCGAAGAACCGCGGCCGAGAAGTGGAGCTAAGCATTGACGGCAAGAATCTAGGACAGGGCATGGCCGTAGGCATGGAGGTACGCGTTTGGGACGAAGAGATTCGACATGGAAAGAATGACTGGCGAGGCGGAGTTCCTTGCGTAATGCGAAGGACAATTGGGGTCAATGATGACGGCTGGGTTGGGGGACTGAATTCCTTGTTGAAATTCAACCACCCATTTGGCGCCGATTCCTAGCAAGTTGGTGACAGTTGTAATATAGATAACTACAACAATCATGAAAAGTGCTGGTGACGGCGTTGTAGCGGTTTTGTTTGTCTGTTCATATAATTTTACAGTACATGACGGGCGGCGCGTAATTTATATTCCACGGAGCGCGTCGAGCAGGTCGCTTTCGGAGATTTTCCTTTAACCATGGCTCGAAGATCCTTTGTTCTGCGGTTTGAAATTTCCCAAAGGTAAATAATTAATTACACTACGTCTATCTCGCTATCTTATCAATCCGATACAGGATGTGTTGCAGTTGTACTAGTATTTACACGTGCCCCCCACGTTCCAGAGTCGTTACGGAGCGCCGACGTTGAATCAATGAATATGCATGTATCAAGTCGCGCAACATAGTTCCATGTTAAATCGTATAGATGATCAATCATGCACTTGCATGCTTTTTCATGTACATCGACCGATGAGGATAAGGCTGCGTGGTGGCACGGATTGGTCATTGACGCGTCCTTCAGCCTCCATTCTCAGAAGGGCAAAGGCCAGAGACCCTGTTTGTTTGTGAGCTGAGCTGGATGTGTACGTAGTATGCAATTGGGCAGAGGCGTAGAAAGAAGATCGGGAATAGAACTGATCTGCAGGGTTGCTTTGTTCGATGGGTTGGCTGTTTATTCTTAACGTTCGACGCTCGACGAATGCCAGCAAAGCCGTACCGTACGTACCGACTGTGTTTGTGCGAGCGCAGACGTACAGCATAAAGGGCCGCCCTCGTCTCGCCCTCGCCATCGTCGTCGCTTGCTGACTTGTTGCTGATTTATTGTCGACTGTGGACTGAGTCTGGTGCGTGCAGGTGTGACTGCGCCAAGTGGGTACCTCAGGCGTTGATTTTGATTGCTTAATCTGTTTCTGGGCAGGTCCATTCCTTCCTGATTTCCACTCCTGGCCTGCCTTCCCCTTTCCCCCAAACCACACCAGTCAGTGCCTTCCTCCCCGCCGCCAGCACCTCCTCCCTCGACAACCTCTCTGTTGCCCGCCAACTCCAGAAAACCCAACCTGCTTCCGGATTCTGAGAATCTTCTGCTGCACCTCACACGCACTGGGGACACTCTCAACTGGCGAAGGCACGGGCGGTGCCCTGTGGGACTTGCGTTTCAACCCCAGGCTAGGTACGAGCACGACGCCAGACTCCTGTATAGCCTTTCTTCGCTTCCTGCTCTCCCTCTCCCCTTTGAATACTCCCTCTTCGTTACCAGTGCGACGCTTCCTGTGGCTAGGACACGCTCACTGGGCACAGAAATACAGCCTTCCCCCTCTTCTGTCTTCCCCGCTATCCATATCTGTGTTTCCGCCTGTGCCACTCTAACATTCCAGTGCGATTAGACCTGCGGACACCCCTTTCTGGCCTGGCAAAACAGCCGCTTATCATTTTGATCCTACGCGCCCAGGATGGCGTCCTCCCATGGAAAGTAAGTGTTGTGTATCGTCCGTATTCATAACTCACTTGCAGCTCTGGTGAAGGGCCGATTGCTGCTATTGAAGAGCATCCTGTCCTTGGATTGTCATATATAAATAATATGACTAATATTCGTTCATTGGTTCATAGTGTGTACTCGGCCGATCAATTCATGAATCCTGGACCAGCCCCGCGGCCACCTGCTGAACGTCCCCGTCTTAACACTGTGCCATCCAGCCCGAGTGTTGCTACATCCTTTAACCAAATGAGCCTTAACTCTCCGAGCACCCCAACTCTATCTATTTTCCCAAACACCAGCAGTCTGACACTTTCGCAGACCAAGGGGTCAACAGGCAGCCCTGGCGTTGCTGTTATCAAAGAGGGCTATGTACGATGTAAAGAAGACAAGTTCCTGGCCCAATGGAATCAACGGTATCTTATTCTACGAGAGTTTCGGCTGGACTTTTTGAAAAACGAGACCGGAAAGTTAATTATGTCAATTAACCTTTCTAACATCACTGGTGTTACGCGCTCCGAGGACACTAAGATGGCTTTTGAGATCACCCGCTTGGCCAATACGAAGGACGCCAACTCAAAATCAGCAATAATAAACCGCGATGTTCCTACCAAGACTATTACCTGCGAAGTTAAAAATGACGATGAGATCTACGATTGGATTGACAAGATTTACGAACGTTGCCCAGGAATGGGAGGAGTCAGCAATCCGACTAATTTCAGCCATCGAGTCCACGTCGGCTTCGATCCAAAGACTGGTGCTTTCGTCGGCCTGCCAACGGAATGGGAAAAGCTTTTGACTGCATCAGCCATTACAAAAGAAGATTACAAGAAGAACCCTCAAGCTGTGATTGAGGTGCTGGAGTTCTACTCGGACATCAAGATGCGCGAACAGAACCCTCAATACTATAGTAGTATGACACCTACTCCACCGGCTTCCAATTCTGCATCAATGCAAATAGGAAATGGAAATGGAATCGCCCCTCCCCGACCACCTCCTCCAAATGCGCTCCAAAGATTGGATAGTGGGCAGTCCCAACGGTTGATGAACGACACAAACTCGGCTCAGGCGTCGCGGAAGAATTCGGATGCGGACCGCAGCTTTGAAGTCGATCGTATGCGGGAAGTTGCTGAACAAGAGCAGCGGCGCCGACTGGAAGAAGAAGCACGACGTATTCGCGATGAACAAGAAAGGCGAGAACAAGAAGCCTATAACGCGTCAATACCTAAGACTCGGGTGCCAATCGCAAAACAGGAATTGGGAGGCTACGGTTCATCTGAAAGCGACTCAAACGCCAACAGATACAACCCAAGCCGTCCTGCCCCTCAAGCACCGAACTCAGCTTCTCGTCAACAGCCTCCACCTTTACGACAGATGACAGCTCAGAGACCGGCCCCGTCACCACCGACGGATGGGCAGTCTGCTCAGAAGTCAGGTAAAGTATCTTGGGATATGGTAATTTCAGACAACCTTACTAATGACTTTTATAGATCCTAGACTTCAGCAATCAGCCCCTCGTGCGCAGAATGGAACGAAGACAGCCGCGCAAAACTCAGGTCCCCCGCCGTCACGTCTACCTGCGCCTGTTCAGCAAGTTAAACCATTGAACATTGCTAACAAGCAAGGTGCTCCTAAAGCTGCGGTTCCAGAGGGCGTTCGTCAAGCCGAGGCCGCTCTTGCGAAGAAGGCCGAACCGCGACAAAAAGAGGTCCGCATGTCGAGCATGACTGAGAACGAAGTGATGGAGAAACTCAAATCCGTCGTCTCCAAGGAAAACCCCCAGGAGTCGTATAGCAAGCAGCGTAAGATTGGGCAAGGTGCTTCTGGATCTGTATATGTGGCTCGCGTCAAGGAAAGTGCCACATCGCCAGTGGCCAGAGAAATATATCGCACTCATGGTCCCCGTGGACAAGTTGCTATTAAACAAATGGACCTCCGAAGCCAGCCTCGCAAGGAATTGATTGTGAACGAAATTATTGTCATGAAGGACAGCCAACATGCGAATATTGTCAATTTCCTTGACTCCTTTTTGCAGGACCAGAACAATGAGCTCTGGGTTGTTATGGAATTTATGGAGGGTGGTGCGCTGACCGATGTGATTGATAATAATCCAGTCATTCAAGAAGACCAGATTTCAACTATATGCTTTGAGGTATGCTGTCTAGATTCTGACCGGGAGTATTTACATGATTGCTGACCTAGTATATTGCCGGCAGACTTGCAAGGGTTTGGCTCACCTACACAGTCAAAATATTATCCACCGTGACATCAAAAGTGACAATGTCTTGCTTGACCGTGTCGGCAATGTTAAGATTAGTATGTGAACACCGATATCTAGTGGAAATAACAAATGCTTACGAACATTGTTCTCTTTTACAGCGGACTTTGGCTTCTGCGCGAAGCTGACAGAATCAAAGAGTAAGCGAGCCACAATGGTTGGAACCCCTTACTGGATGGCACCTGAGGTTGTCAAGCAGAAGGAGTACGGACCAAAGGTGGACTGCTGGTCTCTCGGAATCATGGCTATTGAAATGATTGAGTCAGAGCCACCTTATCTCAACGAGGAACCTTTGAAAGCGCTGTATCTTATTGCAACTAACGGTACACCTCGACTAAAGAAGCCAGAGAAGCTCAGCAAGGAGTTGAAATCGTTCTTAAGTGTCTGTCTTTGCGTTGATGTCCGCAGTCGAGCTACTGCGGAGGAACTATTGGCACATGAATTTTTGAAGATGGGTTGCAGTCGAGCTAGTCTCGCTGAGCTTCTTCGCTGGAAGAAGAATGGCGGTCAATAAATCAGTGACATTCCTGTCGCTGTAGAAAAACAAGCAACCGCGGAGATTTCATTTCCCCCCTCCGGCTATGGAGACATAACAATCAAGTGCTGGGCTGAGAAGTTCATCTGCGGGTCCGGATCAAATAATATTCTCTCATATTTCTCTGTTTCTCAATCTCACGACGACCCGACATTGTAAATTTGCGGTCGTTATCCATGCTTTAGGTGCCTTTTACAATATAGGAGCTCGGTTGGCATTATATCCCAGATACTAAATATTCTTGCCTTTCTCCTTTTTCTTTTCTCTCTTTAACTTTCAGTTTGCGATGATCACCCCCCCTCCATTGTTCCATTATATTTAATGAACGATTTGATTGATTCTAGGAAGTTTTTCAATTGGAAAACAGCAACATAATCATCTGGATCTTGGATATGGTTCATTGACTCTTTGATGCTCTTCTGGCTTTATTTTTTGTTCACTTCATCCTTGGCTTTTGGCTTGGATAGAAAATTATTGAGGAATAGAATCTATATTCATTATTTTTTTCAACTGTGCTGATTAGCAGACTACCAGTGCAAGTAGAGAAACAAGATGGATAAGATGGCAATAGAATACTTTCTAGTATTCAGATAGGTATTATAAAAAGCCATATCATATTAATAATATATCCATCAATCACGGAGGATATTGAATTGCAGAATTTTCTTTTTGAGAGCTCCAGAGAAATCAATAATTCATATCAAGGAAAGGAACAACAAGAATAAGAAGGGAAACGAGTCAAGATAATCATTATTATATAGCATCAGCGATAAAACCCCCAATTTGTCCAAAGAGAATCCCCTGAAATACCTGTTCCCCTTCTTCAAGAGCCCAAAGACCAGCCTGCTCCAAGTGGTGGCGCCATCGTCGACGTTCTTCGGGATGTAGATCTTCCCATTTCCGGACTGATGATAATCGATCAATATCGACGTCCGTAGGGTGCTGAGATTGTTGCTGTTGCGCGTATATGGTTCCTTCTGTATCGTGTCTGATGATTACAGGATGTGATGCTAATGTTGTAGTTGTAGGTGAATCAGGGTCAATGCTGGTGCTAGCAGCAGGGTTGTTTTCGTTTCGAGCTATTAGGAATTCGCGCAAATGGTGGTCTTTGATTATAATGCCCGTTGATGAGGATGGCGATACTTGCATTTCAGGCACATCAGCCAGTCCGTCAAGAGGAATAAGACGAGGGAGGTCAGATGTATATGGTCTGCCAATGCGTCTGCGAAGTCCGTCGGGTAACCAGTCTGTAGCACCGAGCGTTGGAGCTGTGATTCCCCTAATTTCGCAATAGGCCTGCGTTAGGAGGCAGGCAAATGCAACCATGGCAAGAGCTACTATGCAGCTGAATATGGTCTCCCAGGTATCGGAGCGGCCCGGTGGCTTGAGGGCATATCGGGGTGACGTGGTATCTCGTCCTGCAAGGGTTTGTTGAGGGTAGAGTGTAAACGTGTGCACAACTACTGTATTTCCCAGGCTGATTGAGGCTAGTTTAACGTATTGTGGAGGTGTGTTGCCTGTGACTGGGTATGCAGGCGGTCGGTAATGGGAGAAGCAGACTTTGGTCATGGAGAATGGATGTGCGTCTTTTAATGAAGCGTAGGATTTCAATGCGCCGTACCCTTTCCTCGGCAAATAGTCGAGGGTCAACGTTTCGATGGATTGGTCACTGCCTGCTAGGGCGATCAGGTACTGTCGTTCTTTGCTATCGCCTTCACCCAGGTTAATGACATCCAGGCTCAGTCCAATCTTGATGGACTTTCGTAGCTTTTTTCGGCGAATAATAGTGCCACTTTCTGTTGATTGGCGTGATGTTGGAAGAGACAGGACTGAAAGCTCACATCCTGAGCGATCTGTCGTGTTCTGAAGGAGGAGTAATGTGGTCGGAGAAAGGAACCGTAGCGCTCGATATTTGGATTTCTTGGGTAAAGTCTTGGGAATTGTGAAGACCGTCTTGACTTCAGGAGCGGCATTCGATTTTCGGGACGACAATATCTCAAACGTGAATACCTCCGTTCCGTTGGTGTAGGCCACTAGGAATTTGCCATCATCCAACTCTAGGATATCTACATCTTCGGCCTCCTCCCCATTTGCCAACCGAATTCGTCCAATGACGTCTGATGCTTGAGGCTGGGAAGTGGCATTGAAAAGAACAATCTCCCCCCAGGGCGCCAAGCCAGTTGCAATTGCGCCTATTCGGGGTGATTCGACGGTTTTGTAAGGAGACAGCCGTAGTAGTCTCTGATATGTGTCAACTTTAGAGGGCGGTTTCTGACCCCTTTCAACGATATTTGTTCTGAACAGCGAAACTTGAGATAACGGCGTAGTCTTTCCTCTAGGTAAATTGGATCCATCACTCTCATCTTTTTTCTCGATTGTATTATCGTCTCGACTCGCACCCTTACGTGGCGGATACTCCAGCCGGAAGGATCGCAGATGCTGGTTATTTCCTTTCAGCTGCTCGGCTTGAGAACTATTTATCCCCGCAAGAGCCACCATTGACTCATCAGTTGATCCAGCAACTGCCAGTGATGTAACGGAATCTTCGTCGCGCGATAGTTGGATGTCGACTAGTTCGGAGATTTCATGCCGTTTTGAAGTATTCAATAGAGTCTAAGAACAGTTCATCAGTGACCACGTCCGTGACAGAATTATACAGCACGCCGGCAATATGCGATCAAACATACAATTCTATTTCCCACACCACTGCGGCCCTCGCCTCCTCCACCTCCTACAAGCAGAAGGCCGTGGTTTTGGGGGTCGAAGTCAGCAGCGAACAGCGGGCAGGACAGCGTGATCTTTGAGGATGCTATCAATGGCGCCATGATAGAGAACGTGCACTGCTCGACTGTTCAGAATAGCGCGAACTTGTCAGTGTGTGTCGAACGATATCGGATCAAGAGTTGTCCCAATTTCATGCATTGGTGCGAGTTGTCGCGTGTTAAATTTAACTGTGAAGTTGGCGGATCGCCCAACAAGGTAGTGCCGCGGCCTGAGCTCCGAGCCGCACGTCATTGGACGCGAACAGCCTTACAGTGACTGTAACTAATTAGTACTGAATACTAAGAGATGTAGATTATTGTCACGAGAAAAAAAAAATCGACGTTTAAGTTCTCCTGTTTATAATTCTTTACCACTACAAATGCTTTCTAACATTGACGTGACGCCTATTCCGTCTCTTGAGAAGTGAACTCTGGGAGACGCTTTGCTACATCGTCCCAAGTCTCCTCACCCTCGACCATCGACTTGACGGCCTTCAAGATCTCATCCTCACTAGCCCGGACCTGCTTTGTCGAGTCGCGATCACGCAGTGTGAAGGTGTTGTCCTTGACAGACTGGAAGTCAATTGTAATGCCGAATGGTGTACCCAACTCGTCATTCCGAGCGTACCGTTTGCCGATACTGCTCGAGGAATCATCGACCTTGCTGGAGATACCAGCGCGGCGGAACTTCAGACCAAGTCGTTTGACGAATGGTGCGAAAGCTTCGTTGTTGGAAAGGGGAACCAGTAACACTTTGGTTGGAGATATTGATGGAGGGAATGATAGTACCTAAATGTCAAACGGAAAGATATAAGTAGGACGCTCATAACAGGTTATGCACTTCGGAGAGAGAAAAGACTTACACCACGAGCCTCGTCACCAGCCCGGTGCCAATATGAGTGTTCATATAAACAGTAGAGGATTCTTCCAACGCCAAAAGAAGGTTCGACCACATTGGGAGTGTATTCACGGATGTGCTCAATCCTTGTCCTCTTCTCAATGTTAATCAAATCTTTGCCAAGCTCAACCTTGCCAGATTCAACGCCCTCTACATCAATCTCAACTTTGCCGTCCTTAGCGAGATCTAGCGAGAGTTTCTCGCGAAGATCTTCAGTCAGAGCGTTGATTGCTGCCTCCACTTTTTTGGCATCCTTCTTGAACCTAGGGCCAAACTTTGCCTTTGTGATGTCGATTTGCCACTCTTCAAAAGTTCTAGGTTCCGGCAGGGCTTCACGGACAAAGAGAGGAGCACCGGTCTTTTCTCTGTGCACAGTCAGGTCGTATGCGCTTCGGTCAGCACAGCCAACACCTTCAATCCAGCCATAGCTAGTGTGAAGCTCAGCATCCCAACAATCAGCGGCATAGTGGGCCATCTCATTGGCCATGTGCTGACGGAATCGTAGCTTCGAGTAGTCTATACCGATTTTCAAAAGGAATTGTTGGATTCGTGCGAGGAAGTAGCCAAGAGTTTCATTATCCACCACGCCAGTGGCAACTGCCTTGCCAATGGTCATGTGTTCCGTCTGGGTACTGCCGGAAAGCTGAACGTTTCGGTTCAACAGTGACATCTCAACATCCTTGACTTCGTCGAAGCGAGGGTGCTTCTTGCCACCTTCGGGGTCAACAAAGTGTTCAATCTCGGCCATCAAGAATTCTCTGACACGCAGGAGACCAGCACGCGGCGAAATCTCGTTTCGGAAAGACTTTCCAACAGACGCAGATGCAAAAGGCATCTGGTTTTGGTTAAATTCCAGCAACTTATGGAAGGCAAGGAACTGGCCCTGAGCTGTTTCCGGTCTCAGGTAGCTTGCAATGTTGCTGCTAGGACCAATTGATGTCTGAAACATCAAGTTGAAGGCGACCGGGGGCAGCAGGTTTCCGCCAGTGGTGGGATTGCGAATATCGTGCTTCGTGATGAGTAGAGCCAGACCATCGCCGTCAAAGTTGTCAATGGTAGCTAGAATCTCTTCGTATTCTTTAACCACAGCATCGTCCAACTTGACCAGTTTGACGTCCTTCACTTTCTTCTTCTTTTTCTTGGCGTCCTCTTCTTCATTCACCACCACTTTTTCACCGCGGGCCTCTTTGTCGGCCTTGAGACGAGCTTCCAGAACCGCTTCAACCAAGTGATCTGCTCGGAAAATCTCTCCAGTCTTGGGGTCTTTGCACATCCAGTCGGCGAACTTATCCACGTGTCCACTGGTCTTCAGAACCTCACTCGGGGTAAGCGCGGTTGTATCGACTTCCAGCATGTCCTCCTCCAGGACGAAATGTTTCCGCCAGGTATCGATGAAATTGGCCTGTAGAGCACATCCCGGGGGGCCGTAGTCGTACAGACCAGCAACACCGCCATAGGGGTCGAACGAGGGGAAGTAGAAAGCTCTGCGGCGGAGTAGAGATTCTAACACGGATCGGTCGACCTCCTGGCCCGCCCTAGTTGACAGGGCCGCCATTTTGGAATTGGCGCGTTTCTTTAGGCTTTTGGGATTGAAAGTTGCGTAGGTGCGAATGCTGTGGTTGGGACCGCAACTGCTGAGCAGTCGTGAGAATAGTCGACGATGAGAGGGGTGAGTCATTCACCGCGATGGATGAGCAGTTTCCAAAGATTAGCGGGGGTGAGGGGAGGGGGAGCAGTAAAGAAATTTCGGTACAAAAATTACAGCATCCAGCTTGCAGAATGTCTGTAATTAACAGCGGTGATTCACTGGTTCGTTACCTCGTTTTTCTTGAGTTGCGGTGGAAAGATTTTCCGATCTTCCACAGAGGGACGCAGAATGCAAGAAGACAGCAGATATATGTACATCCGCGGTATATTATAAGATGGTCACTATCCTGCAGGCCCTAACTTGACAGTCGCTATACAGTCAGCCCGTCTAATAACTATATTTGGTAGGGCATAGATATAAAGAGACATTCACAAATTGAAAGCATTGTACAATGTACAGTATACAAGTTTGTGTCCGTGGCCAATCAGAACGAACCAAATTCAGCCAATCACAGCCGGTAATCTAATCGAGACGGATAAAAGTTAGCTCGACCTTTTTTTTTTCTTTGCCCTTCGACATCAACAAACATCATAATTTGCGAGGCCAATCCCCTCAGCAAAATGGCCATCAAAAACAAACAAGTGCGCAAACTGCAGCACATTAAGCGCAAGCGAACAGAGAATGCGGCCAAGCACAAGTTGCGCCATGAACGGCGGAAGGAAGAAGCCAAAGACCCGAGTCTCAGAGCGGAGCGTCTTGCTCGTTCTGTGCCGTTGACGTTGGATGTTAGTCTATCTACTAAGAGAATGGGCTGTGTGTGAGAGAGTGCTAATAGTTTGCTTTTTGTTGGGTTGCAGAGAAAACGAACGTGGGATGATATAGGCAGTGACGACGAGAATCTACTTGGATTGAGTGTTGATATCGAGAGGCTGAAGAGACAACGACAAGAAGAAGAAGAAGAAGAAGAAGAAGAGGCGGATGCCAAAGAGGATGAGAATGAAGACGAGGGAAGCGAGGAGGACGATGCTGACGAGGTCGACAGCATGATTATGACCGACTCAGAAGAAGACGACGATGATAATGACGATAACGACGAAGAAAAGAGCAATAAATCCAAGCCCAGCAAGAAGAATACAAATAAAATCCCCACAGCCACGGAACGAGCAACATCACCCACTCATTCAACAAAATCCACCAATCTCAACCTCGCACCCGAGGCCCTCGCAGCAAAATTCCCAAGCCTATTCTCATCGTCAACACCCACAACACCTCCCAAAATCCTAATCACAACTGGAATCAACTCAACCCTACACCACGAAGCCAAACTCCTCACCTCCCTATTCCCCAACAGCGTATACATCCGGCGAAGCGCGCATGCGCACGCGCACAAATTCTCAGTCAAGGAAATCTCCAAATTTGCATCCAACCGGAACTTCACGGCCATCGTAATTGTGAACGAGGACCAAAAGAAAATCTCGGGGTTAGACATTGTCCATCTGCCCCAGGGCCCCATGTTCCACTTTTCAGTCTCCAACTGGATTGAAGGGAAAAAGTTGCCGGGTCACGGCACGGCGTCAGAGGCATATCCAGAACTGATTCTGAATAATTTCCGCAGTCCGCTCGGTATGTTGACGGCGCATTTGTTTAGGAGCTTGTGGCCCGCGCAGCCGGATCTTGCGGGCAGACAGGTTGTTACTATACATAATCAGCGAGATTACTGCTTTGTGCGCCGGCATCGGTACGTGTTTCGCGAGAAACGCGAGACGGAGAAGCCTGTTGTTGGCGCTGATGGGAAGGAGATGAAAGGCGTCGAGGGGATTAAGGCAGGGTTGCAGGAGTTGGGTCCGAGAATGACGCTGAAGTTGAGGAGGGTTGATAAGGGAATTCAGCGTGCGAGTGGGCAGGAGTGGGAATGGAAGGGGAAAATGGAGAAGACGAGGACCAAGTTTCAGCTGTAGTCTCTCTCTCTTTTTTCCTTTTGTTCTGTTTTCTTTACTTTCATGTACAGGATTACTGGTCACTTCTTCATCCAGCAACGTAAACCAATTAATTGACTTGCATGTGTTAAATCCATCTAGGAATCTACATACCGCTGACGTTTAACCTAATTCGTAGAGCCATCATAGCTGCAGTACATTTTTCTGATAGTTCTTTGAGATTGATTTCTCTTTATGCTTATAGCATAACTCATTTGATGTATGTAAGATGCAAGGATCATCCATATATGTGTGATCTCAAGGGAACAAAAAACATATCGTACAAGTGTACCAAAGCAAATGCTATCCCCCCTTCTCTTGTGCCTGTACTGTGCCTGCCCATTGCATATCCTTTTTCCACCCCATCAAAGAACCTCGAATGTACATAAAAAATGCATCCGATAATCAATAGACACGAAAGACTAAAGCACAGAAAAAAGCATCAAACCCAGAAACAAGAAAGCAAAATGTCAAAAATAGAACCCAACCACCCACCCCAAACCGACTTGAAAGCATATAAGGATATAACGCCGAGTAAATGGATACATACATGGCATACACTCAAGGGCGCCCCTTCCCTAAAAATATGTAAAACAAAACGCTCGAGAATACAAAAATCATTGTGTAAACGAAAGTGAGAAGAAGTGAAGAAAGCTATCATCAATCGCCTGGATGTGAAGAAGTCCCGACGAAAAATAAAAACCATGTAGGGCTTGTTTCTTTGTTATTTTGCCTTGTGTGTGTATAGTAGAACTTCGTTATATGGTCATTCCTTCCCATAGATGACGTTGTGTTGAAACTCATCCGATCTCAGGGCCGTGCGTAATTAAAGTTGATCAATTTTATGTACGTGAACATGTATGTGACTCCGAAGTGAAAGCTTCCGCGTAGGTAGAAAAAGGATTTTTTGACCGTTTTCTAGCAAACGTCTTCAGCTGCAAAGTATCGTTTGCTACGATTCCGGGCTGCCATAAACTTATAGTCCATCGGCATATGCGTGTGATGTACCACATGAGGCCGGTACACCGCATCCACTGGTGATTGCCAGTCATCCACGCTCAACGGAAAGTACTCATAGAGTAGATCGGCTGATTCTCCAGAATAAGACATTGAAGTAGGATATGAGGATGGCGCCGCATGGTACGGCTGCTGCATTGGGCCTGACGTTTGTAGCAATGGTAGCGATGCCGAGATGGAGCGTGTCGGACGTGGTCTCGACAGGCTAGGCACCATCTTCTGCATCTTTGCTGGAGGCGCACCAGAGGCTTCTGGACTGGAACGCTTTTGTCCAGCCACGGTGACCGGTATGCCACTCGAGCTGTTCTCTCGAGAGATGACCGCCCGGTGAGAATCCGTCGGCTTACTAGGCGTTTTGAAATCATCTTCCACCAGTGACAGGTTGATCGGAGGCGTTCCCACAACGTTCCCTCGGTGTTCTGTGCTGCGAGACACGCCTGGACTTGACTGAGGATATGGCGGCATCCCGTGAGAATGAGCAAAGGTAGGCGTTGTGATAGCACCTGTTGTGGCTGGAGCGGGAATCTGTGTCCAATCCGCAAATGGAGGGGAGGAAGTATTCCGAGGCTCGAAGGAGAAGATCTGAGACATTTCTGATGGCGAGTTGGTGTTTTTGTTCGTGGACGCGGCTGTAGCCTTTGCCTGAGCTTCAGCAGCCATGGCACTGTTTCGTGCAGCTGCCTGCTGGTTTTTCCTTGAGGAAGCAGCACTGCCACTAAGGGGGAGATCCTTGCGGGATTGGAAGTTGCGTGGGCTGCGACCACGCACAATGACTGGTCCCGAGTGGACCTCGCAGATGGGAATCTTAGCTCCTGTCGAAAGCGTTGCCACAACCTTAAGACGAACAACAAAGTGTTGTTGCAATTCCTTACGACGGCCATTGTTGGCGGTGGCTATCCGAAACTGGAGGCGCTTCCAAGCGATAGGGAAGGTGGCATAATCTGAATCCATGTCCTGGCCAGCAGCCATAGTATCCAGCGGTATTGAAGGTGGCTCCTTCTCAGCTTTCTCCTCAGATGCAGGGGGTGGAGCAGAAGTGCTTCCATTTGCAACAGCGGCTGCCGGCGTCTTCCACGGAACGGAGATGATCTTCACGGGGTTACCCTCCACCGACTCCGTGGCAGAGACGGTCAACTCCTGGGCGAGAATCGGAATCCGGTCGCCTTGTTCGGTCATAATATAACGCAGACTGCGAGGCAAAGTCACGGAACCGGTGATTTGGAACAGGTTGCGGCGATAGCATGTCAGTTCCGCTACGTGCGGAGGTGGTACCTCGTTCGGGGAGTTTGTCCACGGTGACTCGGCGAGGAAAAACATACCGTGCAGCTGCGCAGAGACATTCAAGGAAGTGCGGCGAAGGGAGTAATCGAGGAGTGTGAAGCCGTACACGGGGAGAGAGAAAGAGAGCAGCTTGTGGTTGCCCTCAATGGAATCAGCGTTTTGTTGTTCAGCAGCTACGGATTCGAATGGAGGGAGGAGTTCGGCAGGTGCAGGGAAAGCTTCTTCGTAAGAGCTAAAACGACGTAATTGAGGTAGGTTGGCCTGAGAGAAGCTCATGTCGTCGCCACTGTGAAGAAAACAACAAGATGGTCAGTTCTGGCCCCCCAAAAAAAGAGAATTGCAGCGCAAAAGGGTCATTGACTTTCCGCGCCTGCCGTTGTCGCAGAGCGGTGCCAGATTGGAAAAAGGACCGGGCGCACCTGATGAATGTTTCGGCGTCGAAATTGGATCGCTGGTCTGGGAGATCCAGGCCGGGCATCGAATTTAGATAGTCGGTGCCCTGCATGTGGCCCAACGAGAGCGGACTCGCCAGGTAGGGCATTGTCATTGTATCAAAACCGGGTTCCATACTGTGTGAGCGCGCGCTGGTCTACAGCCGCGGGACAGGTTCGAGCAGAGAATAGGCGGAAGGTAAGCCAGATCGATTGAGTGTTGTGCGTATGTGTTGATAGTATGCTTCTATCTTGCGGCGATTCTTTATTTTCAAGATCGGCGGTATTGTTGTGGTCGTCCTCCGAAAACGCCAGTTCTGTTTGGTCCTGCCGGAAAGGGAAGAAGGTAGCAGCCGCAAGTATCAAAGTGCCCAAAAGCGGCGCGGATAGAAACGTGAGGCAATTGAGTAGCGCGCAAGGAGAATATGCGCGATAGCAATTGTCGGCCGTCGTCGAGGGTTACTTCAAGAGTCAAGACAAGCTGGGTAAATAGTCGTGGGCGCAAGCATGGACATGAAGGAGTCAAAAGGTCAAGAGGAACAGAGGCGGCGAGAGGCAGTGAAGGAAGGTTGAAGAAGAGGTAGGGAGCAGAGAAATGCAGAAGAGGGGGAGACGAAGCAATAATTAATCAAAAGCGGGCGAGCTGCAGACGGAGCGTTGAAGGAACAGGACGAATGAATCTTGTGATAAAAGACCGCCGGCTGTTCCCAGAGAGAGGTTCAGCGTACGGGTACGGATCTAACGGGGTAGCTGTACGGTACTGTATTTTACCTTCAGGTCAAGCAATGCATAACTTAACAAGAAATAGTGCTGACCTCGACGAAGACAGGCACGGGCGCGGTGGAGAAAAGAGGGGTGTTTGATTTGAAAATGGAGCTGAGCTTTGCCCTTTTGCGTCTGGCGGAGGAGCAGAGAGTTTGCGTGCAGCGAGACCAGAAGCAGGAAAGCTGAGCGAACGCCGTCCTGATTGGGACAAGCCTGGCCGGACGCGACCAGCCTCGGCTTAGCGCGGGTTGGTCGCTCGAATTTCGCGGAGTACGCCGTGCCCGACTGTCAAGACGCCAATAGTCCGTCACTCCTGATTCATTTCACCCCCGTCCTGGTTTCTTTTGTTTTTCCTGCCCTTCGCTGCTTTTCCTGCCCGTGGCGGCCTCAGAGCGAGCAGCGGAAGGATGCGAGTGGCTGAGCGGGCTAGTGGCTCGCTCGCAGTGGATTTTTGATGCACTCCAAAAACCCCAAGTGGATTCGCTAACTAGCTAGCAGCAGGGGCGGCGTCGTGAGTGGGCAGTGGGGATTTGGGCGGTCCTGGATAAGATAACGACGCAGACTTGATGCGCCGGTGCGTTGAAAAGCACACGAGGGACTGACGCTGCCTAGTGACCGACTAGCCAGGGATTAGTAATGAGGAAGGATGGAGATCCATGCGGATCGCTATCAGATGATAGTGGTACTCGCTCAGTCAGCACGTACAACGGACCCGACGCTCTGTGAGAAGAGAAGAAAAGAAGTCTGTCAGTCAAGGACAGGAAGCGGTGGTGGGATGGAGCGATTCGCTGATCCGGAGAGAGCGGCCGGCGGTGGATCCTTCCTCGTTAGCTGAGGTTAGAACTGGACTCTTCGCTCGCTTCCTTCCTGAACGAGCAAAAGGCCAAAGGCTAGTGTGGTTCGAGTTAGCCTCCCGAGCAAGAGTCGCTCCTTCCTCACTGGGCCCCTTCCCTTCCCTTCCCTTCTTTCCTTCCTGCACGGCAATGCCTCCTTCTCTTTCTCTCTCTCTCTCTCTCTCTCTCTCTCTCTCTCTCTCTCTCTCTCTCTCTCTCCCCCCCCCTCTGCCTCTAGGTATGACGATGTGTCTATCGGGTTATCTGATTATCTTGCAGGGCATGTAACTATTTTTCTAAGAACTTATGGGCGTTACCCGCCAGGATTGCAAGTGCTTACTTATTGCCTATCTGGGTTATTCACGTCGGGGTGATTTTCCGCCACGCCCCTCTCTGGCCTCCCGTCCAATTAGAACGGCCATGCCTTTAATTTATCAGAGCCCAATCATGAGATATCTTAAACTATGTTAAAGTTTCTTCAACCCAATACATCTACTAAAACTATAGGCATGTATTCAATATTGTGTAATATGTCCCTCTGATGTATTTATATTTTTTACCTGTGAACATCTATTGAAGAGACGGAACAATGTTCAGCAGAACCAGAATTTTTTGGTTATAGGCCAGGGACCCTGAAGCTAGATAACGCGCCAACCAGTGACTTGTTCGCCAAACCTTAACATGTGAATCCGGCATTTGCTTTTTTTTGACATGCATCGCCATTCCTTCCAGAAAAAGGGAAAGAAGAAATAAGCAAGCATAGCCTAGTACCACACAACTATCAAGTGGTATTAGGTAGTAAGTACTATTGGGAGAAGGATTCATTAGTTAAACCCTGTTTTCTGTCTTTTTCTTTTTGTGCTTGTTTTTGTGTATTATTTAGTTTACACCGTTGAAAGTATATGAAAGTATTCCAAGTCATGCATGCCCCATGTATAATCCCAAATCAGGGCAATCAAGCCAGCCGGCGATTTTTAATAGATCATCCTTTTATTCCTGTAACATCCCAATATTTTTTTTGGCGCTTACCTCTCTTCCTTCCAGTCCATGTATCAATAAAGGCTAGAATGATTTCATCGATGATTAAACACGGCGATGTAGGTCCAAGTAAGTTAAAAAAAATGGGGGTCAGAGATGCCGTGGGTCTCGCCGCCGCTCGCGGCAAAAACTGCCGGGTGCGAGCGGATCGGATGTTCTGGACGACCAGATTCCCTTCATCGACAGACATCCAGAGCATAGAAATTTTGGCAAGGGAGGACAGTACTAGTGAGCAGATCGCCGCGCGTAAATGCGTGACAAGTTTACCGCGTACAAGTCGGGCCGATAATAGAACAGCCTCTCTCTATTAGCCTAGGCGGAGGTCGCCGTGAGTGCGGAAGGACATGGCTATTTGTCCTTGGCCCCAACTCTGCGCCGCAAAGTTAAGTTTTTTCTTCGCTTCATCGAAGTCCAACACCGGGAACTCGTGGATAACTCGTGGATAATTCAATGTATATTTATAATGAATGAAAAATGAATGATATTCTCGCCGTGCCGGATAGAGAACTTTTATGCCATGATCTGCGATCGTCAATCGTCGGCATCACATTTTGAGAAGAATGACCTAAACCTGCACACTTGACCGCATCAGGCATCGCTTGATCGCCTGGAGGAGCATCCCCCAATCCTTCAATCCAGCCCGATAGATACTGAGACCATATGACCGTGACCCTGCATGAATCTCAAGTATCTGCGAATCCAATGAGTCCAGTCACAAGGATCCGATCGTTCAAATACTTGATTCTCCCTGCCTGACTGTGTAAACTATGATGCTATCTGGTCATAACGTAAGCCGAGTGATCGCTCAGATCTCGGAAAGCTGTATGTACATTGAAAGACTTCGGTGATCCCATGGCTGACGATGCGACTAGTCTGCAATAGGATTAGCGCCGGCACTAGAGCAAGACATTCTTTCCACTTAGGACATGCGATAAATTGATAATAGAACTTATCTTAAGAAAACGGCCATTGCACACCACGCGCAGGATCTGGACTAGTGGGGAAATAGAGGAGACTAAAATTGAAGGCCTTGATGAGCACTGAGGCCTCAAAAATAGGCACGCTTCTCCACCTTTACTCGTCTTGTTCCTAGGCCAATCAATCCGTAGTGTGATGCCACTAACAATGCACAGACACGCCCATCCGCCACGTACGAAGCCTTCCCCTCTCCTTCGAACTGCACCTGCACTTCCAGCATATGGACGGAGATGTAGGACTCAAATTCTCCGATCGGGTTGACGTGGTGCTTCTAGAAAGACGGGAGAAGAATGGTAGTGTGAAGAAACTAACTAACAGCAGTGCGTACGTAGTCTCGTATGGCGTACGGACTTGGAATACCACCACCAACATAACTGTCATGTTTGTAGATTTTGCTCATTTCACCAGCCATGGACCCTGAAGACAGCGAAAGTTGAAAGAGTAGTCTACGATCGTGCAGCTTGCTATTCAGAACTACGGAGTCTCCGTGTGCAGTCAGAAATAAGCAAGCGACAGGGGGGTCGTTCATAGAAACTTAAAAAGAAACGAGAATATGCACAGATCGGAGATTTTGAGCCAATCACGGTACATCACTAAATAGAGTGATCGAAATGTATGACAACATCGGAGCAGAAGCCTGCTTTGGTTTGGCTTTTCACTTAGGTTCTGCTCGCTAAGCTCCATAGGGGCTAGCCGGCTGCCAGGTAAGCTTCTGCTTTAACTTGATTAAGCTTAGGCCAGCGCGGAAAATCATGTGACGGCCCTTGGGTTGAACAAGGTATTTGCCGTTTTCATCCTAGCCTCTTTTCCTTACCAAGCAGATCCGCCCCCGGCTTTTACTCGGAGCCAATCACGCTGTCTGCCGCCACGGATAGATCAACGCACTAAGCCGTGCACCAATCAGGTGCTTCAGCTCAGGTCCTGTTAATCTCGGTATGCCCGACACTGTGCACACTCCGTCTAGTACTTGTTATATACCAAGCCAGCTTGCAAGTGCGGAGACAAGAGGCTAGAACAGACAAAGAGACGCAGAGCAGCTTGGCAGAACAAAGTGCCAATCCATTGCCAGGATCCGTACGGCGTATGGTGATGGCACTGACAATAACATGTCAATTTAATCTGGATCTAGCACTTGATCGACAGGCTTGTCAGGCAAGCCATACTCTTAGCAGAAGGTCCATCACAGCGCACGGAGTATGGAATGGCACATTTCAATTAGTACATAGCACGTAGTCTATGAGCAAGGGTCTGCTAGAAAAATAACTTGACATGCATCAGGATCCTAAAAATCATCACTTTATTGTGCCATAATTTATTAATTGATCATCAATGTGCCGGACCAATACGTGCCATGCCTCCTGGTGACCTAAGAGCTAAAACATGCTTGCGAACTCACATGTATGCTTTCAGACAATTCTTTATCCCGTGTCTTCGCTCCGTACACGTCGTATAGTTATGATAAAGTCTGGTTGCAGGCATAAATCATAAAAAGAAGC